ACTTAACTTTATAGGAACAATGGCTGTGGTGTATGTACACATGAAATCTGAAGACAATATACATGTAATTGAAAACATAATTATTTAAAATTTACAACCAATTTTCATACCTGACATAAAGTTGGACTGATAAAACGGAAATAAAATTTCATGTCTGTTTTTCATTTTCTTTCTATTTCATGTTTATACAATAATACAAAAATAAAACACAAAACACATGTATATGAATATAGATCTATTAAGGAACTCAACTGCAGCAATGATTTTGGACAATTGCTGCAGAATGAAGGTTATTGCCTCACCTTACCAAATCACCTTCTTCTTCCTGAAGTATGATAGATATACTGTTCCATTTTGAAATAACTTAGCTGGGTGTCACATAGAGGATGTTTCACGATTAAAAACTGAATGTAACATTATCTAAACATATTCAATAAACAATGCAATCAACAAACAATCAAATACAACTGGCCAGAATTTGTTATCATACTTAATTAACATTTGCAATTGCAATTTAAATCAAAACTACAGATACCTGTGTCCAGTTGATTTTTTCTTTTTTTTACATTTCATTAAATTTAAGAAATTTTCAAACTTAGATGAATTTGACCATTAGCAAAAATTGAGGTGCATGTCAGTCTAAGCTTATAAAAAAACAAACCTTGATTACTTGCTATGAATATATCATGTGTACGTTTCCATTACAAACAAGTAACTAGTTATTCTTTATCTGAATCACTACACTGTTATTCATTAATTATCCCCTAATAGTTAAGCATATAGGTTGGCTAGCACAATCTCGGATACAAAAGAAGGTAATTGGTAATTTGCTTTTCTCTAGGGCCAAAGCGTTTTTATTTGTTGGCATTTCTGCAGAACCAAAAGTTTTGAGCAAATTTATATCATACCAGACAACAAGGGCCTAACAGTTATTTTTGAGACTAAAGATATTTGCATCCTTGACTCATGCTTTTTTGGTGGGACTCAAACTTATCTGGACTAGCCGAAACAAAAATCTAAGATTACTGCATTCGACTGATATACCTATTGCTTAAAACTTTCAATTATGACATTGATCATGGGTAGGCAATTGTTTTATCACAAGAGATAAAAAAAAAAAAAACTTGATAATATTTCTTGATTTTTACATTAGCCAGATGAAGCACTGTTGTGACAGCAGTTCTCGGTTTGTTTTAAACACAATCACAAAGACGGCTACAACACACATATGAAACCATATCAGAGACACAAAAAGGAAATTTATAACTTAAAGCATTTGCTTATTGTAATCAGCTATAAATTACACTATTATGTCATTATGTTCAACATGATATACTTTCTGTGTGTTATTTTGTTTTTCTGTAAACATGAATGTCAACATCAACAACACAAAATATCAAGTGCTAAGACAGTTTTAATCTCCTCAAGACTTTTTTTTTTCCAAATTTGATTTTTTTCTTAATCTATCAAAGATTTCACATATATATATCTCAGTGCAATCAGCAACTTTTGGAAAAGCTTGTAACAATATAATCAGCACATACCGTCAACAAAAACATAAGAGAACAGATCAACGTAATGCTAAAACATGTGGTAGACATGCTTTTAGCAGATACATAAGATCTTCTACACTGATAACTATGTAGGCCCAACTCCTGCCTGCTTTTCATCAACACCAGTGATCACTCCACAGTGCAGTTTTACAGTCAGGAGCGAGATCTATGGTAGAAGATTTGGCCACTCTCAGCAAAACACTTTATCACTTTCTAGATCTTTTCTGATGTTCTGCTTTTCAGATGTTACACAGCACACACAAATATTTAATGCAACAAATGCCCCCCCCCCCTCCCTTACCCCCACCCATTCTTCTAACAAAAATAAAACAGAATACAAATGTATAGCATTTATTATTATCCTTATACATCTTTTATTCGTAAATTAAATTTGTACCTCAAATTATCCTCATTTACCTGCATGGTATTTCCCACACACATGAAGCTTGACATCCTGGACATAGCTAGCTATAGGGAGCTATGTAAAGTCTAAAATTGATATGTTTGCACAGTACCATATACCTATATCGGATGTCTGGAAAAAATACAGACTGACAAAAAAGGAAAAATATTCCATCTATGAATGATGTGGAGGCATTCTAACTTAGCATAAAGAGTTGATATTGATGCAAGCTAAACCATATCAAGTTCAAAAACCTTAGCTTGTAGAATATACGTTACAATATATGCAAGCTAGGCCTTGTAAACGATATTGATGGACACCTCAACCTCTTTTACGAGGTAACAACGTGAAAAACTGTATAAATATTTCAATAGTTCTAGTGATTTTGCTGATGATTACTACAATAATGGTATCAGATTTTTTGTTTTTTCGAGAAACGTCTGTCTAAAAGCAATGCTTTTAAATTGAAATATTACAATTGTATTTTTTTACTTTCTTAATGTATATTTTGCTTGAAGGAAATAACAACAAACAAATGACATCATGATTATTACCAAGAATCCTGGAGCTTGACCCAGACATCTATATGCTAAGAAATGTAACATATATCTACCGTATTTTCCAGATAATAAGCAATAGCTTTGTTTCTTGGTGATCGGGTGTGTGATTTATATGTGGAGGTAAAAAAAAGGCAGTATGAAAAAAAAATTAACTGTACTAGTATACTAGTACGAGATGATACAGTGTTTTACAAGTACCTGTCTATCACTGAAACAGATTATCTAGAACTGTCATTTGCAATCGTATACAGGATGATTTTAAGATTGAAATAAAGATAACGTTCTCATGGATTTAATTAATCATACCTTTTAACATGAACCATAATAATATCTTCTGAAATTTCGTAGTACTTTGGAAGCCATAGGGGAAGTTTACAGTCTGTTGCATCCTGGGATCAATAAGATATATGTCTAATTCTAGAATGACCGCCATGCTTGTTTACAATAAGAATGGTTTCATGTAACTTACAAGAAATAATATGAGACTATAAGAATTTTGTCAGCATGCAAGAGCTTTTCGCTAGTATTAAACAGTACAGACACAATGAAGATATTGTTAAGTAAACCGCACGTAATGTCAGGCCCTATAACTTCGCATTGACAATATTTGGAGGCTCGCAAGTCAAACAAGTTTGATAATTGCTATTTTATGCTTTTGAAACACATTGATAAAACAAAGGATTATCTGTGTATAATTAATTTGCAAATTTACATTAAACGCTTTACCGAGGATCTTGTTACATTACTTTCCGTTTTCTGTTATATCAACAAACTTTAGTCAATATAATAGTTACCACATCGTTAGAAAGGATGCAACTTATATTTCATTGCGGTTAATATGTGGATCAAATAAAACAAATCATTAAAATTGGATGCAACTTATATTTCATTGCGGTTAATATGTGGATCAAATAAAACAAATCATTAAAATTGGCTATGAGGCTTATATACTGGTACTGCTTATAACCTCGAAAATATGGTAATACATTTCTTCTTTCCTGAATGCTTCATACATATATATATATATAAAACATATTTTATCGTAATCATGAAAATTTCCTAACATAAAATCAGAGTACAATATTAATGCTCCCAATGTATTACTGTTGATAAATGATTTTACACAAATAACTTGCATGCATGTAAAAAAGTCTTACATACTGCATAGACGTATTAAGCGAATCAAAATACAAAGTATAAAATAAATATTTATGAATAATTTCAAAAAGATCGTTTTCCCATCATTAGATCTGATATTTATCATCAAAACTCAAAATAACTTTTTTACAAAGATACACCAATTCAATATATTCAAAAACTAAATGTATTTCAATTTCACAATAACATTTTAGATTAACAAGATCTCATGTTCTGACCAATGAACTTCTGGTGAGGGTTATCAATGGAGACAAGAATGCACTACATATGCAGTATAATTCTACATTGTATACCAAAACATGGAACTTTTCTAAAATGATTTGGTATATACATGTGTGGTAATGGCAACTACACCTTCAACATTCGCCATTATTATCAATAGGTACATCATAAAATAGGTCAGCTAACCAATTAAGCCATCTAGTATTCTGTCTATTATCTATTTCATCTTTCTTAAAAATTTTCAAGTGGTGTCTTTCATATATATGGGAAACTTTTATAATGACAGTAAAAAAAATAGTGTCATCAACCTTTAGCCATCATATATATCTGGTCATAGTCCTTCTTAATCAAAGGTGACCTCAATTCAAATACACTTGTGTATATAGTTATCAAATCTGTATGTATTTAAGTGATGTTTTCCTATGTTATGTTCGAACATTATTCTACTATATTTGACCAAATAATTCATTTTAAACATTTTATATACTGATCAAAAGTAAATATATATCATAGGTGATTTTAATATTTTAGAGTATTTGAGCAGGTTATGACCAATATAAAGTTGACCTGAGACAATTAGTTGACACTGATCATGAGAAGGACTTCTACAAAATATAACAGAATGACAGGAACAGGGTCAGAGGAAAGTGATCAATTTACAGTGATTTCCAAGTATCAAAATTCAGAAGATGAGCTAATACTACATGTACACTTCACCTCATTTTTTGAAGGAAAGCCAATTACAATCAGCATGAAAATGCTCTAGACCTCCACACTTACACTGTATGAACATTTATTTTTTTTTAATGCAATGTTTAATGTCACTTAATAATTAATAATTTCAATTTTGGTAAGAACAAAGATACATGGAATGCTTCATTTTCGTGTGTGACAGTATCTGAGTGGTGCCATTATAAAGTTGTGTGATAATTAGAATGTATTCACTGTAAATTTTGCTACACTGGATTATGAAGTTGACTTGACATAAATTTATGCAAGTGATTTACAATTTTGTCATTCGACTTCTTGTCTATTGTTGTGATATATAACAATTATGAGATTATCATCAATATATTACATATCAATTTACGTCAATAAACTTACCAGTTGAAACTCTCGTCTCCTGTCAAAGGCAGCTAATATACCAGAATCTCCCCACAGGATCTTCATGGGCTCAACATAGTCCCAGAAAGATGTATCATCTAATTTGTTGTTGGTGTCATAACTAAACACAAAGCTTGCATGTTTCGCATTTGCTTCATTTCCCCATGGTATTCCTAACTTGTCTCTAGCATCAATAAGCACACGCATACCTTTGACGATGTTTGCAAAAATAACAACTTTATACTCTCGAAGGGCTTCATCATCAAAATCTTGTCCATGGATTATTCTCATTTGTTTCAAAAAAGTACTTTTACCACTTTCTCCAGCTCCAAGTAACAGAATCTTAATTGTCCTTCGAAACTGGATTTTCTCCTTGGCTAGAGTCTTGTCTATGCTCCTGCTTCGACTCTTTTGCTCTCTTTCTTGGTCAGACATACAACATGACATTACAATGTCAGCCATTTTGCTCCTCTTACCCCGCCCATGACGTCAGAGACAAAAACTTCCGGTTTTGATGTCGTTATAAACTTTCATATGCTTACTGAAGTATTTTCAGATATTCCTATTACGATTGATAAGAATACGATAGGTTTATTAAATCCCATATCTACATAGCTACTATAAAACAGATTAGGTAAATACATTTTTACGACACCAAATGACCCTAACAAGCAAGATGGCGGCCTCCGTGATCCGCGGATCGCTGCTCCTTGGGAAATCCATGAAATGTCTTCGAACAACTTGCCGTCTGCCTTTCTCTGCACCAATACGACGTTTGAGATATTATGTGGCGTATGTGTTTGGTGTACTCACATCGTGTGCAAAATTTCAAACTTCCAAAATTATAATGATTATCTCTTACGTAAATTTTCGATGGCGAACTTAAAACATTGACAATGTGCATTGCACCCCAGCATTTCAAATAGAATAAAGAAATATACCTGTTATTCATTTTAATGGCTTGATACTAAGATGCAAAAGTACAATTCAAGCGCAACCCCGTAACATGACACTAGTGTTTGTATGACGTGTAGATTTAGGGATGGAAACATTACCGACTACACCAGCCATGCCGGTAAAATTTATATGTAAGGTCGTTGATATATCTAAAGCGGAAAAGTACTGTCATCTAGTTCCAAACGTTATTATTGTCTATCGTTTAGGACTATAGATATTTAAAAAAAGGTTGAAAATATTAATGACTTAAACTGAACGTTTGATCCGTTTTTCAGACTCCCTGTAACACCAAATGACACGCCAGACAATAATCCATTGTTGAGAATTGAGGATGATCCACATCTTTCAAGAATATCACCAAAACAAATGGTGCGAGGATGTGCAAAATTAAGCCTTGATTTTGAAAGAATAGTAGATGCACATTTTTCTTCATTTATAGATGGTAAGAAAGAATCAGAAACAGGTATTACCATATTTAAAGTGACATCTCTGTCAGATATGTATAATGTAGTGGCCCAAAATTGCTGCATCTTGTGAATTGTTAATTGTGATTTGTAATTTGCAGAGTAATGGATATTATAATTCTATGTAAAGTGAGACAATTTGTATGCACAAAACTTTTATGGAGGCAAAGTAATAGAGGTGTAACAATTTAATTTCTCACATTCAAATGCAACTTTTCAAACACAGAAATTAAAGCAAAAATCAATTGCAAAGAGAATAAATAGCACATTTAGGTATAGATAAGTGTACAGGACCTATGAGATATACATATTATGAATGTTGCTTTCAAGGAATATGCACAATGTTAAAATCATACCTTAGTACCTTGACGAGGGAATAAATTCCAAACCAGACTTATTGTGTAAGAAGTCAGAGAGTTGAATTGATTGAATCTGAAAGAAAATAAAAAATGAAGACCAATCCAATGGTGTAATTCTTATTCAAATGTAAATTGGTATATTTGTCTTCTAATGGAAACTTTAAAGCAGGCTTTGTTTTGATAAAACTTTAGTTATGCCTTTACTCAGATATCTTTTTGCATATGTAGTAAATACCTCAGTTCAAAATTTCATGGTAAAAAAAAAAAGATTTGAATTCTTGAATTTCTTAGGTCGATACAAGCTAAATATAATTCATTTTTCAATTCTATGACCAAGACAAATCAGAAGTATTGCATTATATGATTTCTTAGATCCAAACAAACCAAGAACATTTGAAAGTGTAGTGGCTCCTGTCGATGCTCTTCATGCACCTCTGAGAACAGCAGCCAGTACTGTCACGATACTCACCTGGTTTAGGAACTCACAGCCCTTCATAGATGCCAAGGCTAGGGTAAGCGCATTATTATTTTTCGGCAAGCAGGATCGAAAATAACATCATACCCATAGTTACATATTTTGATTGACAGGGTAGATGACTTTGTTGTAGAGATTTTATTTAAAAACTGATATATATATTTTGCATAATTGTGTTTTTATGAAATTATTTTAATTCAATTACACTCTTATATGGAAAACTTGTATTAGTGGTAATGGTATCATTAAGATTTTGGCAAAACTTCAATTTTTGTCCTCCTTTTTTATTTTCCAGATTGACCCGCAGGTAGAAAGAGCCCTAGCTGATATCTATACAGATGAATGCTGCACAATTTTGAAGGTAATAAAATGATACGTATATATAACAATCCTCTATGTGGTATCTTGACTATAAGTCAGGGTACTGAAAATGAGAATAAGGAAGGATTTCTTTGGGACCTAAAATTACCTGAAAAGCATGAATGAATTATCTAGATATATTATTGTTTATCTTTTAACTATATTTTAGCAAATGTGTTTCAAATTTCCTATTTTTATGATTTTTTATGTTTCCAAATTTCTAAAGATAATGCTTATCAGTTAGGTAACTAATAAGTTTTAATAATGAAATAAATCTTGTGTAAGTTGTCTCCATTTTCAGGTTGGCACAGTTTCGAGCGAGTAATCTGAACTTTTTTATATGATATATATGTCTATGTAAACTATTTGGATCAGTCTTTCATGTGTGACCTTGTAAGATATCATGAAATAAAGCATCTCTTATAATCTTCAGCTATCGGAAATGCATGTGTACCCAGTAATCTTTTCAAGATTGATAAATCACTCTTTTGATAAATCATTTAAAAATCATGCATTTTTAGCTGGATAAAGGTTGTACAATCAGAGATTGATGGATATCATATATGTATTTTAGGATCTGTATACAAAAAGTAAAGATTCCATGACAGATGAGGAGATCTCTCTCCTAGAGCTCATGTTGCGATATTGTCAAAAGTCAGGGCTGGACCTAAATGCCAAATCACGAGAAGACTGGGATATTGCTATGCGAAAACTTCATGAACTATCTACAGACTTTGGGTAAGTATTTGAAAACTATACAAATTTCTGTTTTTACCTTTGTGGTAAGCAATCACTTTTTTCATGAAAAAATAACATATTTGGAGTACATCTTTATGCACTAGGCTGTCCCCACAAAGTCGTAACACAGGGTTTCAAAAGATGCAGGTTGATGAAAATTATGGGGAAGTTTTATGGTCACCAGAGTTATCTCATTGAGAAATATTCTATTTCTTTGTGCAACATGAAGCTGGACGTATTTGATGCTCATTAGTTTGCCTGTTGGTTCCGTTGTTGTATACCTTGTTCTCAGTTGAGAACATTACCTTCATTTTACTTGGATTGAACAAGGTTTACATTGCAGAAGTCATCTATGAAGCAGAAGACACAACTGGTATTATGGTATTTGAGTTTGGATTATGGAGGAGTTTAATTCAGGGTTCATAAATGTAGGTTACTGTATGATGTTATTTTTTTCATGTTTCCAGAAAACGAGCCACTGCCTGTAAGAGGTTATTTGTCCACACTATCACAGACCCAGATATCATTAAACACCTGCCAATGGTTCTACTGTACTACACATCAGTGAACACGTAAGTATTTCATAGCATCACAAATCTCACAATTTTTACTACCATTTTTTTAATTTGGGATCGTAAATATTAATTTCGTATTTATTTCTATTTTCACTCAGACTACACTTTAAACTGTCTTTATTGGCTTCAGTGGGAATCTTAAACCCCTCTAAACAGAGCCAATAATGCTTAAAGTTGCCAACTCCTTATTGGTCACTGATGAGGGTGTCTGACATCTTGTTTGTAATTGTTCTGACAAGATTAAAGTTAAAGTTGTTATTTTGATGGTTAAAAGTTTTTGCCAGTTGAACAAAAGGTTGAAAAAAGATGTACCCAGTATTCTTATGTATTCATGGTCTTATTTATTTATTTAAACAAAACCCTTCAAAGATTAGGAAATAGATGGTATTGAAGATCATGCAAACACATATTATGATCACTTTCCCCTAATGTGTTGGTAGCAGAGATCTTCTGTTACTTTTATGCCATTTCCAAGCAAGGTTTGATCAAGAGACATATTTCCTGGTCTTCACATTGTGCATTGATACCTGCTCTGTATATTTGCTGAACATATCAAACTTTTGTTTCAGGAGAAATCCCGGATCAGGTCCCTGGAAATTCACATTGAATGATTCTGTGTATAAGTTATTTCTTGAGTACTGTCCTGACGCTGAGGAGAGACACAACATCTGGTATGCGTACAATAACGTGTCCTCAACAGACTATGTTACACAGTACCTGGATACACACAGACTCATAGATGAAATTGTCAGATTTAGGTTTGTATACACACAATTAGCTTCTATAAAACTGTCAGATTTAGGTTTGTATACACACAATTAGCTTCTATAAAACATTTTCTTCTTTTTTTTTCAACACATTTCAAGCACCTAAGAGTGATCAATATTAGCTCAGATATGGAAAGTTTGCATATCTTCCCTCTGGTTAAATGTTTCATACTAATATGTCAAGACTCAAATCTGTGTCCCTTGCCAACAGAAATTTAATATTTCATGCTAATGACTCTCTAGCATGTTAACATACAAGTTAACTTGTTCCAGTAATGGTCACAGTTAACTAGAAATAATTTCATGTCTGGTCTTATCATTTTCATTTGCCATTCTTGACTTCAGCTTCTGACTGGTTTATATTTAAAAGCAATTCATCTTATCTGCAGTTCTATCTTTGTTTATTACATAAGCTTAAACTCCCCTAGTTACTGCTTAATAACTATTATGAAAATCAACATGTGATGTTGATGTCTAATTTTTCCCCACCCTGATGGTATGGTTTATTTTTCGTGGATACTTGATTTTGTAGCTCAGTAAATCTGCTTATTATACTAATTTTACCTGTTTGTGAACATATTTATTCGTCAACAGAGAGTACCCATGAAATTAAGAAAATGAAACCCCACGAAAATTAATGATTCCACAGTATCTGAAAAAAAAGAAAGAGTTTTATCATCATGTGCAATGTTCTGATCCGACTCAAAAAACCAGATAAAAGTTGTCTTATCTCGATCAAATTAATTACCAGATAACCCCAATGATCATATAATTATGAAAATAATTTCCCGTCTCACTTTCTTTTTAATAATTTGCAGAAAACAAGTTGCAGAAGATTTTGGATATGCAAGTTACGCTCAGTATATGATGCAGCATAAAATGGCTGGTTCTGTGGACACAGTATTGAATATGGTGGAAGAGTATGTACATAACCCTAGGTTATGTACAGTGTTGTTATAGAACCCATTTATAAACATCTTTATATATATATTTGATATTGAGGCGATTTCTGTGAGAATTTCATTCTAACGCCTTTTCAAAAAAGGAAATTAATCTTCTTTTTGCCATTGTCTGTTATTTTAATTGTTAAATTTCCAGATTATTAACTTAATCACAATCGAAGCATGGCAAGACAGCAAATATTATTACAGTATTGAAGAAAAGTAAGAGAGACTGTCTGAAAAGTAGAAAGTATAAACTTTGTGGTCGGTTTCAGATTGAGGAATGCCTACCTTCCACAAGCCGAAGAAGAATTTGATTCTCTCCAGGAATTTGCTGAAGAAGATGGCTATGAGGATGAATTAAAGCTCTGTGATGTTCCTTACTACCGCCGAAAGCAGAAGGAGTCCTTGCACAAGTAAGTATACCTGTGACTTTTTGACAACTGGGGCCAATTTGATTTGTCCAAAGATTTGATTTTAAGCAAAATTAGTTTTAAAAATCTAATTAATGTAGTATTCAGCTGATGTTTTAACGAATTCAAATACGTCTGTTGAAGTTTAAATAGAAATACCAGCAATCATTGTCCTGTCAGAAGTCCATCTCGTTACTTTCAATTAGAGGTCATGTACCCCTTAGGTTTCAAGCTTCTGATCAGCATGAAGCACATGTTAGTTAAATCTTATTGAGATAGACGCATCAGAGGTGTAATTGGAACAAAATATTAACATTAATAAAACATGAGTATTTGAGATTCTTTTCATTTGTTTGGAACAATGACAGTATTGGATGTTAAGCGTCTATATGTCAGTCTGTAAGGCTACATTTTTGTCTGCTAATTGGCAACTTCAAAGTCAAAAGTTGCCAAGGTTTGAAACATCGTTTAATATCAATATTTTGACCAGAGGCTACTTGTCACAACCCTAATACATTTACAGGCCAACTTTAATAAGACCAATTTTTACTAGAGTTTTCCTAAACTTTCTCCAGAATACAGATCTACTTACTGTATGTATCCACCCATAGTTATTACTGTGTAGTGTAAGGCCTCCTCATGAATTTTAGCCTAAATTAGTACACTGACCCCCAAATTTCTTGGTTGATAAATAGTTTACGGTGGTTACTGCCATTTTCCATACTTCTGTGATAACATTGAAACATTGATCCAAGGATAATTATTGTAACATTTTGTTTTGTAGGGAAGAAAATGTCTCGAGTTATTTCATGTACAAAGATGTTGTTGAAAGTGCAATGCATCTGGCCACCCACATGTTTGGAATCAAGTTTGTGGTATGTTATTTACAAACGTAACCTTGTGATCAACACCAATATCTTTCAGACAGAATGTGTTTTGTTGTAACAAAGGTTGAAGAATTGAGGTGCCATATAGACAAAAGTTATTTGGTATGAAATTGATTGGGTTGTATACTGTTAGTACATGGATATTTGACTCTTTACATACTTGATTCAAATTTCGCGGTCACTTCTGGAAGTGGCTTCAGGGTTATTCTTGGAACATGACACTTTTCTAAGCACATGACTTTGAATGCTTACTTTGATAAAGGATTATTTATGACGGTGCTTTTGATATTGGTATGTTGAAATTCATTTGCTGCAATCAATCACATAAAATGTGATAAAACATTTTTTAATTGAATAAACTTGAAAAAAACAATGCAATCAATTAATGAATGACATGAAGTATGACTGTAATGTATCTTTCATAACTGAAACATATTCCTATTTTATTTCAAATATAGACTGTACTCAATATGCATAATTTATCATTGTTGCCTCTGAAATCAGAAGCAGAATCTTGGTCTGCAATTTTGTTGTGAACATATTAAGAATAATCCCAGATTAACTGGTCAGTTTCCAAATATTTTGTTATTTCAACACACGAAGTTAATTATCATTATTCTGTGTTTGATAATATTTTTTTGTTAGATAAAAATTTTGTCTGTTGATTCTTTCAAACAACTTTGCCTAACGGACAAGTAACACAAGGCATCTTTACGAGGATGTCTCGAGACGTCATGGAGAATACAGGAGCACTTTAATGTGACATCACATGACGTTAAGATTAAAGTGAGAGTTATCCCATGCTTTTTCCTGTAGTGACATTTTCTTGTCTCACCTGAGGGTTTAGACAAGTTACACAAGTTCTTTGCAAGTTCTGAAAACAATAGAAATGACCTCACTGACAACACCAAGAAGTGGAGCTACTTTTAGGACGTTACACACATACACTGGTTTGTCATCTACTGAAATCTTGTGTTATCCTCAAAACTAAAAATCCTATGTTATCATCACAACTTATTATCAAAAATATATATATATAATATCAAGAGCATAATTTTATTTGGCGTTTTATTGGCATGTACACTAGAATTATATTATGAGTAAGGTGAAACGTCACTGTTCATATGCCGTCCACTTGTTTTTGTTTACACACGATAGGCTTCATCATGCACTCAGGCAAGGAAAACAGGGTAAGAGAAAAATATCCATTCAGCCCATTTAGGTTGCGATATTAATGAGCCTCGTTTTTGATAGCTTAATAATCTCCCCCTCGGACTGTGATCCCCTATCTCAGCCTAAAGGGTGTGGAAGATTCTATTAATTATCATTGGATGATAGCAAAATGAATAATGAGATATTTGGAAAAAAGTTTTAAGTAAGAATTTCTTTTTTTTTTGTTTTTGCAGTATTCAGATAGACATTATACATTTTCTGAGGATGCTTTGGGTTTCGATGCATTTGATGAAGAAGGTAAGAAATTTATTGTATTTTAAATTGATTTTGTTCACAGTTAAAGGTAAAATTGTGTATTTTTTGTTTTCTCACAAAATTAAGGATATTTTGAATTAAAAATTACCTTTTTGATAATGTACGAAAAACGTATACTTTCATATAAATTTCAATGCTAACTTATGAAAGTTAAAAAGTTAAAAAAAAAAAAGTAAAAAAGTGAAATCAACGGGAGTATGCTATAAAATTGAATATTTTTTCTGGACTCAATTTTCTCAGTTTTTCAAAAATAATAATTCGTGAACGCTTGATTTGGTGGCTAGATATAACTCTACAAATTTGCTTTAACTAATTCTAAACGTAAGGTGGATCAATTGGTATGTGTCGGCTTTGTCAAATATAGCTTTAACATTAGATATCAACAAATGTCGAAAACTAAATCTACTAGAGTGTATTTTGACTTCATTTCAGGTAAAGTTCTTGGTCATTATATTCTTGATCCATTCCCTCAACCAGAAAAATTACAGGGTACATGGATGCTTTCAGGAAGAGGTGAGTACTCAAAATACCATTCTACATTTGTTCTTTTGAATGTGAGCAATCTTTCATAGCCAATATAAACTGGCTTCAAATACAACCTTTTTAGATTTAGGGGACAGAATGACCACATTACAACAGTAAACTGTAGTGACATATTTGAATGAAAATGTTTTTTTTTTAGATTAGATTTAGGGGACAGAATGACCACATTACAACAGTAAACTGTAGTGACATATTTGAATGAAAATGGTTTTTTTTAGATTAGATTTAGGGGACAGAATGACCACATTACAACAGTGAACTGTAGTGACATATTTGAATGAAAATGGTTTTTTTTAGATTAGATTTAGGGGACAGAATGACCACATTACAACAGTGAACTGTAGTGACATATTTGAATGAAAATGGTTTTTTTTAGATTAGATTTAGGGGACAGAATGACCACATTACAACAGTGAACTGTAGTGACATATTTGAATGAAAATGGTTTTTTTTAGATTAGATTTAGGGGACAGAATGACCACATTACAACAGTAAACTGTAGTGACATATTTGAATGAAAATGTTTTTTTTTTTAGATTAGATTTAGGGGACAGAATGACCACATTACAACAGTAAACTGTAGTGACATATTTGAATGAAAATGTATTTTTTCTTTTCCTTTAGTCCTTTGTATCAAGGAATTCATTAGCAAATTAGATTTTAGAAAAGTTCTGCTGACATTTTTTTAATTTGATGACATATCAGTCTCAATCATTAGAGAAAAAGAAACTTTTCAGAAAGTTTAAGCACCTGTCATTGTATAACGATCAATACAGCACAGAAAGTTTAATAGCAGAAACAACGATTCAAAATTGTTATAGCTATTACATAAATAATATCTGTATTTATTGTTTTGTGAAAAACACTACAATTTTCCCTTCACAATGAACAGATAGCAAGGAGTTTGTTTTTATGTCACCTGAAACAAAATTTCATGGTGACTTGATGAGATCACCTTTTGTGTAGCGTCTTTCATCTGTAAACTTTTATTATTATGTACCAGCTTAAGTTACACCAAATGTTGGATAAATAGAAATTTTTGACAATTGGGTTTTGTGGGGGCTCCACACCAGATATCTTTCTGTCAAAATGTCTCGATGATGTTGGTGTAATAGCCGAAGGACAATTAGGTCACATTCACGTAAGCAGACGAAACGGTTGGACCATTTTAACATTCAAGAAAACGACTAGGTACAGATCTGGATCGAGGCAGGACTGTGGAATATTTGGCACATGTAGGTTAAGGGGGTACCTGTCTAACATTAACTTGCTGAATATCATTAGTTTTCAGAATTCCAGAGAAATATAGTGTCAGTACACTCACATACTTAGGAAAGCATTGTGCTATTAAATGTGAGTGGAATGGATGGTATCTTGATTTTAGTTTATTAATTTATGCTTGACAGAAAATTTCAAAACTTTTTGCATTTTGAGCTTTACATATATCAGGTCCAACATATGGTACATGTGTGTTTATGGACTACCTTAACTGTTTCAACCGTGTTACGTGAAAGCAGCCTAAGGCAACATTTTCACCTGATGAGTGCTTAGATAAATCTGATACTAATGTTGTTCCTCCAGTGTTTGAACTGGCATCCCAACCCAAAAACATCAAAGTTTTAGGGTAAGTTTTTGAAAGGCTTCTATTGATATAAATCCTTCAGTATTATACATCACACACATCTCCCATTTATCATATACAATGATTCAGCATTTTGCAATCACTGCTGGTGATCTGATCGACATTCATTGATTGTATTTGTTTTTTTTACTACAGCAAGGTGTAAAAATCCTGTACTAACCCCCTACACCTACCAGTCAATGGACTTGGATCGCAACAATCCTACTCTCACATGGCACCAACTTGGCTCATTTTATCTTGAGGTAAATTTAATTTCCATTTTTGTATGCATATAAGTAATAGGGAATATTTTCAATATCATTTGATATACATGTATATGACAGATTTTGCAGAAGAATTCTTTTAAATTGAATGATAAATACAGTTTTCTGTATTTTTTGTCCTCACTTACCTGTGATATGCCTGTGGTTTTTTTTTCGTAATGCCGGTAGTCGACAAAATGAAATGATATTAAGCATTGCCAACATGAAAATAAGTGACATTATCAGATGTGAAATTACATAAAATATATCGGGAAAAAAATTAGTGTTACAAGAATATGTGATATAAACCAAAAAGTGACATTAATAGATGTGACATTAAGTGGGTTCCAATGTATTGTAAAGGAAAAATGAAACAAATAGTCTTGTCCTATTCACTTTGAATAAATATAACACCACCTGTTTTATTCATTCAGGTTCAGGAGGGAATGCAGCTCAAAAGTATTTATTATGAAGTAGTATTTTTTTTTAATGTCTTGAAAATTGTTTTAATGAAATATTATTGTTTGATTCGTTTTCAGTTTGGATTTTTTTTACAACAATGTTTGTCTAAGACTTCGTTCCATATGCTGTCAACAAATGGCACAGAGGAAGATATAGATACATTGCTCGGTCACCTCTTGCTACAGTTTACAATGGATCCCGAGTACTTACAGAAGATCAGTAGGCATATAAAGACAGGGGAAAAACTGCCTATGCCAGTCATCCAAGCAATGTTACAAGGTACTTCAAAATCATCTGATAAATGTTTTTCAAGATGTTGCTAAATTCTTAGAAATTAAATGACAAATATCTTAAAGGAAAAACAGTCTTGTCCTATTCTCTTTGAATAAATGTAATATCACCTACTTAACTTATTCAGGTTCAGGAGGGATGGCAGCACCTTTGAAATGTCAAAAACAGTCATGCCTTAAAGGAATATGTAAATATAAGGGGTGTTGTGCTCGCTGAATTGTCAAATTAGAAGTTTCATTAGCGAACAGTTTCAATAAATGTGATACAGGTCCTGTGGGCCTATTGCTTGTGTAGACACTTTGACATTGAATAGCAAGGATCTTTATTTCACTAGACAGATTTAAATATCATGTCAGAGGTAAAAGTATAGATATAAATAATAAAAGCTATTCTGCATTCTTTTTTCAGAGAATAAACATATGGCTGGCTGGGACCTCTGTTATAAACTTTTTAAAATTGCTTATGACATGGAAATCAATTTATCGTAAGTAATTCTTATTCAGCAGCCTGATCAAGTGTTTCATCGTTTTCAAGATGTTAAGTTTTCTGGAAACCAACAGGAGAAATATGAAATATATGTCAAAAATGTCGCTTTCAATTTAAGAAAACGCAAACCTTTAGATTCCAGGGATAGTTGTTTTATTTGTAAAATACAGTAAAACTTCTATCAGTATTCAAATCAATATGAATGCCATCCAGAGTTAAATACGTACAAATAATCATGCAGGATTTTAATTCACGATTTACTCTCTACATATTAACCTGAAAATGAATGCCTCATGAAACATTAGTGATTTACTATCATAATCCTGTAGTTGATTAAGTTACTTCTTAAGTTTCGCAATCTATAAAAACCATTAAAGTTTAAAAAAATTGATGAATTTGCTATTTTGAAATAAGAATACCATCAAGTCTAGATGGAATTATTGTATAACATGATTGATAAGGAATTTGACCACGTTGCAGCCATGATAACTGGTACAGCACACTCGAGAAAATTTGGCCATTATACATGCCCATTCCCCTGGATATTGATGACAACCACCCATGTTCTGACCTAAACCAGTTTCAACATGGACTGGCTGCTAGCTCCTACCATGTCATCTGGACAGAGGTAAGTCTAATTCTTTAAGATTTTGTTTGATCTGTTATCAATATAATCCACAATTTTACTATATACCTTTGATGGAAAGGATTTTTGAAAAATATCTTTCCTTGAAATACTATTTCATTGTCCAGAAATAAGCCCACCTCCTATGAGGCAGAAGTAAGGTAATGCCCTCCTGAGTTTATTGGACAGCTAAATTCAGCATTATATGATCGGATTGGAGATTTGTGTTTTTTCAGCTGCCTGACTACTGTTACTATTAAATCATGTATTATTGTTTGGCTCAGTTTTCAAGGTTTTACAAACAAATTGCTTTTTAGCGGACACTTGATTCTGTGGATAATTATAGCTCAATAAATCTACTTAAACTTAATTTCACTTCTTCTTTGAGTGTCAAACTTTCAGAAATGAAAGACGCACTTTGTTTCATAATCTGGCTGAATTAGAAGTAGATTTGAATTTAGAGCTTGTTTTGTTTGGTAGTATTGATCTTTCTGAGGACCTAAACTATTTTGTCTTAACACATGTGCAAAATTTCATTAAATCCAGCCAAAGGTTTTAAAGATTCTTACACAGTGATATTTTTATGTCTGTGTATGAATGCTTAATAAGTATAATTTATGTTGAAGCCTATATCTGTATAAGCATGTATTTGAAAATGTACGATGGGAGATGACTCCAATAAGTTGTAATAACTTGTGCCCAATTCCCCTGTTCAAATTTATTTTGGCAATAAAATATGTTTAAACTAAAAAACTTAATTTCGAATTAAGTTCATGGACATACAAATTTGTATATTAAAATAGTGCCCATGCATTCAATTAAAACAAATCTCCCACAAAAATTGATTATTTTATCATAGTGTAAACTAGGCATCCAAGGGGTTAAGATACATACAGCCATGGAAATATTTGTACAAGAATGTTTCATGTCGAAATCAAAACAGTTTTGATATTTGAAATAGGTTTTGATGCATTCAGGTCTTGATTGTTTTGAATATGCATCTTTATCACAAACAGCCAATTTTACATGTGTGATAAGAAGATTGCATCAAATGTTTTAGTGAAACAGCGGACAAAATAAAGTAGCTGAATTGGAAAGTTGTGTGTTGCAACATATTTAAAGCATTGTGCATTCTGCAACAATTAGTTTTTTTTTTAGATAAGTTCATAAGAAAGAAACATTAAGATTATCCTATGTGGAAACTTTTCATACATTTGAAATCTTTTACTTGACAGAAGGGGCTTTAAAGTGTCTTGTTGGAGATATTTTACAGAATAAGATAAAAGATTCTGTCAAAGACCATAGTAAATATTAAACAAAACGATCAAATTTTAATGGCTTCTTAATTTTTACATTCCATATTCAATGCATTAACAGTACTTTGATCATTAAAGATATTTATCAAAGAAATATTGAAAGTGCACAATCATGATTTTGCTTCTTTACAGATGGTGGCTTTAGATATGTTAGAAGTTTTCAGAGATGCAGGCAGTTTAACTGATGAGAAAGCACTTCAAGAAGTAGGATACAGGTGAGATATATATTTGCAATCTCTTTGTCACTTCATTATAACCAGGGCATAAGTGTTACCTGTTACCTGTCCCATAGTGTCTCATCCTCGGTCCCACCCATGTTGTCCTGTCCTGTTCAGCACTATCTAGTCTCAGCCTGTCCTATCATGTCCCAATCTGTCCCAGCCTGTTGTGATACAGTGTAGTCATTCTGTCAACTTAATATTTAACTCGCCTTTAAATGACTTCTTCTGTCAAACCAAAAGGTGCAGAAACATGATAGCTGGGTAATAGGTTCTCAATATCAAGCCCAATATAGTTTGTGAAAAGAAATGACCATTACCCTTATTCAATGTCACAGGAGTCCAATTTGTTAAAACCTTTAAATGACTTATTGTGATTAACCAAAAGGCATAGAAGCATATTTAGGTGGAAAGGTGTTTCTAGGTCAAAGCCAACAGATTTTAAGAAAAATAGAAGTGGCATTTACCTATAATTCAGGTGCTAACTGTCTCTGTTAAGAATTGAGTTTAAGAAGCATAGTTGTTTGTTGTTGAAATTGGTTAAAATTTATGGGATGTGCCCACTTTAAACTGCAATGGTGTACATGTCCATATACCAGTAGTTGTAATATTAACACCGATTCTATTTTAGATTAACATTAAATACCAGGTAATGTGGAGAAATTCATTTAAACGACACACTTAAATGTGTCATTGAAATATGAAGTGGAGAGTATGATAACGACATTTTTTGTGACATATTCCCCATCTTTGATTCAAGTGAGTTTTTCAGTATGTCAGAATGTCGATAAAGACGATAACCATTACAGTAGGCGGAATTCTCAATCCTACCTTTACTGGATAATTCTATAAAGAATAATACATACATCCTAATCCACATTTGAAAGAAATGTACAGATTTTGAGGAGTCTCCTTTCACAAACACTTTTTGATACCTCTTCATGGTGTCGGTTATTTTATGGATCTACTTTTGTGAATACCTTAACCATTCTGAGATAGACACAAATATTTGTGGGTAGGTACACACGGAATTAATATAAACAACAATTTAGACAGGTAATCCACTCAGAGAAACATTTCAAGCCTTTTCATATGCCTCAACCTACATCCTGACCTGAATCTATCAACAACCTGACTGGAAGTGGGTGGAGCTTCTACGTCATCAGTGGTTGAAAGGAGTGTTTTGATTGGCAGAGAATGTGAGGGTACATTTTAAACAAAAACTGTGCAGTTCGCAGTTTTTGTTGAGTTTTGTTGATATTGCAACAATTACATCACTTGTAGGCTCAAATTACTTTAGAATGGGGGTAGTATGAAGTATATATGAAGTATTTCTCTATAGCAAACACTAATACTTGTTAAGCTGTTATTTCTTATTTTAAACAGATTTTTCTACTTTGTTTCCTCGCAGGTTACGAGACTCCTTTTTCCAACCACTTGCTACGGTGAAAGCTAAGGAACTGTTCCGACGATTCCGAGGCCGGGATCCTTCCGTAGAACCCCTCAAGTCTTATTACAAGGCGATCAACTGAAAAACTGTGATATATGATAAGTGTTGGGAGATAACGTTTATATTTCTGATAAACAATGAGATGACTTTTGTTCAGTGGACTGGTCATTGGTCAGTGGTCAATTGATTAGTGATTAAATAGAGGATTGGTCGGAGATCATTTCAATAGGAAATTCGAGAGGACTGGTTTTCTGATCACATGAATGAAGTAACCTCATTAATAGTCAAAATGGACTATGGCTATCAACGGTTGTTCGCTGTTTTGTTGGTATGAATTAATAGGAAAGGGTGACAAGGACATCTGATTAAACTCTGTCTAAAGACTGTGTGTATGTGTAATATATGACTGTGTAATTTTGACAAAAGCGACATCATATATATCTCTATTTTGTTATTAATTTTGGGCACATAACTGTTCAATTTCACCTCAATCACACAAGATGTTCCATAGATTACTTATAAATATGAAAATACAATAGAATGCTTTATTTATGTGGATACTTATCACACTACTATATCTATCATCAAATACAGGCTTATTGAACGGATACTGAAGCTTTAATTGATGCAAAAAAACAATTTGATAGAAACTTCTCTGGATAAAAAATCAAACAGTTTGGGATCAAAAGATATATATCATTCACTGTCACCAAAAGTACTTTTCGTGAAGGCAAGGAATGACAAAATGCTTTTTTAAATAAATGATTTGATTGTAAAATCTGTGAAGATTTGTGCTTATTGTTCAGAATAAGCTTATCCCTAGACAGAATGTGTAGCTGTGTATGAATGTAGTTTTGAGTTTTTACAATCATATGTTGTTTTGATAGTAATGAACATGATCATCAGGAAATATCATTTTGGAACATAAAGTTGAGTACATCACTTCTAAATGAAATTTGGTTTCCATTTGGAAGTGTTATAATATCTCAATACTTTAAACGGTTATGTGTGCTATACCTTGTGTCTGTTAGATCTTTTTATATACATATACTTCTAGAAAGGACTCCCCTTGTGTTATTTAATAATTTTTTCAACACATGAAATAAATATAAGTTGTCTACAATTAGTTTGTTTTATCTTTCTTGTTTCTTTATCTTTCTTGTTTCTCTGCATAGAAGATATTGTCAATGATAATGATAGTACAAGGTAATGCTCGTTTTTGTCTTGCAAAAGTGACAATAACCAAGTTTCGTAGTCAGAGCCCAAGATGGCCGTCTGTCAGCCATTTTGTTTTCTGATCAGTCCCAAAATTAAAAGGCCACAACTTAGGGCAAGAGGAACCTTCCTAGTGATATTTCTGAGAAAGATTCATCAACTTTTACTCTCAATCTAACTGGCCTACCATCTGATAATGGTTGGTGATGGTGGGATAATTACAAAATCATACAAACAAGTTTCAAGTCAAATGAGCGTGCAACATAGCTTTAATCACCACTCTTCACTTTAAGTCAAGATCTGTGCCTACAATGTTACAATGGAAAAATATCAAATAGCCATGTCCCATGTCTAGTATAATACTAAATTATCACAGGGGCTGGATACAATTAATTTTGATAGATAACACTACAACGTAATACTGTTCCTATAATCATTGCATCTGGCCCCTGTGGATTTCACTAGCCAAGGATATGAAATAGCACTGATTTAACCACAGAACCTGGACACACTAAAATACTATGATGGTAAGAATTACCAACTTTATGATACCATTGTTACAACCATTGTATTTTAGTCTCTAGTTCCTGTGGGCTGAAATATAGCCATGGATGAGAAACATTTCAATCACCTGGAATGTTCAACATAACACACTGAGGTCTGCTTTGATCACAGTAAATAAAATGACAGAGCTAGAAATAATTTCGGCACTCATCCAGTATACAGAATACCGGGCCCTATAATATAGCTAGGCCTATATAGTATAATATATAGACAACACAATTTCCATATACATAATCTGCAAGGAAAGACATCCACTGAGTTACATATGCATGGCAATATATTTCTCTACCTCAGATCTAATCACAGATGAAATCAAGTGTTTACACATCACAGCATGGTTTTATTTTTTGGAATATGACAATTAAATTAAGTTTTTCATAGAAGCAATTCCTGTCCGATGTATACCATACATACGAAAATAAATGCGGAAAACCTCTGGACTATTAAAAACACTACAAAAGCAAACATCCATTCTAATTGTTTATCACAAGGAGCACACATCAGTAATACGAAACAACATTTCTGCATGCACCCTGATCAATATCATGCATGCTATTACTCTTTCCAAACCACGAGTGGGGAGGTACTGGACATCAAGTATTAAGACAATCTGCTCTATGGATAAATTTTTTGCAGAAATTTTGAAGAGTGATTTGAGTGAACCTTACAATATATATCATACAATGCCATCCAAAATGGGGAAAAAAGATTAAAAAAACTTGTTTGTGTATCATACAGGCTCATGAAAAATTTCAAATGGTTCCAAAAGACATGAAATTCATGTGTCAATCAGCATTGCTTTCTAAAACATTTCACCTGCATTGAAATAACAGTGAGTGTGTAACAACACTGAAAAAACATACTGTATCTTCGAATTATTTTCCTCAACGAAAAAATACTGTGAATTTATCAAAATTTCAGAAATAACACACAATATTGTAAAAACATTGCAGCTGAGGATTTTTATCTTTCAATAACCTCTTAACACTATTTGTGAACTATCAAAGTATTATCAATAAAGTGAAAAAATAGATAAACTGAATTCTGAAATATTAAAGTGGACATTTTAACTGATTGTGGTGTATATTCAGTGTACAGTGTACTTGAATTTAAACACAAAATACCTAAAAATTAACCGGACCAACTTAAGACAATGGTAAACACATTGCACCGCCGATTTTCGAAAATAGGGTTTCTTTTTGTTAATGAATTTTCAACAGAGAAATTCTGAATGTTTTTACATTGTTTTGGTTTTCCAAAGTTTTTGCTTAGCACTTACTACGGTCACCAAATTATTAATGAAATTCAATAATGCATGAAAATGTAAACACTCTGATAAAAAGAGCTTTACAGTAAATGTAGGTAACTGACAGCATAAAATCTTAACTTGTCACAAATACCACAAAAAATCTTTTGACAGAATGTCTGTAATTGAACAAAGCCGTTAAATTCTAGGCAATCTGTTGAACATGCATTAATCATCTCTGAGTGGGATAAACAAAATCGCCATAGAAATGTTTATATGTGCAGGAACTTATGCATGATAATTGTAAAGTATATGTAATAAAAAGTATCATTTCTATAACTGTAACAATAGATTGTTACAATCAGATTCATATCTGTCAAACTTACAGAGCACTTTTGATTATAAATAATGGAAAACAAATCAACAACCTTGTACAATAAAAAGTAGCTTATGTTTTTGGTGGATTGCCAAGTCGTTAACTAAATGGGTCAGAACACTATTTGAAGTATCACTGAATCACTGAACTCCAAGAACATGTTTTTAAGTAAAACTTCCTACAGAAAGTTTTCTTTTCACTTAAAAACTTTATGACAAACTCAAATATAATAACTGTTTCTAAATATACTAACTGCATGTGGAGCGCCCTTAGACTAGAATATCGTCCAACTATCTCAGACGGAGCTACAGAAGATTAAACACAGAAGAGATTCTCCATCATGCAACCACTATTCTTCAAAAGACAAAAACAAAAAGTTAGTTTGTGATGGCTGAATCACATGGACATCAGATAAATTAGGACAGAAAAATGCCATTACATCATCCCAAACACTGGCTGAAGCCAGATTTTTACACAGGTAACAAAATTAACAAAGTTTTAAATATATTTGAACCATAGAAACAGTAGCCCTAACTATTTGACAAGGGAATGAGATATTACATCTGCTTCAACATCAGGATTCTAGTGTTGTAAGTTGTTCCTTTAACTGGGCGAGGTTTTTATTCATTGTGATGCAGAATCCTCTAGAAGCAGGCAGGAATGGAAAGTCTGGTGCACACAGCTTGTCCTCACCCACCTCAGGTTTTGGAAAGTCTGGGGCACACAGCTTGTCCTCACCCACCTCGGGTTTTCTGCTATCGTCTTTTGCTGTGTTGTGAATCTCGGCACCTTCCATGTCATTTGTATTTTCAGATTTTGCACAGTTTTCACTTCTGGAGTTGGTTTTCTGCTCTGTTAGTAAAATCCAGTGTTCAATTCTACGTACAAATCTGTCAAAATAGGTACGATAAGACATTATTTCAAAGAAGAAAAAGCTGTTCATAAGTCAGGTAAAAATATGATAGAAGATTGTCAATGATAGTAATTTAATCCCTTTGAATTTTTACAACCATTTGAAAAGACTAAAAAGGTATTTATGGTTATTTCACATGTTACTGATGAAATAAATTTTTATACACAACTAAAAAAACCTTAAATTTACTTGGTATCAACAATGGTGTACAAATTGCTGAGTTATGAAAACAGGGTACAGATTAATTTTCCACATGACCATCTAAAGCACATTCCTACCTCCTTCCACACTTTCTGATGTGCTCCAGTGTTTCTATTGTAAAGCTATAAGGTGGTCGCTGTATCATCTTGGTGACACTCTAAAACACACAACACTTTCCCTTTATAAAGTTTAACAACTGGTTTAATTGGTTTTAACTTCTATATCTCTCTATATAGTTCACCCCAGGTCAAAGTTGAATCGATAAGTACCACAGAAAGTAACTCAATCAAACAACAATGAAACACAAAAAGATAATCAAGTTCACAAACTACAAAATCAGCCTCTATTGTTTTTGTTTTTTGTTGTTTTAATTATCATAAATGTCTTTTTTAACTCCTACCTGCACCAACTTCAGTATGGCCATTTCATTATAGGTTTTGCTGTTTTCACTCCCCAATTGAGTGTCTTTTTGTCTTTCATATCCGGCTTCATTGAAATAGGGTTCTGCCACAAGTATCAGGCCTAAAAATACAGAGAACATTTGACATCTACAACCAATCTAATTTGACATCTACAATCTACAATCAAAACATCTATAAGTGATTGAGGACCTCAATTTCTAAAATCTATGTGAAATACCACTACTAAGACAAGATCACAACCTACTTTTTAGTAATAACTTGATAATATTCTCACTACACCACTGAAAAGAAAGACGGTGGTAGAAAAAATATACCACTCTAAAATACTGCAATTCTGGCAAACAATCCAAATGTTCCCCATTAGAATAGAAAAGGCATCAGAAACTCTCAGAATTCACTCCCGATATTCAATTGCTTCTGATGATCATTCTACGATACCCAGTGTTCAACAATTCGTACATTATACTGATTAGCATCATGACGACTGTCATACACGTTAATATTCATAGTGTTTTATCTAGGAATATAAATGAAGCAGAAAAAGCACCAACAAAACTGGTTTCTTACAAACAAAGTTCATCAGATTTCTCAAACAAAACTGCAATAAATATCTCAGTATCCAGAAAAGGTTTACCTTGAATGGAAACTAGTACTTGGAGAAGATTTGAGCCGGAGGTCCAATTTTCTTTGTCCTGTTTCAAACATAGATTAATTATTACTTCAAATATGTATATAATATGTAGATAAAGTATATAACATAGGTTTATCCTTTTATTATCAAAAAATACTCGTACATGTATAGAGACATCATTCTAACATATCAAAATCTGCCATCCTTCCTTCAACTGATGAAGCAATGTTATATTGTATCATTGAATATAAGATGAATACATTGCAAACAGATGCATCACATTGTTATCATTTTGTATTATAGCGATACTAAAGATACAAATATATCTCAATAAACGCTGTCTCAGTTGAAATTGATATAAAAACAACCAATCACTGATAGTTATTGAAACACTACCTTGAAATATCTAACATAACAGAGTCATAACTTATATTTTTTAAATAAATTTATAGGTTTAAGAAAGTTAACAAAATTAAAAAACAATTTTTACTATCTCTGACCATCATTCTCTCTTGATAAATCATAACATAGGTTTACCATCTTATCAATATCTTTCTACAAATGAATAGCACTAGACATTTTGTGTTTTACTGACCTTGCCTTCCCAAGTTCCCAACAGACTCACACACACATTGCCATCCTCATACAGATTGGGGTTTAACCTGTCTGAGCAGAAGGCTATGTAGTGAAACAAGGGTGGACAGTTGGGGTAGTCAGCTGGCAAGTGAATGTCAAAGAAGAAAGGAGCATCCTCGTATGGCGTTTTGGCTGGGCCCATTATCATTGCAGAGAATAAATCCTAAAACGTATTGATAAAAATATGACAAGAGACTTACATACCTGATTTATTGGTATATAATTGACAGTTCTGCTTTTTAAAAGTATTTAAAAATACCAAACAATTGCCTTTATTTTTTATATTCCAAGTCAGTGTAGTAAACCTCAATTTTCAATCAAGAAGACAGCATTACAACAATTACATATAAAGACATTTCCAGTCAGCAGTTAGCCTAACAACTATAGACAAGAGACACAATGGGCCTGCAGCATTCACTAGGTATATATATATAAAACAGACAAATATGCCTCTATGCCTTAAAGTTTATTGAGTCATTTAAATGCTTTAACAAATTTGACCCTTGTGAATTGAATATAAGTCAACGTCATTTTTTCCCCCCAAACTTTGTCAGGCTTCATCCTAAGAACATACCAGCCAAATATAATGCCTCTAAGCCCTTTATTTCATGACAAGAAGTTGTTTGAATTTTTTTAATACATTTGACCCCTGTGACCTTGAAAGTTGGTCAATATATTAAGAAACTTGGTAGCCCTCCAACCCAGCATCATACAGGCACAATATTAGCAACCTGTTTCTTTTGGTTATTAAGAAGAAGCTGTTTAAAGATTTCAACAAATCTTACGCCTGTGACCTTGAAAGAGGATCAAGGTCATTCATTTTAACAATCTTTTCCCCAGTACGCTAAAAGCCCAATATCATTACCTTTGGCTTTCCCTTACTGAGAAGAAGTTGTTTGAAGAATTCTTAACACATCTGATGTCTGTGATCTTACAAATGGGTCAAGGTCATTCATTTGAACCACCTGGTAACTCTTCATCTCAGCATGCCACATGTTTAATATCAGAACTCTTGGCCTTGAGTTCCTGAGAAGAAGTTGTTAGAAGATTTCCATACATTTGACCGTTGTAACCTTGGATGTGGGTCTCAAGGTCATTCATTTGATCAAACTTAGTACTCCTTTTCCCAGTATGCTTAAGACCGAATATCAATACCATTGACCTTTCCCTTCCTGACAAGAAGTTGTTTGAAGATTTTTCAACCGTTTGACCCATGTGTCATTAAAAGTTGATCAAGGTCAGTTCTTTGAACAGAGTTGGTAGTCCTTCATCCCAGCATGTTATAGGCCCAATATCAGTACCCTGGGCTTCTCTATTATTGAGAAGAAATTGCTTAAATTAAAAGTTGATGCAGGATGGATGTAAGACACTGCATCACGGCATAAGCTCACTTAGCCCATTGGCCCAAGTGAGCTAATACAGACATTTCCAGTCATCACTCAGCCTAATAACAACAGGCAATCAATCATTTTATCGTAGTAACTTACCACTCTGTCTTCAAACCCTTTCACAGTGATGCCATGTGGGAGACTGGACTGTAGCAGCTTCAACTATAAAACATATAACTGCATTATTACACGTGTTCTGTAATTCAACAAGGAAGCCCAAACACAATATTAGTCTAATGTATGGAGAGTCAACACTAGAAAATTTTCGAAATGCACTGAATTTTGTAGGAAAAGTTTTTAATTTTCATCGAAGTGGTTGAATACCAAAGAATTTAAGTTGCCGTTGTCAGAGGACAAACCAATACATCAGAAGAACAAAATTAGATACAAGTCAATTTCTGTAGAATGTGTTCCAATACAAGAAATATATTATGAACATATACATACTAGCAACAAATTTTATCAATTTTCTTGACATTTCAGTAAAAAACTTATTTACTGAGTATGAACTACAATGATGGCACCAACCACTAGCTGGCAATCTTCAAGACTTTCTGGAAGAATTTGATACAGATAAGTAGACATTATAACAAACCTTCCCTCAGTTTTAACCACTACTTTTGTAGCTAGAATTATAAACACACTCCCCTCTTCTCCAATGCTATACCCACCTCTTTCTTAACTGCAGTCATGAATACTTTTGAAATTGTTACAGGTTCTTTGGACCGGAAATTATGACTTGGAGGCACTTCAGACTCCAGTATAAAACCTGGGAATATATATAATCATCATCAACTGTTAGGAAGGTGTCCAATCTTAATCTAATTTTAATTTTAAATCTTATGAACTATATTTACTTGTAACCAACATTACTGAACTTTCTAGTAAACAACTGATAACTACTATTGGTATAATATTTTTGTTTGCCAAATTATTCTTTATCTAATATTCACACAAAGATGATTTTAATAAAACGTTATGCTACTTAGAATCCTTTAAACAATATCATTAATACAAAGAAAAAAATTGTTATAAAATCTTTTACAACTGAAGGATATAATACAACAAGATTTCACTATGTAAACATCAAGAATGTGTATTCTTCAAGTGAATCTTACTTCCTCTTTCCTTGCTGATGGGCTCTATAGCCTCTGTACTAATATCCAGACTGTTACAGTCAATTGGGGAAGGAACTTCAACAGAGCAATCAGCAGAAACCAAACCACTAGTATCACTATCCTGAACTGCTTTTTCTGTGACACTCTCACTGGCCTCGGATGATTTCACTTCCATGTCAGTAACTTCACACTTGGCTTCCGTTGTGCTCATGCTCTCTGACACTTGCGCTATGTTATTTCCATTCTCAGTTTTCAATGGGTCACTATTCTTAAGAATGAGTGATGAATCAGTAGTAGCTAGAGTTAGTCCAGCCTCTGCAGATTCTGGCGAGACATTGTCACCTTCCTGAGAAATAGGCAATGCTTCAGAAGAAGGTGAAATAGAGGTCGAGGAGGCTTGTGCGATTGCCTGACTACTCCTTTTATTTACTTCCTCCTGCATTCTCGTCATCTGTTTGCGTAGTTGTTTGCATATCTGAGAACACAATTCAACATTTTTGTCTCTTGTTTTAGCTTCACTCTCTGCAGCTAAATCAGTCTGCTGGCTTTTGTCATTCGGAGGGGTCGCCTCTGAATTACTACCCGTATCTTTCTCTGTATCCTTCTCCGTTGTACTCCTATCTGAAGAATTCTCCCTGGAATTACTTACTATACCATTACACAAACTTTGTTGCTGAGACTCCTCCTTAGAACAACCATCTCTGTCCCCATTGAGATCACAGGTTTCCTCTGTAACCCGACAGTTATTTTTCTCTTTACATTCCATTGACAACATCTCGTAGTCATTAGTAGCAGCTACATCAGCGTGAATAACTTCTTCACATTGAACTTCCATGCCAGTTGCTGAATCATCAGTCTGAACACATGCTACACTCCTACAAATGCCTGACTCTTCATTCATATCGGTCTGAACACTTGTCGACACCTGTGACATGCTTCCCTCACCATTCTGACCCTTTATACTTTGTCCTCTTCTATTTTCGAACACCTGTATCAAATGTCGGTTGATCTTATTGCACTTTTCCTTGCGTAGTTTTGCCCTGATATCTTCAATTAACCCTACAATGTCTGGACTATCAAAGTAAGAGGATTTTATAATTCTATCTAATTCTCTGCACTTGCGGTAAATTGCTATAATGTCTTGAAAACATTGTTCTGGGTTCTGAATTCTAAAGTCACTTTGAACATTTACAAAAATTGCTTCAAGTTTACTAAGTGCAGTCTGAGCTCTGTGTATAAAAGAAACCAACTCTTCTCTTTTCTGTTGTACTTGGAACCATGATGACTCTGCTTCTCTGAAATTTAAAAATAAGGCAAATAGTTAATTGAAAAAATGATAATATGAAATCACCAATAGACTTTGAATTATAACATAAACATTTGGAAAAAATGAGATTCCAAAGGGATCTTGGAGCCCAACATAGCTTGATTTTTATTCGTTTTTTAAAAATCTAATCTTTCTCCAACTTTTCCTTCCCTTTGTTTATACTCTTAATTTGAATTTGAACATTCCTCTGCAAAAACTTTCATTGTTGAGATCCAAGATGGCCACCTGCTGTCCATTTTTATTTTCTAACAAACTCAAACAGGCACAACTAGGGACTGAGGAGAACGGATTATGAAATTTGAGAGAGATCCATCCAGTACATTTCAAGAGAAAGTGATAGCAAAAACTGTTTAGGGATGGAGAAATGACAGACTATAGACAATGGGCAACTTGAATAGCTGACCTTAATAATATCAACATGGTCCAAAAAACTCCAAAAGAATCCATTAGCTTAACACATCTGTGTCAAATATAAACTCCTGATTTTGTTTACAGAGATGAATGTTTGCGCAATATTCAATATATAATTGAGTGATGAATTTTACTTGTTAACTTTGGTAAGAAAAAAAACAAAACAATTTTCATTTTTTGAACACAGATTGGAAAAGGTCACACCTTGATGATAAAGAAAGAAAGAAAAATTGACTTGGTATCTTTCCCTAAATGAAGGATATATATATATAGGTGAAGCAAAATCTCTACTTTGCATCTGGTGTTGTTGACTTGTTGGTGTCATCATCAACTTCTTCTTCATTTTCTGTCTCCCAGCTTGCATCACTGTCCTCCTCATCATCATCGTCTTCCTCTGTTGTCTCCCAGTCCGAGTCACTGTCAAACTCACTCATCTACAAACATATCAAATAGCATATTAGGTAAAATATTTTTCTACTGCTTACCTTTGTTGACTTAATTTTGTTAAACAGCCATCGATTGTCCTATATCTTATTTTAATGCCACCATTGGCTAGGTAAATTTTTTTCGTCTAACCATCAATAACTGTAAAGCCGAATTTTTCTATCACCAAAAGTATTTGGTTACACATTAACCATGACAGGAAGCAATTGGAATTGATATCTGAAAAAGTAAAATGTAATTTAAGACTAGATATTTCAAAGTTATATTAAACTTTGCCCTAGAACATGTAACTACAAAGAACAACATTATTACATCAAAATTTGTATTAATGAGGGTGAGAAAGTACACAAGGTTTTACACAAAATGTCATTTCACCTCATCCCTACAATACAGATTTCCTGAGAGTAATAGGGAGTCAGACCACCTGTTATACAAAATATTGATTCACCTCATTACCTACTTTGTATAGTTCCTCAGAATAACAGTGATTTATCTCCCCTTTTATACCAAACATCAACTCACCTCTTCCCCTACAATGTAGAGTTCCTGAGGGTAACAGTGAGTTATCTCCCCATTAGGCCAGCGTATATGTAGGGATCCATGTGGGTCGAGTCTGTGAACCTGTCCTACAGCAGGAGTATTATCTGAAACATTCTGTAACACACAGAAAAATCTGTTCACAGCTATGTTATTTGGGAAATCACAAAATTTGGAATTAAAGAACACAAATTCTAAAATAAGATCTAAATGCTGTCAAAGTGTAAAATGACAGCACATGTTTAAGCAACTTTGTTTTTAAAAGAAAGTTATCATCAAATTTACAAGTAAACAGTACTGATATTCAGGATTACATATACTGAAGTCTATGCGCCACAGCACATAACAGTTAGGCATACTCTAAAATCACTCAATAAGAACATTCTAGGTAAAGATTAGCCAATAGCCAGCCTAATGAAATTCACAATCTAGCCGAAGACTTACTGAAGGCTCAGCTACTCGTATGACTGTGTGGCCAGGTCGGAACTTGAAGTCTGAGTGGTCCTTGATATCATACACACTGACCTCTGTAGTAGGAACAGTCTCGTCTGGCCTACAAAAAACATACAAATAACGTTAAAAATTCCATACACATTAACAAACACACCAGACAATGTTGCAGTTCAAACAAATTTAACAAATAAATTGTGTCTACAAATTTTTGCCTAACAAAAACCTAACAAGCGATCCTATAGAAGATCTTGGCATCCACCATTCTTTGATTACTCTTCAGAAATAGCTATAATAATCTTTAACTGTTACATCAATGGTAGATGCTGTCAGCAGAACAAAACTTGGAACCGAAGGAAACCTATATGTGATTCATCCAGTCCTCAAGAATTCAATAACAATTTGTCATAGTCAAAATCCAAGATGGCCACCTGTCTCACAATTTGCTTTCCTGACCACTCCCAAAATCAAAAGAGTACATCTATGGGCCATGGGGAATATTCATAGGAAATTTGAGAATGATCCATGTAGTTCTTTTCAAGAAATAGCAATTAGCAAGTAAAGAATTAAAGGATGGCCAGCCAGCCAGCCAGACAGACAGACAGCCAGCCAGCCAGCCAGCCAGCCAGCCAGACAGATTTCACATGATGGACCACAGACACAGGATAATTTTAACATTCTCATACAATGAGAAACAAAGTCACATGCAAAGTCTACTTATGGCTTGACAAACCAAAGGACAGCAAACAGATATAGTTAATGTTACATGGCCCCATATGAAATTTGTCATCTGCAACACCAAATTATTTACAATAAAAAAGATAGGCCATTCACATCAGTACTCATTCATGTGAGGATGAAAATCATATCAATAATACAATAAATATTTCATGATGATAGTTGCATACGGGGTAGTAATAGTCTTGGAACTTACCTTTCCCCTTTGGCTATGTCAACAGTCTTCATCCATCTGACCATACAGGTTCTGGCCAAATGGTCACAGCTGGTCACTACACCATAATTACCACACTTCCCATTATTGTTTTCTGGTAGGCACAAAAGCAGATACATGGTGTCAAATACACATTCATTCTATCAGGACATGTTAGTATGTACATCCTATATCTCATTCTGTAAGTACAAATATACATTGTATTCTAAAAAAAACAATAACAGGAAATGTGCTATCTATTTTGTATTGCATGTACTTCAGATTAACTTCTTAAAACACATATATAAGACAAACATTCTTTTTAACTATAAATACATAACATCTTGGTCAACTTAAAACATGTTTTTTGCAAATTTTCCAGGGCTCAATCCACCATGTTGTGTGTTTGAGTATAAGTATGTAACCTACCTTTTGAATCGACCACAAAGTCACCAGGAAAAAATTCCAGTTCGTCAAGGTGATGAATGGGATATAAGTCAGGAGATGGAGTCCCTGTTTCTTCCTTTCCATTCTGAAAATATATAATTTTATCAAACATTTATTATTAAAAAAAAACAAATAATGATAAAGCTGATCTTGGTGCTGAATTACATGCTGAAATTTTTGTTCAATAATAAGTGTACTTATTTAGACTAAAATACTTTACATTTCCCACCACAAAACAAAATATTGCTGCACACTTTGGTCTTTTACCCACCAACTGAAATAACAGGGGAAAGTATTGTGACCTTTAATTCATCTAGCATAATTTCTTGCCATTTATGCACAAAAGGCCATACCTCACTATATTATGATACATGCTTATCCCAAGGCAAAAGAGAAAATCACCACCACTAGGATATAACCCTGTATTTAGTGAAGTGCATCATAGCCCTTATCTATGAAGCCATTCTCATAGTTTATGCAATTATTCTGTGCTCAAGACATTTAGGTATTTGATAAAATCAGAACTTGAAAATTTAAGTTACATGTGCTAGATGATAAATATGAAATGCAGCTCCAATGTTCCTCAGAATCAGTTAGTTTTTTATCAAACAATATTTTCATATCTTTTTTTTGATAATGTGCATGAAGATCAAAATTATTTCAAGTAAGGCACTTGTTAAACAGCTGAAATTACAAACCTGCCACATTATGTTTGCTGTTGAAAATGTATAACAAACTTCAACAGCCACTAGTGAGCCAGGATCACATGGAAGATTAATGTCCTCAAATTTTGCTAGAGGTTTCAACTTGGATCTTTCTCCTTTTCTCTTTGTTTTAGACTTCTTTGTTCCCACTTCTTTCACTCTACTTTCTGTCTTTCCAGCTTCAGAATTTTTTTCATTCTTTTCCGTTTCTTCAACCTCATCTTCCTCATCATCCATCGACTCGTACTCATCCGACATATTATCAGTATCATCTTTATCACAGCTAGGTTCCGTGCTTTTGTCAGGATCAACATTCTCATCGTGTATAAGCTTCATCAGCAATGTATTTTTGGAAAATTTTGAACATTCTGGTGAACTTATAGACAAAGACTTGACTGGAGTAAATACTGGACTAATGCCATCTTTAAAAGTCAATAAATTGTTTCTGGTGACAATGTCTGGTATTAAGTTTCCTTTAGGAGGAACCTCTGTCATTACATCACTTGCTTTGATCACATATTTCTTTTTATCACCAATCTGTACTCCACAGTGCGTAAAGCCTTCTAGTATATGTAGTCTAAAAACCAGAAAAAAATATCAAATAAGATATCTATTCTTTAAAAAAGGATAAGTTTATTAAACTGATAGTCTGGTAGCACCGAGTATGCTTCATTTTCAATTTTAAGTAATTTCACCTGTGATAGGGAAAATTATATACAGCCTACTTCCCAGCAATTTTTATTTTCTCCGAGTATTCCAACTTTTGAGCATTTCCATACACACACAGAAATTTAATTATTAAACCAGGTAAGTAATAAAACCAAGAGAGTTTGGCAGAATACCTCATTAACTTCAGTTCTGTTTTCATTTGAACAATTTCTGTAGGTTTTACATTTAGCATTTGTGTGAACTTTCAATTAATGACTGAGATTTAAAATGATTGCTATTTAGATCATAACAAGGAGAAAATTTATTTCACATAACAGACTCAAGAAAGCATTACTGAAAATCAAATTTTGAAAACTTCACTTGATTCTCATCGTAAAAACTTTATAATTTTACATGACATTAAGATTCTACTTCCATTTAAACATGCATGTAATAAGTAGATATCTCTTATCCAATGTATGGAGATGTAATCATACTAGGTGTGATATTTGCTGAAATATCTTCTAAAACTGCAATAGATGAGGGATTGCTTTCTGTAGACCAACTTTCTTTCCAGTGAGATTTACTTTTGTGAATTTTGCAATCAACACAAAATCACAAAATATAGTCGTCAATTAAAACACAGATTATGAGAACTGATTCTTATAGTTAACATGTTTTCCTTTATTCAATAACTGTCAAATTTTGTTTTCAGAACAATTTTTTTTCCCTTGGATTTTTGATTCTGAGGAATTAGTTTTTAAATGAAATACTTAGGTGGAGAGCTAAGGCATGTAGGAGTTCTATGACTAGGTCACCTTTATACCAAATTATGCATGCTTTGAACTGACTGTGATCGACCTTCACATTTAATCTGAAGAAAAGCACAAGATACCATAATATTATGAATCTGAAAGTTAATTAAACTTATCTATTCCTCTAAATATCACATGTTGTCAAAAGTTGTTCTCAATTACGAACAGGTCACCATTGACCTAGGTCCGTCGAACATCCTACAGCAACCTCATCTGTTGTGGCTAAAGTAGCTACCAGATTTGAGGCTTCTTTCAGGGTTTAAATAGAGACCGCACACTTTAAATTTTACGATGGTGGGTCAGAATTTCCTATATAAATTGCTGCAATCTTCATACAATACTGATATGGCAAAAGTCAGCAGCTGTGAAAGAAAGTTGGTTTACATTATTACCTGGTACGGACATATTGCTGATAAGTACAGCATCAGTATCTATCATCCTCAATACTCTCTACACCCCTGAAAAAATTCATGGCAAAAACGGTATAATGTGCGACATCTTGTGGATAAGACTAGAAGACTTGTTTGATCCTTTAATGTATATCAAACAAATATTGAAGTAGCATGTTGGCATGTTGTACTGGTTTTGAAGTTGAAAGTTTCCATCTTCAATGGAAAAAATCAGTCTGTGATTAGTCATGTTTTTTCTCCTGAAACCAGCTCTAGACCAGTAGAATTACTTCGATTGTGTCTGCAATTTTGCAATGAAATGTTCCTGGGGTGCAGAGAGAAAAGGTATTGAGGATGCTGTTTTGATAGACAACTTTTAAACAGCATTGGAATATATGAATATGAAAACTATGTTATCATGACTTTCACCTATCAAGATCTTTAGCCTTCACATCATTAGGCGGATGTTCCATGTTTGCGATGGAGTCATCCATCTTGGTGAAGCCCCTACACAGCCACTGAACCTCAACAGAGCGAACAGTTACCTAGAACAAACCAAATATACAAGTATGAGGTTAGCAGTTCACAGAGTTCATATTTAGTGTGCTGCTATGTGAACAAACAGGAATCAACTATTAATTGTTCAGTTCAGAAGACAGTAGAAACCATTTTTTAGGAAATGAAACATTTAGTTCCATGACACAGACACAAATTTGCTTTTTATAGTAACAATACCTTGACCATCAATTTTCTCGCTTCAATGTAAATCCAAATAATCAGTCTCCTTTTGGGAAATTAGCACGAAGTTTGAGTTTGAATGACCCAAGAGGGCTTAAGTTATAACACTTAAACAATTTTTATCTATTTATAGTAACAGCAATTTTGACCTTTAACATTCAGACTTTCTCAAACTTTAACAATTAAGCCTTATACAAACATTTTCATTAAGAAGTAGTTTATAAAAGTCCAAGTTAGTGATGTGAAGTGATGTTACCACACAGAAACCTTCAACTAGAAAATTGAAGCAGCTGACAACAACATAGTGATCCCTAGTTTCAGGTAACACAAAAAAAATCTTTCAACACTGTCACAGTATCCAGTACACTTACATCTTCCACCTGGACACATACAGGCAGCTTTGATATCTTTGCACGTCTAGCATTGTGTCGTTTTGTTTGGTTTAACCATCTGGCATCTCTGAAATCTTTGATGTAACCAGAAAAAGTTTGCCCACGATAATAACAGCTGTCATAGTTAAACTCAGATTCCTAAAGTGAAAAAGAAACAGACAATAGTGTACAGAAGTATCAACGTCAAGGAAATCCTTCAATTCTAGAAAAGGATTGTCAATCTAACATGTAGATTTCTGTATATACACTGTATAAATTCAACATGGCCTTTCTATATCATTACCTGTGTTTTCAAAGAAATTCCATTTGTAATCTGCCTATACATTTAATATTATGGTAGGCCAATGCATAAATATGTATGTCATTTTGAATCATGTACATTAAATGTTATTTTTTGAGAGATATCATATTTCAAAAACTCTTGTACCTATATATTACATAGCTACTAGAAACAGGAAAGCTGGGAATAATTCCATGTCCTCCCGAATGTTAAGCTAACATGTACAAAACTAATAATAATAAACGTAACTGAGAAATTGTTTATAAAAACATGAAAGTTGTAGTCAAAACATTTATCTTCCTAAGTAAAAATAAACTCACATCATTCATAACATTACTTGTGCACTCCAACATGCAAAGATCTGTGTCCATAATGAGACATCTAGCTCCATCAGGAAAGACAACCTGGATCTGTTGATTCACCATTTCAGGACGTCCAACCCAAGAATCCATAGTTACCTCCCCTGCATCAATCTCAAATCCCTACAAAATAAAGTCCAGCTCAGTCTGCATGATATTGAAGTGTCTTGCATTTGTAAATCAGTATGCCATACAAGAAATTCAATGAATGTTCAACAACACAGCTCTTTTTCATAGCCACTTTTACATATTACAGTATGAAGTTAGATTCCATTACTGTACCACACTTCTTGCACAGACAGCAATACAATTTATATGAAATAGATACAAACATTTGAAGATCTTCTCAATATCAAACCAAGACAGTAAATTTCTGACAAATCTTGTATATATATTTTTTTCACAAGAATTTTTTCTATTAGAAAAATATTTTTTTAGGACATTTATCAACCATTCCGTGCGAATTATATATAACACAAAGTGGAAGAAAAACACAAAGAGGTGGAGGAGTCCAATATCCTGTGGGTGGTACTGGCTGTTAGATGTGTCGGTAGAGGAATCCTAGGTGGATACTGGAGTATTCTAGCAGAACTCCATAGATGATAATAACAAGCAGATATAGGATGGAGCATTAACACCAGGGATTCTGTTACTTAGATTTTATTTGTTGACATGTTTCGGTTGGCTAGGCCAACAGTCTTCAGAACAATTTTACAAAGAGAAAAAGGACAGCTAAAGCGTAAATTACGGCTCAAAATCTTAGTTCTCGGTTCCAGCCAATGATTACATAAAATAAATATGTGTTAACTTCCACAAAAGATTATACAAAGGAAAAGAGATCCAATGTCCAGTGCAATCTACCGAAGGCGTTGTCTGGCTGTCTGTTCCTTTTGTTTTTTACACAAAAGATTGTTAAGATTTATTGACCATTAAAAAATTCAAATGATACATGGAAAATAAACAATAGTTTATCAAAGTTACTTACCTGTAAAGGCCTTAAATCTTTAGTATCTACATTGTAAAGATATTTATTCGTTCCAATTATGTGAAGATGACATTTCATAGTAGTGTCTTGCACAAATCCACGAGGACTATTTTCTCCGACAATCAATTTTCTTATCACATCTCCAGGCATCAAGGATCTGTCTGCCAAAATCACCTTCAAAGACAACAAAAAGAAAACATTACAATCATGGAGAAATTGGTTGGTGATTCAGTCGATCATTTAAGTGTAGGGAAACAGGAAGATTTATCAGGAAACGATGTAGGAATCAGCAAGTGATTTTACAGGGGAAATATAGATGGTGATGTAATATAACAGGGACAAGTATGAGAGGAGAAACAAATAGTGCATGAAAGTAACGTGAAAAAGCAGAATAGAGTTGAAAGGGAGTTTCATAAATAGGGATCAAAAGGAAGGAAAGAAAATGAGTAGGAAGGAAACAAGAGATCCCAGAGGGATCTTGGCGCCCATCATTTGAGGATCTGTTTTCAGTTCTTGAAGATTAGTTTATTTTTTTTTGTTACAGGTGTTGTAAATGTTCATGAACTGGTCTTCATTGAATGTACTCAATGATGGCACAAGATATTTTTATCAAGCACCTATTAGCAAATATCATTTGAAAAAGATCCCAAAGTATTATTAGATATCAGTCAGTTACAGGTGGATAATGGACATGGTCTTGAATCAATATGATAGAATGTCAAAGAAAATATGCTTGTGCTGTATTACTGTCGACATCCAAGAAGGTTGCCTGTGGGCCACCTTGATTTCAAATCAGTCCAAAAGGTCCAATGCACAACTAGGGACCAAGGGAAACTAATACCTATGAAATATCAGAAGGATCCATCCAGTACTTCCTCAGAAATAGCGGTAACAAGATTTTACTCTCAAAATCCAAGATGGCCACCTGTTGGCCATCTTGAATTCGAATCAATCCAAAAAAGGTACAATGCACAACTAGGGACCAAGGGGAACCTGCATATGAAATTTGAGAAAGATCCATCCAGTACTTTTCCAGAAATAGCGGTAACAAGAATTGTTTACGGATAGACGGACGGACGGACGACGGGCGATTTGAATACCCCACCATCTGATGATGGTGGGCTAATAATAAGGGATAAAAGACAATGGGACTCTGGGTTATGGGTGAGGGGTAGGAATGTGGAACTGACTGGTGAATATGTCTACCAAGAAGTGGAATGTTACAACAGACATATACAGGTGCTCATGATTTACAACTGCAAAAATAGAAAATGTGACTGGTCATGCATGGCTAATGGGGAAGAGCTCAAGGTAGAGAATAGTATGGGCACAAAAAATATGAAGAAAGAATATCTGGTAGATTAGGGATGATGAAGAAAACAGTTGATAAGATACTTTGGGCAACTTCGGTGTGTCAAATTATCAGGTTTTGTAGGATAACATCGTGCAACTATAGAGTTAGATTCTGTCTTGTTGTTGATGAATCCCATTTCTAGTTGTTATCACTGCTAGGTCACAAAATTTTAAGACAATTGCAGAAATAATTGTTCTTTTTTCTGTTACTCAGGAATAATGACAAATGACAGTTTATCATAATGTAAAAGAGAAAATGTTAAATAATGAGGTAGTCATTTTACTTTTTGGTTGGTTAAAATTTCTATATTATGATATAGACAGATACATTTATGTGATGACATATGGTTTGTAAATTGATTTATTTCTGGCTAAATATGAAAATGAGAAAAACTGAATCATGCAGCAGATGTAGTGATATCACTTTCAATGAATATGGGTGTGAAATTGTGAACTTGTAAATGGAAAATTGTATACATTAGCTATGTGCATTGGAAACCATTTTTGGACAGTCGAATATGACAAGGCTCCGTTATGATGAGCAGGCCAGGTTGAGCATGTGCAGTGCACCATTGATCACCTTGCTTTCCGTTTCTATCGCGTCATTTCCCTCAGGATGCCACACCACTTTGACAGTACCATGGCGTAGACGATCTTCTTCCTCGTCTTCGCTACTAAAATATTCTGAATTTTCTAACACGAAGCCGAATTCATAGCCACCGTCATCTTTCTTCTTGCATACTTCATCTTCAACGAACAGGTCCAACTCTTTTCCTGCCATTTTGTCTTTCTAACTTATGAGACGGATGCGGCGATAAATATCCGGTTTATGTTCCAATAAATCTTACCTTATTTGGTATCAATGGTACAAAAACAATTCATTTTTCACAATTTATTAATCTCTTTTCATCCAAAAAGAATTATTAGATTCTAGCTTCAATATCAGATTCAAAAGGTATTTTCATCGTCATATTCCGGATTTCTTTTACCTTGAAAGACATTTTAGTTACTACCATTGCACCGCAGTGTCAACAAGAAAGATGGCGTCAAAGTTTACTCGATTGGTCTTGTCGACTGTTCGTCGTCCGCTGCTGACACCTAAGGGTGCAACACCCCTTAAAATGATACCAAAAAGAAATATAGTATGCAGTGAAACTGGAGCAGTCCTTCCAGAACCTCATGTCGACCGTTTTGGGGTATTTAAAGTGTTGTTGGTTGTCATGCCATTTTTGTATGTCGGAGCAACGATAGGAAAAGAGGGTGCCGCGTTCATGGAGGAAAATGACATATTTGTGCCAGATGACGATGATGATGACTAATCTTGAGTAAGGATATATATGAATATGCACGATTTCTGTACCATACATTTTTCTTGCAATGCTGAATTTAGAGTGTGGGTGTGGTCGGGGGGGGGGGGGGGGGGGGCTTGTGGTTACATTGGCAAAACACACAAACAGTGAGGTGACAGAGAAGTATTTCACGTTTTGCGACGTCACAAGGATATGTCGTCTCTAGCAGTACCGTATTAAAATAATATTTTAGGATAATAGATATAATTATACTTACCTTAGACTTTAGTATTTTGGTAGCATAACCTTTTTCCTTGATAACAGCATGAAGTCTTTGTAGTATGGAGCGGAAAAAGTTATTAATGTTTGTCAGAAAATGTACCCAACATTCTTTTGACGGCAGCAATCAAGTCGGCGTGGTTTTTGATTGCATGTATATCTTTCTCTAGTTGGATTTTTATTATCCTCCACACATTTTCAGTCACATTCTGGAGACTGGGATGGCCAGTCCAGACTATTAATTTTGTTGTCCTTTTTCCATTGCAAGGGCTCCAAAGAGTTATGAATGGGCGTATTTTCATTCTTGGTTACAAATCTCCATCAGGAAAATGTTTGGCAGTCATATGCCACAAGTTTTCTTCCAGAATATCTGTACTTCCTAGAGTTTGTATTTCCGTCAACTTCACCGACACACACTGGTCGCCAACGTTCAGAGACTTTTCTCTAATTAATAAACACATCAATTTTTGCCCGATACCACCTGCATCTTATCTGAGAATATGATTTTTCTCCAATGTGGTTGAATAGTCCAGTGTAGACGCGTCATCACTCCAGAATTCCAGTATATAAAAATAAACACAATCCGTCTAGTTTGCAAACCCATGTGTGTCGCACAACAATGCAACATCACGAAACGTGAAATACTTTTGTCACATCACATAATGCTTATGTTAGGCCTAAACTTAAGCTTATCTGTTTAGTTTTTATGTGCAGTCTTCCATGACTAAGCAAATAAACTTTTTTTTGCTTTGTAATGAATTCAAGATTGATGGGCATGTTGTTGGAGTGTTGTTTCAATCATCTGTTTATGTTGGATGCATTTTCTGCTGGCTTTAATTGGTGAACATCCAAATCCTGTCTCTAAGATAATCAATAAAGTAGCTCATCATTTTAGAGACATATTTCATTCAAGGCATTAGGGATGTAATTCATAACTTCCATCAAAATCCCAATGTTTACTGTTGCTTTCAACCTTATGATCAGCAGTCTTTAATCTACGTTGACTGTAACGCAAGAACAGGATGGACATACAGATGTATGGGCGCTTCGCATTGAACACTGTCACTAGTCATTCCAGACAGAAACAGAAAGAACAATTTGCCCCAATTAATTTAGTAAAGAAATAAGTAGACTTAGGCACAAGTATAATCTTCGTGAGATAGGCTTATGTGTTGATGACAAGCTCACAGAGTCAAAATATGTAAGGCCCAAATATGCCCAAAAGGTTAATGTTGATCAATGCAAACAGGGGAATAAGTCGTAAGATTTTCATTTCCTATTATTGGCACTGAAGATCTATAAGTTTTGTCAATGGTTTTTGGGATATTAAGAAAGATGTTTTCAAATTAAGTTAATTAAAAGTGTTTACAGCATTTGATTTGTGGCATAGAATCCTACTTTTTATCTGAATTTTGTATTCCCAATTGTGCAAAGGACAAACTTTCTTGGAATGTTGCCAAGGTTACAATCATCAAAAGTGTCTCTGCCGAGTTCAAGCAAATATGATTGATTTGGAATGGATCACTTTGATGATTCCATGCGCATATGCTAATTAATTTTTTGCTCTTTTGAAATGACTTCAGTTGAGTTCAAAATAAACTTGAAAAGATGAAAACATTCCTGTTTCAAAATCATGTTGATTTATCTCAGTAAAAGTCACTCTGTGCCATGTACCAACTCCATTTGTCCTAATTGGTGACCAGTATGATGATAACTACGAAACTTGTCAGATATATAGATATAATAACAACTTTTCTTACTTTCCATATGATGTATACCTCTTACTCATAAGTTCGGCTTGTTTTTTTTTTGGCTGATCCTGCCATCAGATTTTTCTATGGCAAGACATATTATTGAATATACTCAACTGTATTTTCGTTTTTGCAAACTAAGTGAGGTCACTCATTTAGTATTAAGGTCAGTCCTTAGACATCAACTAATCACTGTTTTTAACAACTATGAACTCAAAAACAAATAGTTATTTTATTTGAAGGAGTGTACTAATTTAGAAAAGTTTTGCTAAGACTTTATAGAGCTCTCATAAGATCAAAATTAGACTACGATTCCATGGTTTATTGATCTACTAGGCCTTCATATTATTAGACACTGTTCATCATGATGTTCTCAGGCTTGCTCTTGGAGCTTTTAAGACCTCACCAACACAAGTCCCTATGTAGACGCTAACAAGCTGTCATTATATATCATCAAAATAAATTGGCTTTGCAATACACTATTCAGCTGAAGTAAAAACATTCAAATCCTGCTTTTTCACTTGGATTTGTTTGAATATATTCGAGGGCGAGGTAGATAGCTCGCTCTTTTGTCGAGAATATTGAGGCATTCGGTAGTTAGCATCCATAGGCTTCATCTTGTGTAACCATCAGTGTATAACTGTAGAAATGTTTTATATTTTATCTGCAATTCGAGAAGAAAGGCCGAAAGGTGCAACATTTAAGATTTTTAGCATTTGTCTTTTACCTTTTAGCTTGATATTATGATGTGTTGACAGGCCTTTAAGAATGTAAAGATGATAATTATAATAATAATTTAGAAAGTTTTGAAAATAAAACATTCGATGAATGTAATTTACATCAGAGAGTGTCACTATAGATTGTATATCCTTTCAGTTTTTTGAGTAAAATAAAGAGTTTGAGGGTATAGTGGTACATATACCTGCTACCTATATTTTTTGGGTCATTAGACTGGGAGGGTCATGATGAACAATTGCTATCATGCATTGTTCCTTACCGTCCGCCATCTATAAACTTTCCGTTTAAAACACTACTCCTGTTTAATGCCTTGGCAGTTTTCAACCAAATTTAGCCTGAAACATCATCTGTTATTGGGAATTATTTCTTAAATTCAAAAAGTTGGTTCAACCCGTAGGGATCTTGGGATGGGGCCCGAAAAGGGTAGTTAGACAATACTTTGCTTCAAAATGCTACTCTTCCGTAATGCTTGAATGGATTTTATTCAAATTTTGTCTAACATTAGTACAGGTGGCATTTAATTCTGAAATTGCAGAAGTTGATATGCCCCCAAAGAGTTAGTCAGTATTTTGCCTTAAAATGCTACTTACTGTTCTTTAGTGCTTGAATGAATTTCAATCAAATTTCCAAATTGGGTCTGAAACATCATTGAAGGTGAATAAACATTTCTTAAAATCAGAAAGTTGATTCAACCTCCAAGGGGTTGGGGACAGGGCCCCAAATGGAGAAGTTAGTCGATATTTTGCTTGGAAATGCTACTTTTTCTGAATGCTTAAATGAATTTATTCAAATTTTATCTGAAACATGAGTAGGGGTTGGAAATTAACTCTTAAATTCAAAAAGTTAATATGACCCTAAGGGACTTTGGGACAGGGCCCCAAATGGGGATGTTACCGTGTCAATAATTTGCTTCAAAATGATACTCTCCCTTAATGCTTAGATGAAACGTCATTTAAGATGGAGAAGCATTTCTTAAAATTCAGAAAAATTTATTTGACCTCTATGGAATTAGGGAGGTGGCTCCAAAAGTGGAAGTTAGACAATAATTTGCTTTAGAATGCTATTTCTTCTTATTGCCTGGGTAGATTTCAACCAAACTTGTTCTGAAGTATCATTGCAGATGGGTTAAGTCTTTTGTCTAACTGTGATAAAAGCATTAGATTGAGACATTATGTAAAATAATATTCATTTGCCTCATTGTTCAACAATGGTATAGCCCTATGTTCACTGAATCAAAACATAACTTCATCAAATATAAAATGTTTAATGTCCTGGGCACACCTTGTATACTATATATCTGTGTATTGTCTCATAAATGTATTAGACAGTATACCTGATATATGTACAACCATTTGTCAAATGTCTCACTGGCTATATATAGCCTTGTTATGACCAGAAAATAATTTAGCCCCATCTCATTGTTTGAATCCCCTTACCCACAACCCCAGACTCTAAAAAAAACTGCTAGGTTTTCAGTTTTAATAGATTTAAGTGTTACTGACTATATACTGGGCTTGTACCTCTGGTAATCAACTGAGTTTTTTCATCCTTAGTTTAGTTCTTTTTTTTTTTAAGTTATTTATAGCACACTTGCTTTCTTTTTCAGGTAACATTTCGTGTGAAAACCATCTGTACAGCTGTCCAATTGCCTGAATTGATGTAAGAAGAGAATTGTAAATACTGAAATTCATGACCAAATTCCACTAGACATTGAAGTCTGAAGCTCCAACTGAAATGAAGACCTACACCAGCTTTGTATTCAAGAGTAGTTAAAATTACATTGAAATGACACTTATTTTTTCCAAACTACCATCATTTCTTAGTTTATATATATGCTTTGATCCACACGAACACATCTGCTGTGATTCAGAACAATATTGGCATTTAACAGATGTATTTAAGCACTATTATTTGACTGTACAAGTGCGGCTATTAATTGTGAAGTGTATTTATAATAGAACTTCTCACATTTCCTTAGATGTATAGAAAAAATACCTTTGTTTTATTATTATGTAAATTACTATATATTGCTTTTCATTGAACCTTGTTAGCAACATTTTGCAAAATTTATTGATATACATTTTCCTTCTTTTTAATGATATATATGTACAGATCATGAATGCTGTTCGTTATTAAAATTGTCTCTACTAGTGTTTAAGTTTTCAATTTTCTCTATACTTTACTACAACATCAAAAGATATGTAATATATACATATATTAATGGTCTTTCAATCTTATTTGATTTTTAGCCCATTCTGTGTATGTGTCATCTAGATAACATGCAGTTATGTAAAATCATAAATCAGAAAAAAAAATTCATGATTATTGCTCAGCAGTGATCCTGTCATTACCTCCCCTTATCTTGTGACTATAGACCTATTAGTAATGTAATATGGTAACCAAGATATTAAAAGTCATCTGACTAAGGCCACAGGACGGGAAATTCACTCTTCATTTCTTCCTGCTTTTCTATGATTATGATTACATTTGCATAATATATCAACTTTCACTTCATACTTAAATTGCAGCCTTTGGCCTAGATAATACCTGTCTGGGAGGGATATTTTTTAAGGACTTCCTGCCGGTACATGAATAGGCAAGGGCCCATTTTTTCTTTCCATACCAAGTCCTTTTTTCAACATTTTCGTAAAATTTACCTTTTTTTTAAGGCAATTGTATTTGGCAAACAGTGAAAAAAGTTACAATATTTAATTAGAAGAAAATGCCTGGTGTATTTTCAGATAAGTGTGTGCAAAAGAAACTGGAAACTGGTGGTATTTATTTGTCGAGAATAACCACGTCTGTTGTGCAGTTAATAACAGAAACTTCAAAACTTTAACAAGAATTTATTGCATCCAAAACATGCATTGTTCAACACAACATCAACAAGTAAGAATTTGAATATATTACTTTTTATCACAGACTATGTTCGAAAATTATAATTGTTACAGGTAATCTTTTTATACAAACTTAACAGCAAATAACAAAACAAATTCCACCAGTATTTTATACATCTTGAGAATCCAACATCAAATTGAATGATTACATAAATAAGTCTATACACAAAATAAAACTTGAGGTCCAGCATCAATTATCTGTTCATTATTTCAAAATCAAATAGCTGTTTTAAACATTTGATTAAGGCTATTCCAGTCAAGCATCTACCTAATCCCAGAACTTCTAAAATAAATCCCTTCCATCTATGGTTCAGGTCACTGCCTACTGTTCTATAACAATTGGTGGTAGGAACATTTTACTGAAATAGCATTACAGCTGTTCTAGAGGTGGATGTATGAGAGGCATGGATGCTTAAATGGTAAAAATTATGAGTGGGAAAGTATCTATACATGTGTAGGCAGAGTTAGGAAAAGAACCCCTACTTCCAGACATAATTTCTGGAGTCATGCTTTGGTTCTGTACATGCACATTAGCACCTAAAAAAACTAATTAACTAACATTTATTAGACATGAAATGAAGACTGCCTATGTAATACACAATGAGCATTGACATCGGTGTGTACTTTAAGGGTATATTACAAAGAATTACAATTTCTAAGCTGTTGTATAATCATCATACCCTTTGCATTTTCTTTTCTTTCTTCCCCTCCCAATAAAAAAAAGTTGAAAGTCATTTTATCAAGGTTTGAAACAGATTATCTCCCTTGGATCACTGAGTGGAGGGAACAATCCAAAATAGTCTTTTCAGACACTATTTTAATATTTCATACAGGTTTATCATATATCAAATGTGTTGATTTATATCATTAAAACATTATGACAACATAAATACAATTAAATTCACTTCAATAAATGAATAACATTACTTATAGTTACAGACTTTGTACAGAGGTGGTTACAACAACAGTCTTTACATCCATTTATTATATAATAGAGTAATTGTAGTGTATCAGTCACTTATTGTGATTGGTGTTATTGCATTTATGTTGTTAAACAAGGAATATTTCAGAGAATATTCACATTTAACAAGAGCATAATACCTACATATTTGTCTGTAGATTACTGCACAGGTAAATCACCCCATACATACCTGCATGAATGATATGTGAAATGTGATAACTTTAGTTTCAACCACCCAACCCCAATAATCTTGTACTTGATCTGTGTTAATGTCATGTTTTATGTACCAAGACCATGTGATCCAAGGTAGATATTTTCGATAACAGAAAAGCCATATGAAAGCAAGTAAAAAAACGAAGTAGAAAATCGACTCCATTTGAGACAGGACGGACACAGGAAATAATTAAGAAATGAGCATTACCATGTGATTTTAAAAATTAATAAACAATACTTATTCATTTGCACGATAGAGAAGCTTATTATCACATTCCTCACTGTATACACTTGATAATTTGATTCATTTATAATACTGTATATATTCTGATATCACTCATGCACTACAAATATTTCTTGTAATACTGATATCGATGAACAGTGTGGTATTTACATTATACATTCTAGTGGGTCTTGCTGTATGTAACCTACTTTTAACTGCACTTTTACATTTTTAACTCACTAACGCATGGACAAATGCTATCTAATCACTGTTCAAATAGTGAAGAAACCACTCGTGAGGCTCTGATAGACTTTTTATACATAGTATTGGTTGCACCATTGTCTAGATCTGTTATCGTGTGGGTTATTTCATGTTGTTCGGGATCCTTTAGATTGGAAGAAATTGTAACAGTGCTGACATAAGCAGGTCTTCTCTTGGTGGAGCTTTCATTCTGCAGTTAAAATATATATCAGTAAAAAAATAGACAACAAATATACAATTCCATTCAGTTATAGGTTACTTCAATAATAACTAAACAGGAATACAAAGAAGGAACATCAATTGATCTGACATTGTCACATACATAAAACAATGGATGTTTAGTAACTCATATGTGTCATACAAACCATTTATGTTACAATGCAGGTTAGATAATTTTTGATAAAATACATGTATTATGTTAACTTCAGGAAAAAATTCAGTTCAGCATGCAAGATAAACTTGCGTATCTTGGACCCTTTCTAGGTATATATGCCCTCCTCTTATCATACTGAAGATATCTAATGTTAATGAAATAACACATAATATAGGCCAACTGCATGAGTATCACGGGGTGTATGATTTAGATGATAACAATGAAACATGCCTATATGAATGACAGTTGGGGGGGGGGTCACTCATGCAATTAGATTCTCGTCCATTAGGAGTATCTTGATAAAAAAATATTCGTTACAGTGTACGTAGTCTGACAGGATACATTAATTAAAAGGATGTAGTCATTATAATGGTAATTAAGCCTGAGGGAAAGAAAATATGCATACACACAAAATACCTGTATATGGAAAATATCTACACAGTAGTTAAATTTTATTGCTGACACAAACTTTTATTATATTGTTGTATTTTTGACCTTGACACTTGATGTTACACTTCAGTAATTCAAGGTTACAAAGTTTCCATCAACCGTTAATAACCATATATGAATAGATTTCAATAGAATATCAGTTCATACCATTGTTACTGGACCTGGGCAAATAGCTTGCTGATATTGTTCTATACAAAGACCTTGGTTGTACATTGTTCCTTCTGAAATGAAATCAAGCAAAATAATCAGAATTAAAGCACAAGAACTGCTGTGTATTATATGAGGTTTGTAGTAACATGTCCTGTATATACCTGGTGCACATGTATGTCACAATGGTGTTGCTGAATAAGCCTTTTTCAGTTCCTCTAAATGTCTGATCCCTTTAAATATCCAATCCTTTTAAATCTGCTATCCCTTTAATTCCATATCCTTTTCAATTTTAACTTAAACAAGTATCTCTCTTAACTGATATATAAAAATAGCTGATCACTGATCAGACATGTCCCAGTTAAGCTTTAGTCAGTACAATCCAGATTTTTCAATATGAGAAATGAAAAGGTAAAATAGTTTCCCCATCTGAATGAGTATCTTAGAAGATGGGGTGTTTATAAAATTAATTTCTTTCGTGAAAGAATTGTTATGTAAAATATGAAGTAACTTTGATGCTCTGAGAAAAAGACTTGTTTCATCAAAACAAACCTCTCAGTTTTTTTTCTCCAATTTCATTGCAATTTTGAGGTGTGATGATAAAGGAACTTCTACGTGCCTTGAGTCCATACGAAGCTGGGGAAGTTGATACTGGTGAATGCAGTTGTATGTTACTTTGTTCTACGTCTTGACATAGTTCATCATCAAAATAAAATTCCTCAACCTCTGCCTTCTTTCCCATCTAAAATAAAATTGAGAAAGGGCCACAGCTTAGAGTAGAGTATTTGATCTTATTCTGATTTCTGTCTCAAACCATTCAAGTTACAATGTGACCTACTAGGGTAAATTCTGACTTGATTTCCAAATGTAGGGTGTGGAAGAATTAAAAATTTCTCAACAGAAAGAGAAGCTTCAATGCTAAGTAAATGATTTCCTCCTCCATCCATGTTGATGTTCACATAAAGTGAAATAAATGAAAAGAGTTGTGTTGTCACCCTGTTAGGAAATTAATTCTTTCATTTGCACCGAAAGCATTATAATAAATACTGCAGAACCACTGCACATGGTACTTAGATCAGATATCTCCATACATCAAGTAATTCATAAAGAAAGAATACCTTGAGTTCTAACCATTCAGATTTAGAGAAAACTACAATTTGTAATATGTAAAGTAAATGTATGTACAGATGAGACAAACTTTACAAATACCTTATTCACTTTCTTTGCTTTCACATTGGAAGGAATAGAATCACACTGTGGGCTATCATCAAACAAAGGACTCCTTATTCTTGCATTCGATGCTGAAAAAGTTACTCAATTTTTACTTCAGCTGGTATCTTTATAGAAAAAACTTAAATCCCACTAACATCAATATCAAAATTATTTATAGAATAGTTTATCGTTCTGTCAAATGCATGGACACTGGAATATCAGGAAACCTACAAGTCTACAAGTACAATGAAGTGATTTGACTGTTTCATGAAATTGTTTTTATTACAATACAACTATATTACAGACTTCCTTTTGAACTCCTATGGGAAAGAAGTTTTAATAATGACAGTAGTCCTAAATTGGTTGCTCCTAATGAAAAACAATTATCAGAGACCACAAAATGTTTGTTAGGACATCACTTTCTAAGTTCATTTCTAAGAAATCACTTACGTTGCTAGTGTTGGTACAGTGAAGTAGCAAATGTATGACTTAAAATGAGTATTAAAATGCAGATATTATAAATGATCCAGTCCCATTGAGTGGTGTTAAAACTGTGAGAAGAAACTGATCATCAGTTGAACAACTAAATGTTTTCTTGACAAAAAGAATTAAGGAAGAAGTTTTAGAGAAATATGACAATTAGACCTGAATGATATAGTGAAAAAGGAAGATCAGGCAAGGATTATGGTGGATGGATTTAAGCAAAAACAATATTATATAAATACATCTTCACAAAGTGAAAAATGAATTTTTAATGCTATTGAGAGTACTGAATGTTTGAATTATTTCAAAATGTCAATATTTGAATGGTTTAGAACTTTCAAACAGAAATTTTATTTTTCCTTCTCAAAAGTTAAATTCCAAGATATGAATTGACCTGCTCAATTCCAAAGGAATCAACTTTAGTTTTCATCCCATCCTCATTAAAAGTTTTAGAAATTAACTTGCATGCAATGAGATTATTAATTATTAGCTCACCAGACCCATAGGGCCCAATGGGGAAATTCTATCAATTTCTTTAAAATCTGTCTTCAGGAATTACAGGATATTGTTCAAATTTGGTCTGAAGCATGTTTGGGTGATAGGAAATCAGTATCATATAAAAGGTGGGTCTCAGCTTCCTAGGGGCAGAGTTCATTAGTAGAAATAAACAAAGTCTTAAAAATCCTTTTGTTGGAATGAATCAATTTTGTCCTGATTTGATTTGAAGCATCATTGTTTAAGAGAACTTAGTTAAGTGCAAACAGTGCATCTAACCCCATTAAGGAAGAGGGGCAGGGCGTAATAGAGGAAATAGAAACAAATGTTCAAATACCTTCCATTTAGCTAAAATTTATCAATTTTAGTAAACTAAACCTAGTGAGTGATACAGGGCTTTTGGCCTCTTTTCATTGAATTAAAGTCAACCCAACAACCCCTTCCATCAACAAAACCACTCACCTTATCCAAAGCGATCAGTTAAACTTCTTCTAAATGTATAAACAATATCAGACAGAAGGTTTGTTAACGTAGATTCTAGATCTGCATTAATAAACTGGGTTGTGTCCCATAAAAGGTAATTTTGTTTGATTTTATAAACTTACTGATATTTTCTTTTATATCCAAAGCATGAAAAATTTCTTCACTCATTGAGTTCCTCACTTTTATTATTTCATTTGTCACCCATTTCTCAATGAGTTCAGAGGCAACACTGCTGTTGTCACACAAAGATGAACCTGATTAAAATGGAAATGCTTAGATTTATGTACACATTTAGTTGTGTATATACCTGGTATATAATATGTAAACCCTTTGAAACTAGCCGTATCAACTCTGAAAGATTACCATACATATACACAATTCCAATCGACAACTGAAGGTTCAAGTTACTATACTTGTGATTTCAGATGAATTTTAAAATTTTGTTTTTATTTTTTTACACTCTCATAGTTTTAAATTAATGTCATAACGTTTGTTTTTGCTTAAATCTATCATGTGTATAAATTTCTACCTTTGTTGTATCACATAAAATGCAAAAGTGTAGAACTAAATTTGGAATGGGCTCCCCTCTATAAATTACATGCATGTATGCATTATACATTATTATTGGTATATCTATGAGAACATCATCAAGCATGAAGTGACTACCAGGGGTAAATCAAAAGATCCCAATTCAAAATATATCTTTATGTATATATGTCACCATACACAACTATTATCATTTAGTCACCTGCTAGTGAATTATCTAAAAGGACAACAATCATGGATATACATCCAGTTTAAATACAAGTTTTTTTGATGAAAATGGCTGTAATTAAGAAAACTGATGATTTAGCTAGTCACAGCGATATGTATATGACAAATCCTGGAAATATATTTCCAAAAGGTTATAATAGTTTAACAATGTTTGACAATAAACATGCACACAAGCTAGTAAAGTACAATGATTAAAACCAACCCCCTCTTTAATAATGGTTATTGTGGGAATATGAAATTTATGAACATCTAAACATACTATCATAAATCTGGAATTCTAGGTTTGCTTTTAAATGTACATATGTATTCTGAATAGTATTGTACACAATACACATGCAGATACTACTATCTATTGCACATGTATAGATGTGTACACATGTAACAAATTAGCATACCACTATCACAGGGTGAGACAGTAGTCAGGCTACTGCTGTTCATAACATCTTTGACAGAAGACGGAGGTGCATAATTTTCCTCATACTGTTTTGCTGGGGATGTTGAATTCCTCACTTTTCTGTTGGATTTGCCACCTGTAGATGTATGTTTAATTTCTTATCACTTATAATTGTTACATTTGGGGTGATGGCTGACCTACAATCTAAGGCCACATGTGGGCAAATCATTCTTCATTAACAATTATATAAGCTCTTACAATCATTGTCTGTAAGATAGCCAGTTGTAATATCCTGTCTCCTATTAAAATTGTGTCACTGATAAGATATATCTTATTTTAAGATTCTGGGTCATATATCTCAGCAGAAAATAGGAATTACTGCATGATAGGATAGATGGATGGGGTGTTATTAGGTAAGAGTGACCTGGTTTTGAGATAACAGATCTCATAGAAAAAACTTTTAACAAAATATGCATTCTATTACAAAAAGACATTGAAAGCTATGAGAATGTTTGAGATAACAGGAAACATTAGGTTATTTGGTCATTGTTATCACATAAGTCTCAAGTATTTAACTGGTTCCTAGACTAACCATGCTGTGTTGTATTGGTTTCAGCTATATGCCAGACAAGATCATCATGATAGCAACAATTAACATTCAAAAAAATTCATTTAGTGTAAAACATCAAATCTCAAATTGAAAATTGAAATTGATAGAGGACACTAAAGTGTAAAACATCAAATCTCAAATCTCAAATTGAAATTGATAGAGGACATTAAACTTCACTAAGACAAAAAATTAGATTATAAGAATAAAGACTTGTAGGTCAGGACTCTTAATACTACAGACTACACAACTATTCAAATTTAATTTATGTGCCAGTCTGTCAGGACAAGCAACTTATGAAGAAATTAGAATTATGTGAAAAAAGTCAAATAGTATGATAATTCAATATATTTTCTCACCTGAATGATTTTGCTGCTCCGTTCCATGATTGTTGTAGTCGTTTGAGATTTTCATATCTTTTTCACTGCTGATATCTTGCTTATCCAATTTCTATTAAGCATTGAGAATTTAATTTTACCACATTTGTCCAGCTGTAAGCCCATGTCTTGTGGTAAGCTTACCCACATTTATCACATCTTAGTGAAATTGATATAACAAAAAATTATCGCCATGTCCTGTAGTTAGCCTACCTAACTATAAGTTTGAGTTGATGTGTTAGCAGGCAATGCAAAATTTTAAAAAAAATACTCCCAGAAATAGCACAGTATGAATGATACTTCAATATCAGCAACATGTTGATTGTTCCAGGAATATTTTATAGTTTTTGTGATTGATCAGTCAAGGTTTTTAATAGCCAATTTATGTTTGAATGAAAGTAAGAAAAATCATTAGAGAAAAAACTTGAAAATATAGCTGTAAGACCTGAACAATTTTTTGTGAAAAATTAGAATATTTGACATTTATTATACTTTTTTATACCATACTTACTGGATAAATGCAATTATCTCCATCCATGCAGTCCTTTATATTTCCATGTAAAACTGCCTGCTTCAACTTGTGCTAAAAGATAATGAAACAGCTCTAAATTACTGTTATCAACAAGGATGACCCCAATTGCTTCCTCAAGTAGTTTCCCAGGTAAATGAAAACTACTTCAAAAAATAGACTGGAAAAATATTGATATGAAGGTCATCAATTTAATCAGTAATTGGTCAGAAGTTTTCTCCACAGAAAAACCATGCCAGAATTCAAGTGAAAAGTATTGCATAATTAATAACCGTGTATGGATGATTTTAAAGTTTTTATTTCATAAAACTATCACATAAAATTAAACAAGCTTACACTGCTTTCCTGATGCTGGTATAAGTCCACCAAATTACGAACACTCCCTGGTTGTTTCAGCAACCTGAAACAGTACATATAGTTAAGATCACAAAATGTTTCAATTTTATGCATAAAGAACAAACTTTTATCTAATATGTAGTAAGGTATATGTAACACAGTTTACAATATATCTTAATTCATTAATGATGTAGTAACTTTTTAATAAAAACAAAAAAAACTCACATTTGTGTTTCCTTCCTAAGTTCAGGTGTCATTCCCATTCTTTTCCTCTTTCTGGGCATAGTGCTGTAATGCTGATTCTGTACAGCAATTGATTTTCTGTTTGGTGTACTTTCATTTCCTTCAAAACAGTCCATGTTGTATAAAGCAAATACACTTCCAGCAGTACTGAGATTTTTTTCAGTATCTTTCTCTATTACTTCAAAAGGTGCTGTACAATGACTAGCTGGTTTGACACTGACCCCTGTTGGGCTCTTGACCTGCTGAATCTGTAGGTAGCTAAATCTAGTAGCTAATGGCTTTGCAAGGCTTGAATTTAGTTGATGATCTGCATCTTGACTGGAGATGAATGACCAAAACCATGACAATTTAGAATCATATTTACACAGAGTAACAGCATCATGTCATGAGACTGACATCACACTGAAGACATATTAGCAGAAATTAAGTTAAAATGATGATGGAAAGAGACCTAATAGGGATTTTATGAGATTTTATGGTGATGTTGGGAGAATTTCTTGTAGACTTGATAGTGATGTTTGGAGATTTGATGGTAATGTTGCAACATCACCATATTCAATTCCATTTTAAATTATATTTTGAATTGCCCTCAGTCTGACAAATTTGATTATCAGACAGTAATATGTAGATCAAATATTGTCAAAGCTGTAGAGCTTCAATTAACATAGATGCAATATTCCTTAACAGCTTGTAGTCTAAATACTTATTTTTCAAACCCAAAAAATTTAAAATTGATGAAAAATGATAAATACTGAGTCTTTACATTTATATACAATGAAAGGTAACCAATCAACTCCTGAATTTTATGACATCTTGTTTCAATACAACGAGAAGCTACCACCTCAACACCTTGTATTCTGACACCCTGACAAATCAGAACAATCTGATGTTTTTTATGGTACTGATTTAGGCTGGTTTCACTGTGTAACTGACCTTGTTTGAGTACTGCATGACTCCTCACTTTCACTGGATGTGATGTTACTGATGACTTTGTCAGGATAAGCCCCTTCATTTTCAGGTTCATACTGACCATACTGCATGTTTTCACACTGTTGATCACAAGTCATTTGGTCATACCTTCGCTGCTCCTGCAGCTGGTGTTGTTGTTTATTATATTCTTGTTTGTGATGTGGCTTATGATACCCCTGCTCAAGTGGATGCTTTTCATATAAGTCTTGGTCATAGCCTTGCTGAAAGTGTTGTTCACCATACCCTTGTTGAGGACATCGAGGATCATACCCTTGCTGCGGGTGATGCTTTTCATACAATTCCACTGGATGGTGTTGCTGTTGCAGTTGTCTGTGATTCACTATTTGCTGGTTGTGTTTCTCATCACATACCTGCTGATCTTGACTGTAATCTTGTTGATAATTGCTGATGTTTTCTTTCTTTGGTAAAACTTTGACCCTGTAGAAATACTCATGATGATTTTGTCCCTCCTGTAAATCCCAATGTGTCCTGCAAATAATGAAAATACAGAAACAAATTTTTATTGTTCTCTTCAGAACATGTAGGAAACTCACAACTACACATCATCATTAAGCCTTCTTAAAAGTTTCAAAAATTGGTAGAATTTATCATAAAATCCTTGAACATGGTTTAAAGCCTGGCTCAAACACCACCACCCCCCACCCACCACCCCCCAAAGAAAAGAAAAACAAAAAAAATTAAAAAAAAAAAAAAAAAGAGAGAGAATCACTCATGTAAAAAATATCTAGACCTTATATTAATGTTATAAAAAAGCCATGTTAACAAAGCTAACACAATTTTAAGAAATGGATTTTTTTTTTCAATCAAAATTCAATGCAGTGTTGTAATAATCTAAACTTTTTAGTTTTTGCATAATATGTGAAAGTCACAAACACAAATTACTTTTTGATATCAAAAGAAACACCATCCTTAGACATGTACTCGTATCCTTTTGCTGGGGAACTATTTGCACCTGTAGGATGACTTCCATTCCTGGGTTTTGTTTCTTTACTTGACTGGTTTTGATCATGCCTGAAATAGGCACAACAAATTTGTCAGATAACATGATAAGCAATGATTTTAAAGAAAAGTTTGATTGCATTATGCACAAGATTGGTGTGTTATGTTGAATATAACAGAATAATGAAAGATGTGGAGATCAGATTGAACAACATCACCAATTTGCTCATATCAACACCTCATAAAATTTACAAATATAGTTAAAAAAAACAGAATGATTTTCATGGAAAAGATTCCAAATGAAAAAAAAAAGTTCTATTCTAAAAAGAAAAAAGAGTCCCATTGTATGACAACTCTCACCGTTTTACTTTTTGTCCAACAGGTTGTTTTTTGGGACGCTGAGGTTTTTCACTGGAATGTGGCATTTGCTCTTGTCTCATTTCATCTCTCCCTTTTCCTCTGCTAGACCGTTGCCTAGATCTGGATGATTCCTGTTGTGTGAAAGTTTCTCTGTTGCTGTCAAATGGTTGTTCTTTTGGCAAAAGATTGGAGATATATTGCTTTACTTTCTGAAAAAAAGAATTCATCAATTTGACGGAGTGATTTCAAATGCCAAACAAAAGAGAGTATTTTAACATTTTGCATCAGTTTAGCTTTCAAACATTGATTAACAAATTGGCTCCTTTTTCTTGAAGTAGTGTTCATCATTAATAAGAAATTAGAATTAACCTATTTCCTTCAACTTAGTTTGTATTTCAGAAACAAAATACATGAAGAAAAGAAGATGTGACTATATAAATGATTAAACCTGCATCATAGTTTATAACAATACCACATGCTTACATGAGCAGATTAGATTTCATCATGCAAATAGTACTATGGAGGATCTGAATTATCAAACTACACGATGTGTATTATAATAAAGTTTTATTAAATATACCTGGTATATAAAATTAAATATATTAAATATATAAGAGTAACAATACAGACAGTCCATGCCAAAGAGGAATACATTATTATATCCATAAGAATATATCTAAAATGCCAGGCCAAAAAACACCATTGATATTATTCTACATGCTATAATGAAAAAGAATACCAAGGTTTAGAAAGTTTTTGTCAAAATCTGAGAGAATTCTACGAACAATTTTAAAATGCTGTAAATAACAAAAGCCAATTAGTCTTCTATTTGACTGCAGATTTCCTTTTTTTTCTTTTTCTTGATAAAGAAGCATACTTCAGTTGACAATCCCAAGATATCTCGGACATGGTTGAAACTCAGCTGACGGTGTTGAGGGTCCAGCTGTAAACCATATTCCATCAGAGTTAGAAATAACTGAGGTGTCCTTCCTGTATTCAGTGTCAATTGCTCTCCATCATTAAACATTTTATGTCTAATTGATGCTGCATCACAGCTTTCCCAGGGAATCAGATCTGAAACCACAAAACTAGATACTCATTATTCATCCAGCAATAAGCTGAGAAAGTAAATACATAGCTCATCTAACCTCTAACTGAAAGTCAAGGACTTTCATCTACTGGGTCTAGAATTAGGAAATTACTACCAGGAATTTCAACCACTGATTTTATTAAAAATTAAAAATTTGATTAAAACAAATGATTTACTTTACGTACATTTATCTCTCTGGAATGATCAATTCATAAAGCAACTAATTCTGATCCATTTGGTTGTTACATATTAGATATCTCTTACTTTCAAAACATTCCCACATGACGGCACAAAAGCTGTACATATCTGAAGCTTCAGAAGGACAAGACCCACTAATGATCTCTGGAGACATCCAGTTGTAGGCTGCATTTTGGTGCTTGTTCGTCACTACTAAAGATCTTTTTCCGACCTCACTTTTTCCCCTTTCAAAAATAGTTTGACAGATGTAAAAGTGATTCATTTTTATTTGAATTTCATTGAAAATACACTTTGTAGAAGCATTCTTCAGTAGATGTAGTTTTTCTATAATACACTCAGAAAACTTATATAGTTCTGTTATTTTATTGCTTATAGCTAAAGGGTTCTGAAAGTTTTCTGGCAAATGGATTTCATGAAGAACAATGTACTATCTTTAGAAAGCTTTCAATGGGTCATGTTAAAATACTGAATCATGGAAACCATACATGTCTACAAAGGGCAGTCAAAGTAAAGGCAAGAGGCCTTTATATCGACGTAAAATTTCAAAGAATTTCAATTTAGATATGTGGGTTTTGAAGAGAGGAATGTTCACACGGATCTGTCACAAATTTCTAACCTATGTTCAATAGATGATGTATTATAACAACTATAGCACATATATACTGACTGTAGGTTGGGAATTTGTGTCAAGACCCTATGGTACTATGTCCTGTCTATATAGAGGTGTCCTTCATGGTAGGTTTGTCTGCTATTATGATTTGTGAACAGTTTCAGACAAGCAAAATTCTAAAAAGGAAACTTTTATTTCATTTGCTAGTTGGATAATAACACAGGTCAATTTGAGGAATTCAAGTTCCCTCAACCAATGTGAAAAAGGATTTATACTGTTCAGATGATTTCATATATGGATTACATACTTTTCAATAGCATATTCCAGGTTTCCAAGTTTAGCTGTATGAGGTGACACAAGGAGAACAGCATGTGATGTAATGTAGCAATGCAATAAATTCTGGTCATGTACAAAGATGATACCATTACATATCTGTACCAGGATTTCATGTACCAAGTTGGTTGACATTCGTTCGCACTGCCAAAAACGAAAACAATTTTCACACTATATACATTAAACATGTGTTGCATCATAAATCACAGGAAAAGTTCACCATAAATTTCAATGTTTAAAAATGTTAGGTTATTGAACAAACCAAAATTTAACGGCTACCCACACAATACCTAATGAATAAATAGTGAATATCATTTACATTTCATCAAGCAAAGTAATCAGCCTCAATGTATTAATGATTAATAACAACTAATGATAATAATAATGATAGATATAATCAACAAGTGATATCAAGATCGTCCACACTCAAAACTTAAACATACATTTAAATGAAGTTTAAATAAGCATACCACAAACTTATATAACATGGTAACATACACAAATACCCCCTCAGACATAACAAAGAACTATTGATATGATAATTCCAGTTTACCATATCTGACATCTTATTTTATTTGCTTTGCAAGGTTTTGTTTTTTTTTTTAATTAGAAAAATAATTAATTAAATCAAAGTTTACCTTTTCATGTAAATGATAATAAAGAGATCCCAAACTGACATTCTCAAACAATAAAACCATTCCATCTAGATTGTTTGTCTGACAGATCCCCATCAATAGCAAAACATTTGGATGTCGCAACTTCCTGAATAAAAAATGAAACATAGTGAAAATCAAATGAAAGGTCGGCAATGTGATGAGAACATGGTTCAATCTGAAACCTCAACTAGGAGGTTTATCCAAGATATAAAATTGATATAACTTGGAATTCCCTATGGTCACTGACCCTGAATGTTATGTAAGAAATAAACATAATCAAAGGCAGTTGGTGTGTAGTACAATATCAAGGGTAAAAAGATTAAAATTGTCAAATCCTTGAAAATGGGGTGGCATAGGGAGAAGATTTCAGTGAAGGAGACTTTCAGAACTTTGTTTTTAATTTTTATATTGTTGAATGATAAGTTAAGCCATTTTCTCTCATTTTTACATTCATACTTTTAAAAGGATTAAAAGGTTAATGAATTTCATCAACGTTTGTAAAATCTTATAATGTAAAAAATGTTAAAGTTACCCAACAAATTCTGCCTCAGTAATAAGTAAGTCTACTTCTCCACCTGCTTCAGCCTCGCGATGTAATCTTTTGGCTGTTACTTTAGTAGACTGCCATAACATACTGCAAGAATAAAATTTAAAAAAATGGATTCCTTGAAAGTTAAAATTAATTTGATATTTCATCAATCAGTTTAATATTTGCCAACACTTTGACTATGAGTCAGGGACAATATTATCTAATCCCTTGATTGTGTTGAAGGATAAATACAGCATTATGTTGAAAAGAACAAGCAAGGAGATTTCACAATGCATCACTTTGAAATTTGCTAGCACAAGATATTGCACAGACAAAGTTGATATTAGTGGATGGCAATTGATACATGATCATTCAAAGTAAAACTGAATTACCAAACAATCAACTAGCAGAAAATCATGACTAAATGGTTAGGAAGATGAGTTGTGAGGTGAGAAGGCAGTAAAATTATACAGATGATGATGATGTCACAGTTATGAAAAAGAAAATGGATATTCATGTACATCTATCATCCCATTTAATTTTCGACACTTATTTCAACCATATTTTTTTCCTCAGTTACCTACAAGGCTCATAATTCAGGTCCTTATACTTGATGTTACAGCTGAATGATGCACTTTCTGATTCTAACTTTGTTTTGGTATTATACATACAAGTACCCATATTTTACAATTCATCTCTGTCAAAATCATATTCAAAATGATGAAAATGCTATTAAAATGTACCTTTCCATTACCATAAAAGCCCCATTTTCAAATGTTATTCCGTCACTGCTGTGCTTGAGGCAGCTCTCTGATATCAATGGTATACTTGTCATAAAGCCACTACTTGAGTCACCATCTAAATACACCTTGAAAATATAATTCATATTACATAAGAATTCAGACATACATGTCCTAGGACTTCAACTTTTCTAAAAGAGACAGAGCATTTTTTTAAGATGTAAATCAACTTCTGTGATGTGCAATTTACTTTGCAGATTTGGAGATTGAAACAAATTCACAAAAATTGATTCCTACAAAATCAGAGGTGTTAAAAGATTTGTAGTATTAAGTATAGTAAAAAAATTCATCTGTTTTGTGAATGTCAATCACTGCAAACATGTGTTGACATGGCAGCCATGAAAATTAGTAGTCATTAAAGAAAATAGTTTTAACGTAAATCTCAGTACCGAAGTTTCATAATTGTTTTACACTATGTGATTTCAGTTCAGGATTACTTGGTAACTGACATATTAGATACATATCTTCATAGTAAGAGACTAAGTATCAAGACTAATGTTACTTTAATAATTACAGCAAGATGAATAAAATTTCATTTACCCTGTGTGTAGAACATTACCTTTCCGAATCCCATACTGTGAGAGCTCTTTAACTGATCAATATTCGCATCAATTCCACCTTTAATTTTGTTCATTATAATATGCATCAATGAATTGTTCTTATTTCTGAAACAAAGATTCAAGAATTTATTTAAGATTGATATACAGATTACTTTAAGATCATCACTATCTTGTTCACCAACGTAAGTTAAAGGTTTTGATATGACTTTCACTTCCTACTTTAAAGTCAATTGATCTTGTATGCTAAAGATATAAGCAAAACCAATGTATACATCTACCGTTTTAGATAATGTTCAATTAACTTTTAGGTTTCCACTGAAAATAGAGAAAGCGCTCCTGTTACATAATTTACAACTGGAATTTTAGAAATACATAAAAAAACATCTTTAGCAGTCAATGCTTAGTTATTCATCTGTGGAAAAACTAATAGTTATCCTGTACTAAGCCAAGACTTATAGCAACAATACAAAAATCTGATAGCAGTTTTTGGCATTTTTGCTGAAACTGCAAAAATTGGTTTATCTATTGCACTGCTCAATGCCATAAAAAATACATCAATAAATTCAACAAATCTAGTTTACACTTACACATGTACATGACTCGACATCTTGTTGCCAGCTCTTATATCTCTTCCAGTAGTTGTCATTGCAAATAACTTTGTCTTCTCTAGGAATTCAAGCATTTTCAGTCTTTTCTTTGGTTCTGGTTGACAAAGTGCCCAGTCTTTTGTTGTTCGTCCATAATTATCATGGAAGCGCAGATCTCCTCCTGAAGCTAACACATCAGATAAAAGTTTGACATTACCTGAATATGAAGCCATATGTACAGGTGTGGTTCCATCATTACTCCTCCTGATGATTAAATAAGGGAACAAGTTATTACAGAAATGTATGAAAGCTTGTCACAAAAAAATCACACATTTTAAAATCTTGACAAGAGAAACCTCTATAGTGCTGAAATAAAAGAAAGCATTAACATCAAAACCCTTCACATTTAATGAAAATCTTTTTTGCCCATGATTCTCACTGAAATTACCACACCCTCAGTCATTCACAGGTACAGTAAAATTCTATCCGATCTAAAGGATCTGCTTCTCATTTTCAATGTCAGACCTCAATAATGCATTGACTATGACATCACACTTTGCTAGTTTTATAGAATAGATATGTAGCCTTTTGCTTGTAACTGCTTGTAATACAATGTGAGGAAGTTCAGCTTCACTTACAGAACAGCGGAAAATTGGAATAACCTACCAGAATCAGAGGTGCAAGCAAAAACTATTAAATGTTCTGAAGCAAGATGGGATAAATTTGGAAAGACCAGGACATCAAATACAACAACAATTTGAACATCACCAGAGATAGATGTCACGTAAACAGTAGAAATGACGAAACTAATAAATGAGATGCAGACATAGTGGTCGAATAGACCAACTTCCATAGAAGACCCTGAGGTATCCTAAGGTAATACACTTTGTTCTTCTCTAATAATGACTTCAAATATAAAATGTTGTAGACGCCTATGTAAATCATGTGTAAAACTCTTAAGGTTACATACTCATTTGGATTGGCTCCATTCCTAAGCAATAAATCACATGCAGATGGTTCATTTTCAAAGCAGGCAATAAACAAAGGAGACTGGCCCTGATCATTTGGGTAATCAACTTGAATACCTGGAAAACAAAATGGTTTGATTGAAAATCAAACAGTGCTATGTATTGTAAAAGGTTGATAACTATAGGACATATTGTTTTTTTTAATATGTAGGTTTCAATCACAAAATAACTATGTTCATAGCACTCATGTAGGTCTCTATTTTGTCCATATTTATGTTGCTTTCTCACAAAAATGCCATAATAATCAATACCTACTAACAAGAGCAGATAAGTCTGTATTATAAAAAGATGAAATATTTTGAATATTGAATATGATGTCCATCTCAATGACAAACTCAAAATATGAATAAGAGTAAAAGATTTATTGACATAACCAACACTAACATGTTAGATTGATAAGAAGCCCAGACCTTCATGTTATCCCCCAAACATTCATTTTTTTTTAATCGTATTAGAAAAAGAATATAGAAAGGGTAAATATTCTAGTTTTCATTATCAAAAGTCTACTGCCACTATCATTTTTATGTAGAATGGTGATACCATATGGGTCTGTGTTTTCCTGCCTGTGTACTTAAGGGCCAAATTGAAATGTGAGGACAGGGAATTCCAGATACCCGTTTCCCCCAAGGTGTACATGTGGAAATTTGCAAGAATTTTGGTAGTGAAAAATGAAGTGAGAACATTGGAATATTATGTTATTATTGACACAGATGCCATATTTTTCCTACTAATGATATTATCAATGCTTAACATTTAAGAACACTACAGTTAATTTCTCATCATTACAGTTCATCAATCATCCTTTGCATTTGAATACATCTAAACGGAAGAATTTTTAAAAATAAAATCTATAGGTCATAAGAATTATTACTGATTTACTGATAAATACAGACAGAGGAAAAACACAATGTAGCATGATTTTAAAGGCCTATCTACATATATACAAAAATGCTGCCAATTAAGTGTCACATTCCATATGCCATGGCAGTAGTCTTTTTTGAAGATTGCACGTACCTCTTTCAATTATTTTCTTTAATTTCTTCTTATTTCCATTTCTGGCAGCATCGTGGTAATCATTTCCCAATGCATCACTCTGTTCCATTCGACCAATGCGAAAATTTCTTATCTGATGACCTGCTGTTGCCATATTCAGACTGTTGACAAACAAGAGACACAGCAAAATAATAAAACAGAGAAAGTAAGAGTAATAGAATGGTGGTATGAAAATCAGAATATGACTTGAAGACAAAATGAGGATTTTATTGCCGAAAAAATTTTCGCTCAGCTTACTTGTCAGTAAATTGTTAGTCTATTTATAAGATGATCACGAATCTTGGACCAAAAATTCTCAAAAAGGATTCTTCATTTTTCCACAAATATATCCCAAACTACTTACATGTTAGAAGTCGACCACTCAGTGACATGTCACATAGGTGAAATTGGACAAAATATTAGTCACAACACTAAATCTGCTCGAAAGGTGATTCCTTACGTCGTTTCATGGTATTCTATGTTGTTGAAGAGTACTTTGCAAGCAGACGATGTTATGAACTTTCGGAAGATTATCTGATATCAATTCGGAACACCTCTCAAATTTCCATTTGTTTCTCTGCTGCTGATTGGTTGAAACGCCGTATTAATTTTTCACGCATAAAATATGAAAATAGGTGTATAAATGTTGCCTACCTGGCTGTAACATTTTTTTTTTAATTTGAATTAGAAATACCATTTAAATTGCCGAATCGAATCGTCACTTTATTCAGCGATAGGACCAATTTCCTTCTGAGAAGGAACAGAAAATAAAAAAAAAGAAATCATAAGGCTATACGATACGTCAATTTAGTTTCATGTGTTCAAGTGTTCTTATCATTACAATGGTATATTGTACAAAGATAGAGTCGATCCTTCCTTTTATTTTGTATATCAGTATTACATGATCAACAAGCGTAATCGGACGCTTAATGTCTAATGTCGTGCAGCACAGGATGTAGAATTGATCAATCGCACTAAAGACACGAGAATGAACAACACCTTTCGACACAATTTGGGTAAGATGTTTTAGACTGACTGAGCTATATAGCACTTTAATCAAACTACATCATAAATCTGTTTTGACCAAAGCGATTTGCCAGACGTCAGAAACCAAACTAGGAGGAGTACTAACCCGGAAAAGATCAATAAATTTCACATGTATATATATATATATATCTTCATTTTTGAAGGATATCAAATCTTTAATGCTAACCTCTTGGCAATTTAGCACTAACAGAGTCTATCCTGTAATTTCCTGCACGGACTGTACAAAGCACACACTTTCAAGTGAATAACACTTTTGACTACAAAAATTAAATTAGATACGGTTAATTTTTTGGACATACATGGTATTATGTAAGATGTAACAAAGACTGGAATATCTATTTTACCTATTCTATACACACAGCATATAAATGGACATTTTTTGTGGTCCGGAGTCAAGCATGATTAGGGAGACAGTGTATGATTGGTATGGCTACATGTATTTGATTTTCGGAATATCTGTATAAGATCTATTTTGTGAATGCTTTTTTCACATTTTAGACCTGTATGTGTCTAGTCATTTGAAGGATAAACTTACTGATCATTTTGTTATTTTACAATTCACTAAAAAGACTACAAAAATACTAAATAAAAATGCTTACTTGCACCGGAATTATCGGGTGTCAATGTGGGCATCCCCGTGAAGCCTGTTAGCCTACCACCTTATTATTATTATTATTTGCCCTTTGTACGCTAATCTACGTGCAATCCTTTATACAAAACTATCATGGTACGAAGGCGATATAAATGTGGATATTCTCTGTCAAGGAGATGCAAAATGTCGTCCACTGCTAACACGAGAATTGCTAAATCTGCACAGAATCTCCGGGGAAGGTCGGGTAGATTTGCCTGATACTCAGTGTTATTTCTTCATTCTTTCAAACTTTCAAAAGTATTGTTTTAGTTACATTAATATAATTATTTCAACTTTTATTTGATTTGTCAATTGAATGTTCCTGTGCATCCTTCCAATGTCAGATGCCCATGTTTCACACACACACACACAGACCCCCCCCCCCCCCCCCCCTCTCTCTCTCTCTCTCTCTCTCTCTCTCTCTCTCGTTCCTACTCGTACTGTAATTAAATCAATGTATATTAGTGTATAACATAGCTTGCATCATCTTTCTAAATGTCATCATGTGACTACTATTATACTGTTATATAATTACATCCAATTGTTTTCGGGAGAAGTCTTTCATAAGTTGAAAACTTACAGGCCAATCCTTTTGACATGGTTTTGCCAAATAGATATGTTTAAACTAAACAAAAACTCATTTTCTCACTCGCCTGTCTGCAATATCGTAAAACAATTCACGGCTTATCAAAGTCATCTTAATACTTTTTACTGTTTAATTTGTTCAAAGGGAGATAAATCAAGTTCACATTGACGGAGTGTTTTGAAAATTTTAAAGGAGAAAGTTTTGGAAAATTCAGCTAATTTAGTTTTGATTAATAAAATATCGATCTTATTTTAAAAACACTACTAGCCCCTATTTAAATATCATTCGGAACATTAAATAGTTTAAATGTAAAAACAATATGCTTCTATCATACATTAGACCAGGATACCGTTTTTAAATCCACGCTGCCATGATACACTTTCCAGTTCTCATTAGAAATATTATTTCATCTTAAATGGCATATCAACCTTTTTTTTCGTTAATATTACAACAAAATCTATTTAATGCATCTTTTTACCTGATGTATGTGAATAATTAACTGACAGTCTGTGTGACCTTAAACTGATTGCGAGTTTCCATCCTCATACTCGATACTTCAGGGGTTACTATCACCACTGGAACATGTCATGGCAAAATTTAAGGTCCCATGTACGACACCTTGTGGACAAGAAGAGAAGACTAATTTGATTCTTTAATATTCATCAAACGAATCTCGAAATCGCATAACTGTATGCATAATGGCTTTGAAGTTGGGTTTTTTTTGTAAAAGGAGCCTATGAACAGCCTGTGATTTTTTTTCAGGTTTTTTTTCTTGGAACCGATCAAGTTCGCTTGTGCCTTCAATTTTGCTGTGGCGTGTTCCAGGAGATGCAGAGAGCGAAAGAAGTCGTAACCCCTGGAGTATCGGGGATGTTCCATCCTATATGTACGTTATTTTTTTATCATAAACCCAAATTTACAATGTGTCTTAACTGAATCAATAAAGGAAACCAAATTAAGAAACAAATAAGAAATGTAATATATTCTCTTTGATCTTCACCGGTTATCCAGTGAATTCACTAACGCAACACTCAAGTAGGACAATGGCGTTCCGTCGTGAATTAAACTGATTGGTGCAATAAAATGGCTGCCTCCGTTTGACTTCATTTCTTCCATATTTACTTAAAAACCTGTCAAGCTATATTTTCTGAGTTACGTATTAAAATTTTAATCAAGCATAATTTCCTGGTTTGGTCGGTACATAGGATATGATGAGTCATTCATCGATAAACGTTTTTATTGAACTGCATTGACTTTCTGTCTACTCGAGAATTTTTTTATCGTAACGTTACAAGTCTTTTGACTCTTTTTGAAACTGTTGAGATCAATAAAATTCTAGGTTATGTGGAAGATGTTGGTCTATATTATAGACTATGACTTACCATTTTAATCATTTGCGATTATATAACCATTTAAAATTTTCAGCATTTGTCTTTTACCTTGAAGTTTGTTTAATGTTATTTCCGTTTTGGATCGCTGTGTGTTTCACCGGTTGATGGCCCTGATGACCTTTTAACAGGCCGTTAAGATTGTAATAATAATAATATTATAATCAAGCAACAGAGAAACAAAATTAACGATATGAAAAAGTATGCTAAGTTTGAATTTTTCAAATAAATAGGTTTAAACAAAACTATTTTTTATTCATATTTCATATATACACTTCATTTAAGATTTTATGAATTTCGTCTCGAATTGAAAAAGGCGCACAACGGCAATACTTGCAATGAAATGAAAAATAAAACGATTCATAAAATCTTATATGAAATGAAATCTCAATCAAAATTCCATATCACACATACATGCAATAGCTTCAGATTAGGACATCACACCATAATTTGTGTTCTGTTGCACATGCGTCGGCACGTCACAATATTTCTTAAATTTTGCACATATACATTACCACGTCAGAAATCGATCTGTGATGTACATAATAAATAATGTGTCAAATATATACATGTACACCTTGTTCTATGAATTCTACACTTACATTTCATGTAGATTTCATTATTTACCTATTAACTTGAAAAAGTAATTTAGCTTTACTTAGCGGAAGAATAATCATCTTACCCTTTCCCTACATTCTATCTCATATAAGAATTTTTTTTTAAATGTAACAAGTTTTGAATTTTTCCAAGAAAGTGGGCCTATGGCGAGTTGAAATTCAAAATTTGGAATAGAATGAAATTCACATGCACTCGCTTAAAAATTCTGATAACTAGAAATGACCTGCCGACAATTACGTGTTTTTGTATACTTGGTGCCTTATGACACTCTTTTATAAAACATTTAAATTGTTAGGATGAAGACGAAAGGGCTGAATTCCGCTGACGTATAATGAAATGTCATCTGCTAAGGCATAACCAACACATTGTTGATGAAGACTTTTCCATCTGCGTCAATTTCTCGTATCCCATAATTCATCAGATGTCCTAACTTCAAAAGCGTAAACGACAAGATTTTAAATCGTATTAAACACGGTAATTTTGCGAAATTTCCTTCCTATCTCTTCTACCTGAGTGAAGCCATGAAACAGCTAGTTCAAAAGGGTGTGTAAATTGGGCAGTATCTATTTCGTATTAAAGCTAAAGCAAAGGATATATATATATATCAACTGAATATTGTGCTATTTACAAGAATAAGCGAGACCTTTTAAAATGATACAACAACGGCAGCAGAATTAAAACAAATAATAAAAAGACAGATAAATCTATCACGATCTTAGAAATTTTGATAAAAAAAAAAAAACAATTATACTCTAAACCAGGGACGTATAATACGTCCCTGTCCAAAGCCCGAATTATGATTACAAATTACAGAACAATTACTCTGATTTAAACGTGAACATTCTACTTTCGTTTTCACGACGGGTTCGACTGATCCGAACAGCATTTCTAACAGGATTTGTATGTTTACATCTGTTAAGAACTACTATTCCATGGACTAGTATATCCATCTGTTGTCATTTATTAGTTTAATCATACCACTATCAACATGTATATCACTAAATACAGATCCGACAACTTGACCAAATGTCGATAAGAAAACCAACTAGCTAGTCCGCATAATGACAATGCTACTGATCGCTCTATCAAATTCAGATAGCGGTAGCGGTATACAGCAAAACGGGATTGGCTTAGGCCTACGTCACAAGGAACATCCGGGGTTGTGTGGCCGTTTGTCACGTGTCTACCTCGTTTCCATCCTTTCCAAACCAACTCGTGGGTTTGCCGGTAGTGACTGCCTCTCCTCTGATATTGAACGACAACGGAAAGAAATCAAGGTTTGCTTTCTTTTTGTATATTTGCGATAGCAACGGCATATAACATCACATCCGTTACTATTATTTTTTCTGATTATTGGCTGTAACAATTTGCCTTTTTATTGTTAGATTTTACCGGCATAGACATGATTACTACCTTTGTAACCTACACTTGACATGACATTGAAAAGTTCCTAGCCTTTTTTTAAAAATCCGAACACTTATGACAAATTTATTTATTAAAACATGGTTAAACATACACAGTAGATGGTTTGAATGCATATTATTTAACTTGTGCAATGCAAAAAAAGTTATTTGCCGATTCTCTGACTTCTGACATGACCTTGTCAACTTGCTTGTATATGGAGAAGTTTAGTCCGAGATAGTTTCAAAAGAAATGCAACCAAAATATATTGTGGTAGATGCACTGCTCAAGTGTAGCAACCAATTTTTGTTGCTAAGCCATTAGTTAATGACTATTGAGTCTTCACTTAACACATGTCAGTAACAGTATGACTGGTCATGGATATGGGCAATTCAGCTCCATACAGAGGACCTAGCTTTTGTGACTTTGAAAGGTGTGTCCATGATCAGTAGTTAAACAATGTCCAGAACTAGCCTTGGATGGCAGACCACTTGGCATACCCTTCATTACATCTTATAGTTGTTGGCAGTGAATAGACCAGATATCCTGTAGGGTGCCCTCCGAAAGCATTGAAGCACAATGTTCCAGGTGACTTGTGGGGACTAGTAGCTCTAGTCCGAGGGTAATCCTTTTTGGGATTCCTTAACTTGAACGCTATTTCTTTAAGGACAGCCTAAAATTGAAGTATAATATGTACCTTGATGAAAGCTTTTAATGAAGCAATGAACAATATCTGTATTGGTTGTAATTTTCACAGTGGTATACAAGGCTGGTTACTAGGCAATTTTGAAACAGGTTACGGCCACTAAATGTGCAGAAAGCCTTGATTATATGACATAGTGTCATGAGAGAATTGTTGCATTTCTGAAAAGAAAAATGTCTTGGCAGGTGTTGTGTGAAAACAGGACAGAAGGTAGTCTGTCTGACTGAATAGAGTTTATAGGGCCTGACAAGGGACATTGTCAAACATTTGATATAACTGAGTCCTAAAAGGTGGCATTGCTTTAGACATTCTTGAAATCTGAGGTTGCCAGTTTTAACCTGTGAAAGCTTCTGTACGAAGTTTGTCCCATAGGTCAGTGATACTAAAGGGGATAATGTTACAGATCATTAATATACACAATTAAGCTGCATAGTCAGATCGCTAGTCCAGAGGTTTAGACTATCTGTATTCCAGAGGTTTAGACTATCTGATCACAATTTTATTTTTTTGTTGGTTGCAGTCAATAATAGTTAGAAGAATTCTGCCGTATAGAAAGACTTGTGCACCCAATTTTGCGACCTGTACAAGGGTTGGCATTCAGACAATGTATTACATGTAATTAATATGAGTTAATATATGAACTTAAACCCCATCGAAAGAACGGTTCTGCTACTTGGTTGACCCTGACATTATCTCTAGTTGATTCATTAAACATGAAATTTTGAAAAGAGATGATTTCGAGTAGATTTAGATAATGATCGGTAGTAGGCTAGCGCTGTTATTAAAGCTTTATATTTTGAAATGAAATTAAAATTTACATATTCCTCAAAGCCCTTGGTATGAAATAAATTCTCATTTGTTTGTACTTAGTATTCATTCTAAGGGCCGTCATAAATATTTGAGTTTGGTTTTACTGCAATTTGGTCAGGACCATGAACCCAAAAAGTACTTGCTACCTATTGCTGAACGCAAGCAAAACATTTTGTCCCATTTTAAGTAGGCACAAGATGTTTGGGTAATCTGTTGTACTGACAGTTGACATTAATATTTAAATCTGTAGCTTCAGAATGGAGTTGTTACATATGATACATGTATTAGACCCACTTAAAACTTCGAAACAAATCATGGTGGTATCTTCAAGTGTCTGATGCCAAGATTTTGCAGAGATAAAAAAAAAACGTTCAGAATTATGTAAATTTGCTCACTCGTAATATCAGCTGTGTCAAGGTGATCCTAAAAACTGCTTCATTTCTCAATTTTATGACTAAAATCAATTCATATGGATTCCATTAAAGCAATGTGGTGTCTTACAAGGTGTATACAATTTTGCTATTTTGTATATTTCAGATGTCAAAGAAACTTGGATTTGCAGAGAATTTCGCCCTCAGTGGTGCAGCAGCTGTCATTTCAAAGACAGCAGCCGCCCCCATTGAGAGGATCAAGTTGCTTGTTCAAAATCAGGAGGAAATGTTGAAAACTGGTCGTTTGTCAGAGCCATACAAAGGTGTCATCGACTGCACAGTCCGTACATACAAGAACGAAGGACTTCTGCCATTCTGGAGAGGAAACTTGGCAAACTGCATCAGATACTTTCCAACACAGGCTTTAAATTTTGCATTCAAAGACAAGATCAAGATTTTGTTCAAAAGCTCTAAACAAGATCCATATGGAGTGCAGTTTGCAAAGAACATTGGATCTGGTGGTGTTGCTGGAGCAATGTCACTCTGCTTTGTGTATTCCCTCGACTACGCCCGTACTCGTCTAGCCAATGATGCAAAATCTGGGAAGAAGGGAGGCGAGCGCCAATTCAATGGTCTGATAGATGTATACAAGAAGACCTTGAAAACTGATGGAATTGGTGGTCTATACAGAGGTTTTGTCATCTCCTGTGTTGGTATTGTCGTATACAGAGGATGCTACTTCGGATTCTACGACAGTCTGAAGCCAATTGTACTTGGAGAAGGGGCTGGAGTGTTTGCTTCCTTCTGTCTTGGTTATGTGGTGACCGTCACATCAGGCCTGATCTCATACCCCATTGATACAATCAGGAGGAGAATGATGATGACCTCCGGCGAGGCTGTGAAATACAATGGCTCAATTGACTGTGCCAAGACCATCCTGAAGAATGAGGGCTTCATGTCCATGATGAAGGGTGCTGGAGCAAACATTCTCAGAGGTGTTGCAGGTGCTGGTGTACTGTCTGGCTTTGATAAATTCCAGGCACTTTACATCAAATGGCGTCTTGGTGATAATTAAGAACAAATTTAAGGAATAGAAAGACTTTTAAAAAACATCGCAGTGGCATCTTCGAAAAGGAACTTTTTAGACACCCAAGATTTTCCAAAACTGCATATTTCTATTTATAGTGTTGTTTGGATTTGATAACAACTGAGTGTGATATTGTTGATTGGTAAATAGATACATTCACAATAAATACATGTAACTATGTTGGAACAGTGGACCTCATAAAATGTGATTATTTGATATGATCAAAGTTGTGTTGTGTTGGTATATATAAATCATAAATTCTAGAAATGCAGATGTATGCTGCCTACAGCTTAAAATCATTCTGAATACAAAAAGTAATCTGATTTGACCTCACCATGCATCTGAATTTAAAGGCAACAGAAATGTCATTCCCATAATACACTTAACAAGGAAGGGAAGGTTATTGCGATGGAAGTCAGCTGGGATACACTATTTATTGCAAACTTGGGTCTCTCTTGGGTATCAGCACATTCAGACCTTGGCATCAAGGAAAAAACAGCTGTTGATGCAGTTGTCCTCATTTGTTATACTATGCCAAATTTTTTTGCAGTAAGATTGTAAGAGACTGCTATTTTCTTGTGTGTCATTTGTACAGTCCATTTTACATGTCTACATAGACTGAAGCACAATCTGGTCTAGTGTACCACTGTTGAACTAGTGGACAATGAATTGGAAGTGATCAGACAATGCTACATCACCAACAAATGTATAGTTCACTGAAATAAGCTTGATATCGACCATCACCTTGCTGCAAGGTATCAAGTTGCAGAAGTTTGAAAGCAGAATTTCCTGTACATTCAATCCCCATCCAGTATCCCCCAGGATATTTAACAGCTGACCTAAAAATGAAAATCTCAGACGGATATCACTGATCAGTCTCGAAATTTTATAAATATACATAGTTTGTTTCATTGAGCAGTCTCATGAAGTCCAACATGCACATTGTGTCGAGAAATATCCTTTAATACTTGAGGAGTTATAACGAAACTTGAGATGTTGCCCATTTGGTTTCACTTGTGAGTCTCAAAACAAAATCCCAGAGAGTTTGAAAGTTTGATCTTTCCCTTCTCTCCTCAATTTTTGCCCTAATGAAATTTGAAATTTCCTGCAAAGAAATGTTAAAAATGCCAAATCCCAAAATGGTCATCTGTAAGCCATTTTGTTTTTCTTGATCTGTACCAAAATCATGGGGACATTTCAAAACCAAGGAAAATGTTGAGATTTGTCAAAAATCCAACATACCTGCTGCCTGTCCGTCATTTCCTTTCTGTAATTTGTGTCAAAATAAGAAGTGCACATTTAGGGACTAACATAAACCTTTACATGAAATTTGAGCAAGATTCATCTTGCACTTTTCAGGAAATGGGATTCACAAACCTTTCATTGTCAAATTTTAAGATTGCCAAATGGTTCTTTCGATCAATCCCAAAATCAAATGGGCAGTCAAAATATTAAATAGTGTCGGAATCCAAGACGGCCACTTGTGAAATTTGAGAATGATGCATCCGGTGCTTCTCCTTAGACAACCAGTATTGTTTGATTAGCCATCATATAAATGGGTACAAGGGACTATATCTCCAAAACATAATCCCTTATGGGATTTTGTCAGATCCTATGCAGAAAATTATAGAACACTAATCTGGTTTTGCATTTAAACTGGATTTTCAGAAGTACTGGTTGAATCTCGTATTTCACATGTAGCCTTCCCTTGGATGTGTCCTTTTGATTTTAGGATTGATTAGAAAAACAACATGGCTGACAGGTGGCCATCTTGGATTTTGACCAAGAAGTTATTTTCATAAGAAGTAATAAATGGATCTTAAACTTTTAAATGTAGGATTCCTTTTTCCCCGAGTTGTCATTGTGATTTTGGAACTGATCAGAAAGACAAAATGGCTGACGGACAACATTCTTTGACTTTGATATTAAAAGTTGCTGTTATTCCTAGAGAAGTCTGGATTACTAGATAGATATTTCTCTATTTTTTAAAGTAGATTCCTCTTGATCCTTAGTAATAGTTGTGTCTAAAGTGACTGACAGAGGGCCATCTTGGATTTTGAAAATGAAAATGTGTTACTGCTATTACTGCTAAGTAACGGATGATTCTTTCATTTTTTCCTTTTATTGGGACTGATCAGAAAATTGAAAAGGCTGACATATGGTCTTCTATGGTATTGACTTGAATTTTGCGCCAAGTATTTCTTAAGAAGCATGGTTCGGATGATGAAAAAGAAATATAATGTTCCAACTTTTAAAGAATAAAGGGCCAAAGAAATGTGGGTGTGAGTTCCATCTGGGATTTCTGTTGGCAGTTGACTTTTGTTTGTACTGGAAGAATATTTCTCTAATTTGTATATTCTCATGGTTTTTAGTTGTACCTGTATAGTTTTGAAACTGATCAGGGAAACAAATGGTTGTCAGGCAGCCATCTTGGATTTTGACATTCTTAACAACCACAAATATTTTTTTCAAATTTGTTATGTAGGTTTCCCTCTGTCCTTTATGCCAAATCAAATTTGAGTGTGAACAGTTGAACAAAATAACCAACAGGTGACCATCTTGGATTTTCAAGGTTGATGTGTCTGGATTATTACCAGGCATATGCTTTTTAGTGGATATACATGGCAAACATTTCGTGTTAAAATTGAACAAAAGTTGTAACAGAAGTGAGAATGGTTTAATAATGCACAATATCATATTTGACAGGTATCATCTGATCCCCAAAGCTGTGGCTGGGTCCTGGTATTGGCACATGATGAGAACATCCCTAAATTTGTCTAGTAATGTCACTAAGTGGGCTCGATGAAGATTTTCATAGTACATGATCTCTTCTAAATGGTGCTTTCCATTGAAGTATGAACACAACCTTTAAACAAAAAAACAAGAAAATTACTTTCAAATACTTTCAAAAACAAATTAGAACACAGTTTAATTCAAGTCTGTAAGCCAGAGCAAATGAAAGCTTAAATCATCATTGTGTATTAATGCTTAAAATGATGTTGCTTCATTAGTATATTTATAGAAATGAGCTTCGGAATGCTTTTTTTAACTTACCTTGAAAATAGTTTCAAATCATCTGGGTTTTTGGCAGCAGAAACACTTAAAACACACTCTTTCTCTTCTTTGGATAAATGTGACAGTCCATCTTGGCTGTTTCTATAAACAGCCCTCATGTCCTCTGAAACCTGTGAACTGTCGCTGGCTATCTCTGAGGAAGGCGACTTAGAAAACATTGCGTTGATTGAGTTTGATCCTAAGCTCACACTTTCATCACTGTTGACTGGAAAAGAAAGAGACAGAAGTGAAATATTTACCATTTATCCAGCAATGACTCCTTCATATTGCATGTCAGCAGTGACCTCTCCCTTTCATTTTTTTCCCAAGGTTTTTGGTGATAGGACCACAGGCCTTTTTAAAAGGATAAATTTGGAGAAAAAAGATTCAAGACAGCTGCTTACTGAAGTACTAGAGTGCAGAGGCTCTCTTCATTTCATGACAATGCGTTATGTCAGAGAGGCAGGGAAAGGTTAAAATTGTAACAAGATCAAGTGTTTCAATTAACCTTTCCCTGCCTATATTGTACATATTCTTGTTGATTGCCCTGAATACCTGAAAGTATCCAAGTTCAAGTGGAGTGCTCCACTGAAGAACACACCTACCTGAAGAAAGACAATGGCTGTATATATACATTTAATCTTCGAATATGTTCTGTCATATTACATGAGACTACAGCACAAGAGGCCCAATTGAACCATATCATTCACTTGTTTAGTAACTTGTGTATTCAGGAAACCCTTCTTTACAATAGGTCCAATGTGAAGTAATTTATTTACCACAATAAGATTTTAGATTCTATCCAAACACACTTGTCATGGGCCTTTGAAGATTTTAAAATTTTTTTTATCCTTGTGACCTTGAAAGTTTATGAAGGTAAATAATTTCAACAAATATCAAAGCTCTTTTTCCCCAGTATGCTACTATCTCAACTGACTCTAGGTCTCTTGGTAATTGAGAGGCTGTTATTCAAATGAAGAAAACATTTCACCACTTTAATTAAGGTTTAAATATTTGGTGTAAAAAGATATATTATCCGTACCAGTCATTAACTCCCTTGCTATTCTAACAAACATGAGAAAAAAATAACATGGTCTAACTGAATTTTTTTTTTTTTTAAATCTTAAGGCAAAATGATATGTTGTTGTCTGCATTTTATTATATTTTTTATCTAAGTACTTTTTGTTTTGAAAGGTTAGCTACATTATTATTAAAACTTTGAGCAGGTCTGCCAATAGCTAAGATATTTTGTACACAAACCTGATGCCACATCTGATATACTGGAAGCTTGTTGCATTTCAGTGCGATTTTCAAAGGCCAAACTCTCCTCTTCTGGTAATATAGGCATGATACGGCTCACATCTTCTGATGTCTTCTTCCTTCTTGATATACGTGGCACAAAGAACGTGTATGTATGTTGCTGAAAGATCAGTCTATGTTGCAGAAGCCACAGCACTATCTGTACTTTCTCCTCCTGTGGAAAATTACAATCATACGATTACCATACCCTGCATTGAGTCCATGGGACCAACATTGAGATTTCTAATTTCAAGTCATTAGGTAGGCTTTATTGCACTTTAATGCAATAATGTAACATATATGGAATTTTTTTTCTGCAGTTTTAAGTTTCGATTGTTTCACTCTTTTGACAACAGGGTAAAAAATAAAAGGGAATACCAGGTAATGTATGATATGAGAACTCAAATCTATTTATAAGAAAATTTAGAGCAAATTTAATTATCGGAGAAAAAGAACAGTGTAATAAGACAAAGTGGACAAGAAAAAAAACCCTCAAATGTCAGTGCTTCCCTGTGTACAGTAGTAGCCTTAGTTGTCAAATCATACAGGCTTATTGCTGAATAGAAATTATTGTATCTTCTAAACTTGAAGAGCAGAGATGTTGATTTTGATGGAAACACTTCTACTAATTGCTAATACCTCCACTTGCAAGTCTTGATGAGGGAATTCACCAGAAACATTCCAAGGAGACTTTATCAGGAGACTAAAATAAAACTGTACCCATGACAACCATGTGACATATCTATTGATATCTTACTTAATTTATTCGTTCACATCCTCTGTTTTGACCTTGAATGTAAAGTTTCACCTAAAAAAAACCAAATGTCAATGCCTTCAGGATCCCACTAACAAAACACTGTCTGTAAACAGTGTATGATCCATCCAACAATCCTAAACAATTTAAAAAAACAAATGGTTTTTACCTGATTTTTTGGATGATCCAATATATCTCTAGTGTCTCGTAGCTGAACAGGATAAGAGAATCTAGACAACTCAACTGAGAGTGATTTGTCTAGAAATGTTGCTGCAAATTTTTCATTTAAACTTGAATTTCTGTAACAGAAAAACAGGTGTACATGTACAATCAGAAATAATGCTTGATAATTGCTTTAATTTAATTGTTTAAGACAATTAAGACAATTTCCATTTAATTGTGTTTCGATTTTCAGTCTATAATAAACAAAAATGCCAGTAAGACATCAATGCTCTTGCTCCTCTGCATGTCACCTTTGACCTTTTTACCTTGACCAATGATCATCTTAATTTTGGTATGCTAAAGTGCAGGGCTTGATGTTATGATACTTATTTACTTAAAATAAATCTGTTGTGATGTTCTCAATTCATTATTGCTGAACCAAACCTAACACAATGGGACATTCTTTTTCTGTAAAAGAGAGAGAACTTGAAAATGTTCCAATTCATTATCTATAAGTCACCATATAGTACAAATGTCGGGCTTCAAAATGCTAGGCCCCACTGGTAGACAAAGATTATGGTAGAAGTAGAAACTACTATTTGAGAACAATAATACACGAAGTAACATTAATAATTTCTTACATTACTACTACAGGAGACAGGATTAGGAATAGACCTTGTGGAGACAAGAGTAGAAGACAGGGCATGGATTAGATCCTTCAGATGTGCTTAAATTAACAAGACAATTACAGGAGACAGGATGTGGAAAATCCATGCAGATGTACTTACAAGACAACAGTCGGAGATAGAACGTAGACATTGGTGCCACACACAGGAAATATGACTGTTGCCTTGGCCCAGTACACTAAATGGGTGACCATCTGGAACACCTTTTGGATATAAAAACATTTCAAGTGAACTACTACTGTCCAAGGAATAAGTCAAAATAACATTGAGTATCATAGTAAAGAAAAAGTCTGAGATCAACTGATGGCTTAGTAACCACCACACACTTAATCTGAAATCTCATTCATCCTCAATACTCCAGGGGTTACGATCCCTTTTTCTCTCTGCACCCCTGAAACTTTTCCTGGTAAAATTGAAGCACAAGTGAAGTAATCTGATTGGTCTAGAGCAGGTTTCAAGAAAAAACAAGACAAGTTTATAAACACTATGCCCCCGTTGCAACCAAATTCAGAAGTGGGACATTATAAATGTACTGTATAAGGAATGTGCTAATTGCATGCACACTCTGTGAAACACTTATGTCTTCATTGTGGTAATGGCTTTGTTTTTTACTTTCAAATGTAGGTAAAAGATCACAGTGATGGTGACATGGTCAAAACTTTTGGCACAACCAGAAAGGTTTTGTCATATGGAACACACATGCCAAATATGAAAACCCTACTTCGTACTGTGCAACAATTATGGGCAAGGTTTCAGTTGACAACAGACAAACAGACAGCACAAAAACAATATGTCCTCGATCTTTCAGCCAATCTGACCAATCACACATTGATTCGCTACTTTGAAGATTACGTAGAAGAGACATCCATTCTCTAAGCCAGTACATGTACCATTATTCAACCTAGAGATTGGTTTCATGTACCTCAAAGAATCAAGCTAGTCTTCCCTTCTTATCCACAATGTGTCACACTGGAACCTTCAATTTTGCCACGAGAAGTGCAGAGAGCGACAATGAGTCTAACTCTTCGAGTATCGTGGTACAGCTAGCAATACTGAGTGTAACCACTGGAGAATGCAGACATTGAGAGTGATAGTGAGCATAACCCCTGGAGTATTAAGATACAGAGAGCACTAGTGAACATAACCCCACCAGTGTTAAGGTATAGAGAGCAATAGTGAGTGTAATCCTTGAGTATTAAGATACTGCAAGCGATAGTGAGCGTAACTCCATGAGTGTCGAGAATGTTTAACATTTTGTTATTTGAAATCAAAATAGATTGGTGACCCTTAACCTTTTTTGTGTATACCTGGGACAGATTGAGGTCAGCCTCCAAGGCCAAGGTCTGCAGACTCTTTAGAGGGTTTGTGACTGTTATCAGTCTGTTGAGGGATTGAGTTCCATCTAAGGGAAGGAACTCCTGCAGGCTCTGCTTGTCAGTCAACAACAGAATTCCATGATAAGGTCTGTAGAGGCAATGACATTCTATATAAATCTGACTCCCTTGATTTCAAGGTTCTGGGTATTTACAGTTAAGTGTTAATATCAATCTAATGCAATATTTCTCCAGCAACACATGTTTAAAACTCCTCACCCATCAACATATTTTTCATGCAGTATCATCATTTCCACATCTATTTTTGGTAAAATAATCATGTAAAAATTGCTTCAATAACCCCTTTACAGATTTTTTTTAAAAAGCATAGAAGGACGAATTTTCTTGAAATTATCTTTGTTCATTATTACCTGAATTAAAGATGAATATTTTCTAATTAAGAGTACAGTATATAGAGAACTAATCACAAAAGTAAATATCAACAGATTTGAAGCAGCCCTTTAATGGCCTTCAAACGAAACTTTTAAATGTTTAATGACGTACATTCAAGGGCTACTGAGCAAGTTTAAACACTTTTACTAAGAAATGTTTAAGAAGCCTTTAAAACAAAGGTTAGAGATTCTGAGATAAAAACTGCATAATACGCATTTATGTTACTAGCACCTTACATATAAATTAAGAATAGATTATATACTAGTGACTATGTGAGTAGGTAACATGTTTGTTGTTCCTGTACTTAAATCTAAGAGAACATTAACCTTTCTTGTTCCTGTACACTTATTTCTTTTTTTTAATTCATGTAACAGAAAATATAACTCTTAATTAAAGTTATCATTTACTGTTTTTTACTAACCTCAACATCTCCAGGCAATGTTGAATCTTCCCTGGCTGCAAAAAAATAAAATGTTCAAATTACAAATTAATTTGATTTTGTGCCGATTTTTCTAAAATTTTATTTTCTTCTTTTTTTAACCATAACATTAACAAGAGACCTAATGCAACTGAATCTCTAATATATTCTGCAACTTTTAAGTCAATTTAGCAAACTGGACAGCTGTCTTTTCGAAAAATGTCAGACACACTCCTATACATGTACATAATGTACCATGACAATGTCTCTATGAGTCACCAAAAACAAAAAAGAAGATTTTTTTAATATGTTTGGACCATGTGACCTTGAATGTGGTTCAAGATTGATGTAGTTCAAAGTCATTCATTAGAACAAACCTGATAGCCCTTCATTCTAGCATGTTACAGGCCCAATACAATACCAATGGTTTACCACTTTAACACAAAATACCTCTTTAGGAAAATTTTGATGTAATGAAAATCAAAATGCATCAAATGTAAACATAGGTAAACTGATGGCCAACATGCCACAACATAACCTCATTTACTCTCCAGGCTGATGAGATAAAAAGGGAAAAACTCCCCTTATTACTGATTCCATTTTGTATAATATGCACATAAATTCTGGAAAATAAAATATAAAATAGATATATGTTGAGTATTTATCAGGATACAACTCACCTCAATAAACAGATTTCTGGAGGCCCAGGGCTGTCTGTGTATCTTGTGTGGTAAACAGAAGCTCACAAGTATAAAGTTATTGACCAGTAACTTGACCACACCGGTGTCGCATAGACTGTAATAGAGACAAATGAAAATATCAAACATTTAAAATAAATCCAGAAAAAAATCTCCTGTGTTAGTAAAATAAGTATGCCTCTTAAAACTATGGCATTGATTGAATCATTACATTAAACAACACCAACTAAAAGAAGCATCTCACCATGGTTCTTCTGGGACCAGGAAACCAAAATTATTTTTCTTCTCACAAAGGACAAATAAGTCATAAACTCTACTTCCCAGGAGGTACAAAAATAATTGGTGGCAAGTTACTTTAATTTCTTTTACCTTTCAAACATTGATTTCAGATCCTGAGCCAACGGGCTCCTCTTCAATATTACAGAAAATGGTGACTCTGAAGAATCTATAAAACAGAAACATCGCCATCTGAACCTGTATTAAATGCTTATATTTATATTTGAAATAAACCAAATATATATACATATATAGTCGAACCTCTTTATCTTGAACTCGCAAGACCATGGGAAAACTTTGAGATAACGGAGTGTTCAATTTAAGCGAGTGTAAATGTTTTGTGTAAACTAAGGCAGGGACTGACAAAATCATTAGAACTAAACGGAGTCTTTGAGTGATAGTAATTAAAAATAACAAGGTTCCATTGTATGAACTTATGAAGTAGTGATATGACATGTACAAGTTTTTTGTTTGTTATCTCTTTTGAAGAAACATTGTCGCCATTTCCACAGTATCGTAACATATTCTATTGATTTAAGAAACACAATGAAAGTCAAGGAAAGTCTCCAGCAAAATCTTAACATTTAAGAAAATATCAAGCTATATTAACTCAATAAAAAATCATAAAATATGTCACAAATATTTATCTAAGAATTACTGTTGAATCCTTTATCTGCAAACGCAGCAAAGCAAAGTCCATCAGTCTGTCGTTTAGAAGTTCAATCTGAAGGAATTCTGAGAAAGAAATTTTAACCACAGAGATATTTATAGTTTGGTACTTGATAAGAGAGAGTAAGTACATCAACAGTGTAATACAAGGCAGAGTTTGAAGGTGACTGAACAGCTGGCTAACCTTCCTCAGGCATGGCTGCGACCTCATCATGGACGCCCAACATAATCTTTGCCTGCTGGGAGAGATAATGTCGCCGTCGCTCCTCATAGTGTACGGCTACAGTCAGTTGCTTCATCAAGTCATGGTAGCAATTTATCACAGACAGATTTAGGTGTGTCTACAATTAATATAAAAGATATCAACAATCATCAGGATAGGTGTTACTATCAACACCAGAAAAGAACAATAACATTACAGGTACCTACCCCTCACCCCATCATTCATCACTCCCATCAATTCACCTCTTGCTTTAAGATTGGGCAATTTCAACTCTTGACATCATTAAATTATTTCAACAAGCTTAGACCAAAGCTACAGATAACACTCATGTATGAATGTAATGCGAAACAGCTCTATAAATTCCATATGAAGTTTAAAAAACAGATGGAAAATACTATATGTCCAGTCAGCCTCTAGCCATTCAATGAAATAGACAAGAGGCCCAACAGTCTTATAAATCACCTAATTGTTCTTGTAACATATGTCACAGAAATAAACTTGTTAGAGTAAGATAACTTGAACTGCATTGTACATGAAATGTAAATTGTGCATAAAATTAACTGCCGTCACATATCAAGGGTTCAATACAATGCAATAAACTGTAGCAAACTTTATGCCCTCCCCAACCCCCTCCCAACGGAAATGCAAGATATCCTCAGGTCTTCAAATTCATTATTTTTGGTCAAGCAGCTTGATTTCCTGAAATCCAGAAAGATTTTATAATTCTACCATATCTGGGTGCTGAGAAGAAGACTTTTGGTAATCTAATCCATCTTTTGGTCCCACCCATCTGCCCCTAAGGGTCAGTCTCTGTCAACAGTTTGTGATGGACGATGTACAACACACAATATGCCAGACAAAAAAGCAATCGCTATAGGTCACCAGAAGACTTTTTCTCAGGTGACCTAAAAGAACTTGGCAAAAAAAGATTAAGATTTAAAGTTGTGTTAATAATGAAATAACACCATATTATAAAAGTGTAAATTCCTTGACAGACAAAAAGAGTGGCAATTATTAGATACCTTGAGAGCTAAAATAATGCTGAAAGAAATGATCTGATGTGATGATTTGCTTGTAGCCTGACTTGTACAGGGGTCAAATAACATGGGGTAGCCAATGAAGTGAATGTCATCCACCTTCACATTAAACCTCTTACTACATAAATCAGACTTCACTGCTAACAGGTTGGCAAGTATCTGATCGCTGAATCTGAAAAGAAAAAAATTGTTTTTATTAACTATGGTCTCAAAAATGCATGTTTTCCTCCGCATTGCACTTTTTGTTTATCAAATCATTTGAACTATAAATCATTAATAACTGCATCAAGTTCTATTCCACAAGAATCAAGTTTTTCTATTTCAGTATCAATTCAGTAACCATTAATCTGGCTCTCTCAGCCCTGCAAAAGTTTCAACCGAGTAATGACCAATCTGGCCATTCCATTACTCGACCCAGACAAAGAATCAATCCAGTCATGACCAATCTGGCTGTTCCATTACTCGACCCAGACAAAGAATCAATCAAGTCATGACCAATCTGGCTGTTCCATTACTCGACCCAGACAAAGAATCAATCAAGTCATGACCAATCTGGCCGTTTCATTATCCAAAAAAGATGAAGAATATTCACAATACTGATTATTTACAGTGTAATTCTACAATAAACCTAATTCTGTAGGAAACTCTTAATCTGGGATATATGGACACATGTGATTATAAGGCCCTTGACATAACTATGGAGTCCTAGAAGGACAAAAATGCTGTATGCAGTATAATTCATTGTTTGACTCTACTACATCTAACTCAAAATCTGTATTGAAAGGTGCTATTCACTTGTGTGACTTTTGCAGAATCTTATTACCAGGTATGGTCTTGTTTCTTGAGAGTCACATTTATGATGCATACTATACCTGACACTGTCCAATGTGTTAGTGTGTTTTTTACTACTCAGCCTTTGGCTCCTACAAAAGAAAAACTTGAGAGTTAAGGTGACACATAAATGGTTTGAAAGTTTAATGGTACCTGCACTTACTTTCTATGGGGAGATTAAACTCCTAATATACACTTTATACTTTACAACTTGACAAGAAAATCCTTACTGTCTTTCGCTACAGTATAACTAAGGGAGATTGTCTTTCAAATTTAAAGGTGGCCAGAACTTCTAAACCCCTCTCCCCAATGCCCTTCTCTCCCTCTCCCCAAAACGGTACCTCCTCACAATTACTCCCTCCCACAAAAAAGATTCATAATATCAAATTAATGAAGAGATACACAGTCCTTCTCAAGAATTCCCTTGAAATTATATTTTGCTTCAAGTTTTTTGTCAAACCAGGAAAATTTGAATCATTGAAATAAAAAAAGAATTTAAAACTGAAATAATGTCTTCCTTTCATCTTTTACATTCAATGGTGGTGTATTTTTAAAAAATTAGATTGACAGACTTCTAAACTGTGAAGCCAAAATACAACACTTGTACTGGCAATTTACAGAGAACTTACTTGCATGCTTGAAGGTCTTCAGATATTTTCACTGCATAAGGATTCCTGGCTGCACATGGTTTTGCTGAAAAGGTACAACTCTAAAATGGAATGTTGAAGAGATCATGTTTAGCATCTATCTAAATCATCTTTTAACTTTTTTTCATTCCTACTTGTCACATTTTGTCTCCTTTAGTCTAAGGTCTTTATTATGCATTTATAATTATCAAAATCTTATTTTTCCATAAGAGAGGTAACCTTGAGGCATAAATATATTTGTAGAGTCACAGCAAAACTCTGAACTCAGCCAAAAATCAACAAGTTGCCTTTTATATATTTCATGACATTTTCATGGTGATTTCCATCTATATATGTTTGTGATAGGAGTGGAAAAATGTGCCGCCAGACCGGGGTTCAAATCCAAGACCTTCTGAACTCTAGACGATGCTGTACCTACTGAGCTATCTGGTCGTCGCCGATCATACCTGTCTAGTTTCACTACATATTTACTTCATTTTGAAGAAGAGAGACACATGGATATGTAATTGGAAGGAGTAATTGCTGGGGTTCAAACTAGCGACCCTTCAGTCTCTAGCTGGACACTCAACTGCTCGACTAAAGGAGGCTAGCAAGGTGACCTTTACTCTAAATTTCTACACTATTCCTTCCTTCAAAAAGACTTCAACTATAATTCAATATCAGTCTATAGCTTCTACCTTGGAGTTGTCAATGACACCAATCTGTAATAGGAAGGAGGAGTGAAAAACACCCTTCTACCACTGGAGTTCAAACAAGCAACCCTTCGATCTCTAGTCGGACAATCTATCGCTCGACTAAAGGGAAATTCCGATTAGCTAAGGCTAGTAAGGTGATATTTTCGCTCAACTTCAACAGATGTTTTACACCTGAAGTGTGTAGAGTTGTCACTGAGGTAAAATTCTTCCTAATATAGGGCACAGTGGTTCGTTACAAATGACAGGATATATAACATGTATCTCGCATATACATACACCTAAATGTAAGACCCATCTCATATAGTTGTATGTTTATGCATGACCCATATCATATTCCTATCATTTAAAATGGACCCCTGTGTGTAGAAGAGTGCACGGGTGAGGGGGGGAGGGGGTAAACGTGCGACTAGCATGGCCATGTTAGGCTAGCAAAACTCTTTTAATGAAGTTCAATAGAAGAAAGCATGTCACAAATAGTATTACATGATATAATTACTGATAGATAATTCCTGATTTTATCACAAGGCCTAGAAGTGTATGTGGACTGTCTGTCGTAGACTTCAAGACCCTGTGGTCTGACAAGAACTTTAGCGTTAGTAGTTTAGATTCTTACACTTATCCCTGTCTGTTGTTACGTCTGGTTCTATTGGATATTTATATAGAAGCCTGTCACCCCGTGTTCCCGACGTGACAAGTAACACCGCGACAGGATTCAGCCTTTTATCGTTCGCTGTTGTCACCATCTTCTTCTCGGAGAGGCTGATGAAGGGAGACTACACTGTCCTAAACAAAACAAATTACCTCCCCTTTGACCGTTTTTGAACATCAGATTTTCTAGAATACCGTACTGCAAATCAAACCTCATGTATTCTCGATTTATTTTTTTTTCACATGGGGGTGGGGGTTTATTGTAATTTCTGAGAGATAGTAATAGATAACTTATTCAATTGACAACTGTAATGATTTTCTTATTTACAGTTTGACGACCCAGTGTTTTGTTACATAGTATTTTTTTCTGCTAAAAAAAAAAAAAATCACATCAAAATTTTTTCTCAAAAAATAAGCCAAATTCCATTCAGCTCTACAAAATTAAATATGTCATGTCAAGTCAGCAAAGTCAGGTTTTGGGTTAAATTAGGTACTGAAAATATCAGGCAAGATTATCCTGGTATAATCAGAGGTGATGACAAAATCAGGGCCCATATTCATGAAACCGTTCTCATGCTCAAGCATGAATTTTGTGCTCAAGCCTTATGTCTTGTTTAAGATAAAAACTAATAAATAAGGCTGGTTTTGCCAAAGATTTGAAAACAATTTTGAAAGGACTTCAAATCAAAGCTCTATTCAATGTTTAATTTTGACATTTGTATTATTTTATATGATTTAGATGAATTATAAAAAGTTTGCTGGTTCACAAAATCTATGCTTGAGCATGAGAATGGTTTCATGAATACGAGCCCAGGTGTGAGGAGAGTGAGGTGTTGCCAAAATTATGGAGGTGTGCTTTTCTGTTAGATGTTGGTTAAGTCAGATGCTAATTAAGGTGTTTATAAAGATGATAGATTCATGTGTCATGAAAGTCAGGTATTTGTTAGTCACAAAAAATCTTATCACAGAAGTGTGCTTAATGCATTTAACACTTATTGTATATACAGTGCTGACTTGCTGATTTTTGACAAAGTTTGTCAAGTTACCAACTAGATATCATTTACTTTGGGGTAGCCATTGGTCAATTTGTTGATTGAAAATTTGTATTTTACATTAAAAATTTTACAATAAAAGGAACAGATCATGATCAATCTCTGCCAGGGTATATAGTACTGGAATAAAATATTTAAAAAGAAAGAACTGAAGACAAAAGACAAGCAATGCTTGATTCAGAACCAGAGCTGAAGAACTGTTCATTATATATCATTCCCTACTTGATAACAAAATGTCAGGCTCTTACCACTCATGAAAGAACACATAAAACACTCAGGCATGTAATCGTATTTATTGACGTTTTGTAACTTTTTTACAAATTAACAAAACAAGACTCGCAAAGAAACTCCAGTTGGTGCATTTAAGTTACATCATAATTAAGAATAATATTATCACAAAGCACACTTTCCTGTAGTCTTTGAAGTTTCTGTTCAAATTGTTTTTATATAATTGAAGCACTATTAGTAATCATATCCAGTTTTGTAATATCTTTACACAGCAGCATTGGCAAAACTGTCTGTAAATAAATGTAATGTCCTTCAGTAGAGCAGATCATGGCCCTGTGGGACATCACAAAAGAAAATGGGTAAATTCTGGGATCAAAGACAAATGCTACTTTTTCACAATTTGAATGACATCATCGTGGTTCATCAGGTGGTTTAAACCAACACGCTGGGGACTGTATTTGACGCTTGTTCCCTGTAAATATTTAAATAAAACCACATGAAATCAGAAGTTGATAAAAGAATAATCTTAGTAAAAAAGGAAAGAGGGACAATATGACATTTATTCATTTGCACAACGAAAATACCGTTTCCAGAATTTTGAGAATATCCCACTTAAATCACATTAACAAAACTGAGTTGACTGCATCCAGGTGCATTTCAAAGGAAAACCACAACCTCCCAAAACATCTTGGGCATGTTTTCAGCTGATTACAAATCAGATTTGTATGTTAACCACCAATATGGTAAAAACTATCTACAGGAGAAGTCAATTCCACAAAATTTGTGTAATGATACCCAACTCTACAAACCACAGTAATTATAGAGCTTGTGAGAAATGACTTACCCAAACTAAGGCATACTTGAATGTGTTTACAATCGTCCTGTGTATCGTATGGCACTGGAAATAAACACCAAACAATAATTAGCATATACCATTGATCAAGGATCAAGATTGTTAAGCTGTTCCAGTAAAACATCTATTTCACCCTAGGATTACAAGTTTTGACTGATAATTTGCTTTAGATCAATGGGCATGGAACTGAATAATGAGTAAAATTGATTTGATTTGGAGCACTTTGGTCAAATGTCAACAACATAATGTTCTGTCCAATAGGAAATGTTGGCTCTCCTACAGTGCATACCACATGTTCAACAGTACACCCTCGCCTCAAGATCAGTCCTCCTTCAAAATCAGGCCTCTCTGTAACAGCATAAAGAAAATGTATATACACAGTGTCAATACCAGCTACAACAACTGTGGAGGGAAAAGAGATTTTTGCTAAGCTTTAGAGTAACAGATTAGATCTGATTTTGATCCAAGTGAAATCATAAAAAGAATTTTCCCATTTACAGCATGGTGATTAAAGGAGTAGATAGACATTTCAAGGACAGAGCATTTGGGACTAACAGAAACAAGAGTGCCGTGGACACAATATACGCCGCCACAAAATATAAAGATTCACTAAGAGCAAGCTACAGATACAAAGTTGAAAATGGCATAAATCTTACAAAAATCAAAGAACCAAAAATTCACCCCTTCATGCACATCTACCCATTGTAGTAGTGACATTGAGCAAGTTTCGTGAAAATCTGATGATTATTTTAGGAGTTGCATTCACAAGGCTCCACTATGAGCAAGCTACAGATACAAAGTTGAAAATGGCATAAATCTTACAAAAATCAAAGAACCAAAAATTCACCCCTTCATGCACATCTACCCATTGTAGTAGTGACATTGAGCAAGTTTCATGCTACTTCAGTTGTAAGCTTTATTTACCAACAAATTATTTTTTTTGACAACATGTTATTGATATATTTTCTTCCTTTGTATCGATTTTGACGAGCCTTTATGTTACCTACCTCCACGTTTCTTTGTGTAAACTCGTACCAAGGCCAGATATTCCCAAACTTTCTCCAGCAAGTAATCAAGGTTCAATTTCACATTGCAACTGAAAAGTAAATATATCAAGAAATTACATTCAAATGATTAACAGAATAGTCATGAAATGGGGCCATGCATTTCCCTGTACATAGTTAGATGAAAATAAGTAAGCGCAATGCCTTACCAAAACTTCAGTCTGAAAATTTGGCAAAGAAAGTTAAAAGCATCTCAGAAATTTATTAAGATTATCAACTTAACTTCAAAGTTAGGACAAATGTAACATCAAAGCTTTTTATAAATCTTCATGTTAGATATGTCAATATTGCCAGTAAATTCACTGTCTAAGGCTTGTCAAAAATGCTACTGAAGATTTTTTGCAATAATTCATTGTATCGAGAAAAAAAAGAAAAACCCACAATCTTACCTCACAACAACAGTGTCAGGCATCCTAGCTAATCTATCAACTTCTTCTATAGAAATCTGATCAATCTTGTTATAAACCTGAAACATCATCATCATCATCATCATCATCATCATCATCATCGTTGTCATACTGAATATGGATAACATTACAAAGCAAGTAATGCTTAAAGGATACATTAATGAGGAACATTATGTAACAAGTTGACAAGTTAACTGGGATCATATTATTATACTGATGTGATATTAAAAGGAACATCATATTAACATGATATTAAAAGGAAATTTGGAATATGTATATACATTTGATTCAGAATCATTATAAACTTATATATAATAAAAGAAATGTTACTGCTAAATAATCATTGTATTAAGAGTGATTTGGTATGTTATTAAGTACTCTTTATATTTATAGATAATAACAAGCCAATTAGCCAGAGAATAAAAGGACTGCTCATTATTATCGTTCAGAATTTAATCTCATGAAATTTAGATTTGACGCTGACATATAAAGTTAGTTTCTACATTTCATAAGTACTTACATAGATACATTCTAGGTACACTCTACTACCAAGTATGACATCCACAAATTCATCAGACGTGCAATCTTCTCGGAACAAAACTTCAGCATTGAATATTTCTTTCTAAGGTTAAGAACAAAACTTCTGTATATTACAAAGAAACTGATTCTTTTAATCACCACACTAAACACCTATTACTGAAAAAATTATTCAGTTTGTGCTGCAATTTAAAAAAAAAATGGAAATATATTTTATATATATATATATATATTCAGGTAAGAATTTGGCCTTTGGTTCTTAAACATATGTACACATGGTTGGTTACAGGTTTTTTAATGCTATTTCTAAGCTTTGTCCAACAGACCAACGTCAGTGTTCTGGTTATATAATATGTACTCATTCCCTGTATTCTCATACATGTAGTTCTGTACAAAAATGTATAAAAAAAATCAAAATTTTGAATTTAAGTCTTAATCATAAATTGAGTTACTGATTTTTCTAACTAGACTGTCATAGTAACAGTAATTATAACTATGGTAGCCCAGTAAAGTAAAATGACCACAGTATACAGCTATGGTAGCCCAGTAAAGTAAAATGACCATGGTAAATAGCTATGTTAGCCCAGTCAATTAAAATGACCACAGTAGATAGCTATGGTAGCCCAGTAAAGTAAAACCACCACAGTAATGTATCATTAATCATGGTTTGTAAGGATACTCCATTCATGAAGAATCATCTGCACCATTTTTTCATTACACTTTGTCAGTGGTAAAGTAGAGTTGAATGATATCCCCCCTCCTTTCTTTTGCTGTGGACAGAGAAAAGAAATTCATTAATTTTACATGAAAACAAGAATGTCCAATGTGAAACAATGTAACACTATATACATCCTGAATGTTTGTTTGCTGGGTATATCACCCGTCAAAGCCAATTTATCTTCTGGGTGATGCCTCCAGGTGACTAATTCCCTGAACAACATACAGGAGGTCCATCATATGCCAACCTAAACAAATGAGGTGAAATGTCTTGCCCGAGGTCACAACCAATATAGCATAGGCTGGTCTATTCCTTCACTTCCTGAGGAACACAAGCAGCCAAAAATAGTGCCAACCATACACCTCAGATCTTTATTGGAGATTTCTAAGTGTGCCCCACCCCCCACTCCTCCTCTGACTTGCAAAGACTACTAATCAACAATGATATTTCTCAAAGACAGAATCAAATTATTTTTCATATTTATTCAACAGGAAATCATTAGATATCCTTCCTTTATCAAATGATTGTTGTGTGTACATATATGTAATGTCTTCACAAAATAGCCTACATGTCCATAGAGTGCTTTTTGGTTTTTTTTTTTTTACCAACTACGGCATTATCAGTTGATAATGGAATGGTATCACACACTTGTAGATAATATAATGTCGTGATGATGAAATGAAAACCTAAATGAGAAACTATATATTATATATGCTGGACAGGTATACATGTATTAAGTTACCTACATTTTTTCACATTATAGAATATTGATATACCAAGGTTGTTAAACTTACAAAAAATGACGAAAATGTATTTAATACTTACACTAAATACAATAAAAATATTTACCTTGAAATAGATATTTGGTTTTCGTTTATTGAGTCTGATTCCAACACTTTCCAACTCTTTTGTCAGAAGTTCTCTGTTAAACATAAGTATTAATCACAATCAATATCACACAAAATGTCTTTTTCATCGTACAGCAATGCCTTCAGATGTGGCAACCAAGCCAGAAATAACATAAAGTACCAAGGTATGTCAAAGTTTTGGAGAGCTTTATATCATCATATTCTTTATTTTGTACATATATGATGTAACTAAAGATTCTGTCTGTGCATGCATAATACAATAAATTGTATTGATAAGACAAGTCTCTCTTTTTTTCTTCATTTTACGAAGCCTCTAGTGTGGCGAAAAGAAAAATTCTTGAAAGGGTTAATACATTTGCAAGACATAAGGTATAATAAGACTGACACAGAATCTTAATTGGTGAGTTCTCCCCCCTTTATCACTCTTTTGTTAACATCACATTTTACATCAAGTCATAAAGCCATGTCGAAATAGAAACCTTAAGCCAATCACAACTCCACTACATTACATAACATGTGAAAGAAAAATCATGTAATGAATGTTATCAACAGAAACATATCAGACTCAGGCAGGAATATGTTTTTCCTGAATGTAGAAATATTTCATCTGCCAGCCACCAATTAATTATGCAGTGTCTGTCATTTGCTACAGTAATCTGCTGATTGCTCTTTCACATCAGCGAACCATGGATGAGACAATATCTTTATTCCATAAGCTGGAACTATCACAACTTGAGAAAGTATAATATTTTGCATATATTTACAATTTTGTTATCAGAAAAAGTACAATATAAAGAAAAGCTTCAATGCTTGGAATTTCAGATCAAGACCCAACTCTTGGTGGCTGCCAGATAAATATGTCGCAGTTTCCAGATATTTATGAGGCTGCTCCCAGATAAATCTTAAATCAGGAAAAAACATATTTCTATATCAGCCAAACACTCTTCTGTAGTTACTTATCAGATAGCATTGTACATTTATTATATGATCCAGACAATTTTAAACATGACTGCATGTTCATGATACAGCAGCTGACGAGTCCTAAAAGGATGAAACAGCTGTATGATGCATTTTAATTCATTGTTTGGCTCTACTGTATCTCACTCTAAATTATGAATAGGCGCTATTCACCTGTGTGTCTTTTGTACAATCTTCTATATCATCTTAATGTATATAATCTTCAATTAGACAATGCAAAATAAAGTTTTAATGGCCTATAGAATATAACAAGATAGCCTTACAAATCCATGCATATTAGTGAAGAACACTTGTACTTAAAGATCATTATTGATATAAATTCATCTCGTAATAAAATTTTAAGTCTTACCTCTGAATTTCTTTTTTTGTAGCATCCAACATCATGATAACAACATCAGCTGTTCTGGCAACAGCGATAACTTGACGTCCTCGACCCTTACCTAAAATAAAATAGGTTTAGACGGTACATAGTACTAAGTTAAAATAAAACATAAATTCTAGATTTGCATTACTTGTTAGTAACAAATTCTGTGATTGGTCAATCCATATATGTGGTCTGAAGAAATAGAAAGTTATGTAACTTTTTTATTCAATGAATTACTGTACTTCTTTTAAAAAATCGTGATGTTAATACAAAAATCAAATGTTTAATTCAATATTCCAATTCACACTGCACGAATCTAGGAAAACATTTATTCTTGTCTATATGGGTTAGATTTTGAAAACACTAGACAATGAAATTGAAACAATATACTCAACATCTTCTACTATAGTTTAATGCTATCATGGTTTTGGTAGCGGCACACTACAAACCTGCTGCAGCTCCTTCTATGATACCAGGTAAATCAAGCAACTGGATATTAGCACCATTGTACTGAAATACAACAGAATTCTTTAGCAATGGTCCCCATTAAAATGAAGGAAGTTAATTACCAACATTTCATTGAAACCAGAGAAAATCTTTTATCAAACTTGTACCTAACTATTGAGGAATTTTTCTTTTTACTAAAATTAACTTACATATGACAAAATAAAAATAACTGACAACGCCAAAAAAGACAAAGCATTCTAGCAAAAAATGTGTTCATCTTCAAAATCCATGGGTTCATTAGTAAAGTAAAATGTACTTGGTAATAAATACTGGTAAACAGGTAAGTTACTTCTATAACACCTGGTAAACAGGTAAGTTACCTCTATAACACCTAGTAAAGAGGTTACTTACTTCTATAACACCTAGTAAACAGGTTACTTACTTCTATAACAATTAGTAAACAGGTTACTTACTTCTATAACACCTAGTAAACAGGTTACTTACTTCTATAACACCTAGTAAACAGGTTACTTACTTCTATAACACCTAGTAAACAGGTAAGTTACTTCTATAACACCTAGTAAACAGGTTACTTACTTCTATAACACCTAGTAAACAGGTTACTTACTTCTATAACACCTAGTAAACAGGTTACTTACTTCTATAACACCTAGTAAACAGGTTACTTACTTCTATAACACCTAGTAAACAGGTTACTTACTTCTATTAAACCTAGTAAACAGGTTACTTACTTCTATAACAACTAGTAAACAGGTTACTTACTTCTATAACAACTAGTAAACAGGTTACTTACTTCTATTAAACCTAGTAAACAGGTAACTTCTATAACACCTGGTAAACAGTTAACTTACCTCTATTACTTACTTCTATTAAACCTAGTAAACAGGTTACTTACTTCTATTAAACCTAGTAAACAGGTTACTTACTTCTATAACACCTAGTAAACAGGTTACTTACTTCTATTAAACCTAGTTAACAGGTTACTTACTTCTATAACACCTAGTAAACAGGTTACTTACTTCTATGACACCTAGCTAACAGGTTACTTACTTCTATAACACCTAGTAAACAGGTTACTTACTTCTATGAAACCTAGTTAACAGGTTACTTACTTCTATTAAACCTAGTAAACAGGTAACTTACTTCTATAACACCTAGTAAACAGGTAACTTACCTCTATAACACCTGGTAAACAGGTAAACTACCTCTATAACACCTGGTAAACAGGTAACTTACCTCTATAACACCTAGTAAACAGGTAACTTACCTCTATAACACCTGGTTAACAGGTAACTTACCTCTATAACACCTGGTAAACAAGTAACTTACCTCTATTACACCTGGTAAACAGGTAACTTACCTCTATTACACCTGGTAAACAGGTAATCTAACTCTATAACACCTGGTAAACAGGTAACTTACCTCTATTACACCTGGTTAACAGGTAACTTACCTTTATAACACCTGGTAAACAGGTAACTTACCTCTATAACACCTGGTAAACAGGTAACTTACCTCTATAACACCTGGTAAACAGGTAACTTACCTCTATAACACCTGGTAAACAGGTAACTTACCTTTATAACACCTGGTAAACAGGTAACTTACCTCTATAACACCTGGTAAACAGGTAACTTACCTCTATAACACCTGGTAAACAGGTAACTTACCTCTATAACACCTGGTATACATGTAAGTGTTGTAAATTCATATGAAGCAGATTCACTGTGTGTAGATGTCAGTGTATTCAGTAGTGTAGACTGGAAAATAAAATACTGGAGGTTTAGGGCTGTGCTCATTCATTTTTCATAGAAAGCATGAAAATTCTTCATTGTAGAAGAAGACATGGACTATGTCAAAAGGAAAACTAAACCAAACAATTTGTACTATCATGACACTAAATGGGAACACCTTTTTTCAGAAGGCCTGAGAGTAAAGTTGTCTGGGAGGAAGCAGATTGTCCATTTATAGTAAATGTAAGAAATTATGGCAAATCATCAATTTATGAGTTATTTTCTTCCTGAATTCACAGAAACATGTAGCACATGAACCCTTCCTTTCCTCAGGAGTTATTAGTCCCTAAATGGAATGGATGTAGGGGAAACAATTACACCTGGATATGATAATTTGATAGTTACATGCATTATAATTGACTATTTTCACCAGGCAGTTGAATGAGAATGTTCAATAGTAGATGTAGTGTATGCTTCCTAGGTATGCAAATTACAAATCTAAAACTAATCACCTTTCCTACAGAGGGGAATCCAATCAATGCAACTCTTGCATCTCCTGATTTCATAACATCAAATCCCTCTCCCTGTAAAAAATCACACAAAGATAATATCAATGATGAAGAAAACTCTGACAGCACATTTTTTCTGATGCCACTATTAACTAATTACAGTCTATTCACTGAAAATTTTTTCATGTCAAGTTCAGACAACATTCAAATGTAGTAGCTGGTGGCTGGCTCACTGAACAACATATGGGAGGCCAATTGCATGCTGTCCAAATCAATTAGAATAAAGTGCCCAAGGACACAATCACATTAGTACAGACTGGTCCATTTCTCAGCTTTTTGAGAAACACAAACTGCCACAGGCAGGGAGTGTCAAATCACATATCTCAGATCTTCATCTGAGATTACATTGGTCAACACTCAAAGCCACTGAGCTACATCAGGGCTCTCACACCCCATTTTGGGACTGGGGCCCGGGGCCCTTAGAATTGGGAAAAACAGCGGCGTTTTCCTTAGAATTGGGAAAACTTGGGGTCTAAATTGGGAAAAAAGATACTATTTTGTATTGGGAATTCGGCCCCAAATCTGGCAGATCGAGAGCCCTGTACAGGGTTTTCCATACTTTTGTTAGTAGTAGGCTGTGTAGTGAAAGTAGGAGGCTGGCCTGCCGTGTACGTGTAGTCGTGTACAGAACATTATTACGGAACTGGATTGGTGTAGGCGGCCAAATGATCAAAGTAGCCGGTCAAATTGGCCGGCGACTGGCTCTTATGGAAAACCCTGCTGTACATGTATAATAGCCACAGGTACACTGCTGTTAGACATTTATTTAATATTTGACATAAAAACATACCTTTACATATCTGTCATTTTATAATAGAAGCAATCATAACTGCTAGAAAGGCTGCACTTAAGTATCATGTACAAACTAATTTTGTCTGACAGACAAATTAAATAAAAATTATATCTTTTAGCTGACCTATTTTTTGTTTTTCATTGTTTAAGGTTGAATAAGTTTATGAGAAAGTGTGAATGAAAAAAATAGACGGAATTAGTACAGAATCATGTTTCTGAGAGAGAAAAAAATTGATTGAATCAAGGGATCCATACAATTATCAAAGTAAATGGCATTAAATGATATATAAATACATGGCAATTTATGAATCAGTGAGAGGTATAAACTCTATTGAGATATCTATAAACATTTTATATCAGAACCTTTGCTCCGGACTTCCCCGTGGGTTCTATGAGTTGTTGTCTATACTTTGCCAACTTTGCTTTCAGTAACCCCAGATGGTACTCCGTGGCTGGAACAAAAGAACAAATATAGAACATTCTGCTAAATTGAACAGGGATAGTTTGAATATGTCAGTAATATGCAATTCGCTGATTTTACTTAATTATACTTGTGATAGGTCCAGAAATGTTTATGCCCATTTGTGGTCAAAATTTTCACACGAGTGCAATTTTCACTATCGTGGATACCTTTGTTTTTCTGGGTACGGGATATTTCCCGCTCTATCTCTTGGATTTTCTCTAAAATACCCATGTTTGTCCTCTGGTATAACAACTAAAAATGATATAAGAAGAACGATAACGTGGAGAAATGCGACTGAACTTTCAGCATCTGCTTTGCCATCGTGGAAACATGGAGAGCGCCATCTTGAATGTACACACTAAATTTCATAAGAAAGCGGAGAAAAATTCCGGAAAACATTTTTGGTCGATGTAGGCAAAGAACCGTCTATGATTGTGATTTGGTGTTGATTTCTTATCTGATGTGAAATATGAACATTTCATTAACTTTACAATTTTTCAAAGGTGAATTCAATTAGGAATCTTGGATTGCAGGAGAGTAAATGATGGAATGCCTCTGGATGAACCAGCGTCATTTCGGTACAGGAAAAATTGATAATTCTTGTGATTCTCAAGTTCTATATCATTGGCTACTTATCATTTAATCTTGTCGTTTTTTACATTATCATTTGCAATATGGAAAATATTGTTTCTTTATTTATTTCATGTTAAAGCATTTTAGCTTTCATCAAAACGACAACAGAATGGAATGGTTTCGTCACGTCTGGGTCATTTGTATCATCCAATAACTTTTATTTTATTTTATTTTATTTTATTTATTTATTTGTTTATTTATTTATTTATTTTCTTCTATTTAAAATATGAAAAATAGAAAACCTCGTGAAAATAGCATTAACAGTATGCATTATTCACATGTAGCAGGGTCTCATTTTATTATATTTTATTTTATTTTATTTTATTTTATTTATTTTTTTATTTATTTATTTAAACTCTGAAAGAACGACCGTTACAATCAGTCTAAAAAATAAACACGGAAAAGAAAGCATCACCAAAAACCTAGATATAAAACGGGCCAGTGTCAGATGATTTGTCGAAATCCAACATACATGTATTCTTGTGTAATCCATTTTTTTCGATTGTGCCCAAAACTGAATGTCAAAGACCCTTCCACTGCCGAATGTAACATTAATCATCAATCGGAACGGACATGTAGATACAGGCTTTGTCAGCGGCATTGTTGAGCCTCGTCAGTCTACATACAAATCAATGCGGTGCTGTTGTTTTAATTTTTGAAGGCTGTCTTAAAACTATGCACGCCATTTTCGGGAATCTATGAAGGACCTCACTTTCAATTTTAGTACGTTCCGTGAATATGCCAAACTCTGTACGTACTACATTGTGGATGATCCTGGAATCAAGCACATCTGACTACCTTTGATGAAAATGAAATGAACCATGCGGACATAATGTAACGTTAAAAGATACCGGACCTTAATTGATGTGGATTTAGAGTGTAGCCCCATAACAGGACTTCGAAAATTACAGTACTGGCCCTTATGGACGAAATATGGTTTACATGAGATCATTTCTATCTCGACGACATTCTTTCCGTATCCATCGCTATCAACATCTATCAAGTCTGTAGAGGATATAATAAGTCTATAATGGAGAATGGTAAGACTAGAGTTTGAGGGTCCAATATAAGCTTTAAAGCACTCGCCAATGTTTCAAGGGTTTCAACCCAAGAAGCTGTATCAAACACAATAATTTCAGTTCGACTGAATTTGCAGGATTAAAAAAAAAATAACTGAGCGTTTTTCATTGGCTGCGCCAGTCACAAATTCTTTCGTTCTTTCAAAATTACACTGGTGACATGTAAGCAAAAATATTTCAAAACCGAATTATTTCTAGATAACAAGCAAATTCGTTTGTATAAAATAGATAACATGCAAAACTAGTTTATATTCATCATACTTCTCTTAATCGACCATTAAAAAAAAACAGGAAAAAAGTAGTTGTCATTATAGTTATTTACATATAGACGGATATTTACTGAAAAAAAATCTCCTTGTTTTTCTTCTATTCTCAGCAAATACTTCAGTATTCTTTTTGCCAAGACAATGAAAGTAAAGATACAATAAAGACACGTAAAAATGTAATTGATAAGTTAGCAGATAATTCCAAATCAATGAATTGTCAAACTGCGATCTAATTACAACGGGAATGAAAAATGTGTGTGGTTAAAATCGTTTAAACAGAAAAAATAGTTGTAAAATGAAGTGGTAATATAACTGATAGATCACTTTGAAAAAAAGTATTTTTATTCTGTCTAAAATTTGTCAGCATTTCCAGTTACAAAAAAATGTTCGCTCATAGTAGACCAATACTACATCATCTGTAATTTTTTGTGTGTATGATATTGTAATTAACTATGAAAAAAATAAGTAGTTTAAAATTTAGATTCAAAACAAACAAATAAACTAACTAACTTATGACTATGAAACGGCAAGAATTAAGTACAAAGAACGATAACTCGAATGATATGACGCAGGAAGCATTTGATTGGTTAGTCTAGGAAAGTGTGCGAGTTTCAAACAATTTACAGGTGCTCGATTGAAGACTTCCGGTTAGAGAGGAACAAAATATATCTCATGATATTATGTAAATAAGGAGTTTGTGTTGATAACATTAATGCCAGGTAAATTACGTGTGTATTTCTGACGTTCTGTTCTCTAAATTTATTTATATTTTCATGAATGGTTTATTTTCAGCGCCGTAATGTGGTCCAGATAAGTGAATTCGGGTTTTGAATATGGCTGCATTATTGTATATTTATGGTTACATATCAGCATGTCCGTTTGAAATCGTGTTCAGTGGTCAATTGCAACGTTTATGTACAATTTCCATGTTGTCATTAACTTCAAATTGTGCTTTTTTATTTATTCGTCATGACTGTAAATTCTAAATAGACCCCATATGCGAATAATATGGTTCGTGAAAAAAGTGGGCGGGAAATGTGTTGACAGTCAAGCAATCTGCCCCAAGGCTTTGCTATATCAATAAATATATCGTGTCGCTTACAGCTTAATGCAATATATATGTCTAGACATTCATAATACAATCAGTTAGACGCCAACATTGTATAATGACAGTCCATGTGTGTCATCAATATGGTGATAAGATTCCAATTGATTTAACATCAGCACAGTCTACAGCATTCACTATTTACAGCTTCAATTAAACATGGAATATTTTTGACTCCTTAAGACCAGCTCTGAATCCTTACTTTCAAAAAACCATTTGTCAACTCAATATTATCTTATTGGTTTTAATTTCACTTTTTGAGCAAGTAACAGTAATTTGAGTCTTGGAACTAACTTGTCAAAATGGAAGTTCTGGTATTCATTTGCTTTGATATTAAACCTTTTAATTTGAAAGATACACAAATTTGATCAATATTAAACAAAAGTTTAGCAGATATTCCTTATAATTTTTATTTTGGCATAAACTTTGTTGTCTTGTACACCAGACACATAGCTGGTTCCTCGCAAGACAGATGTGTTAAGACATCAAGTTGAAAAAAAATCACTCCAATACATCTTTTTGCAATATATCCTACAGATTTCCGAATTCCATCAGACAAAAGAACCAGATCTCAACATGCAATCCTCATGTTTTCAAATGCATCCAAAAATGCCTGTAAATTTGTATCTGACATATATCCTCACACAACTACTCAGTGGAATTTCCTCCATCAATCAGCTGCTACAGCTGCCCCCACCCCATATAAACAAATTCCTTATTAAGAAAACATACTGAATACATGGGGAATTAACTCCCCAAGACAGAGCTAATTAGTATAAGCAAATCATATTTCCAACTCATGCCATCGTGAAAAAGAAATATCATTCTAACCTCAATGTTGTCCTATTTTATTCATGTAATCTGCAAGTATAACGTTTATTTTGATCTCATCCCTCTTTTGAATTCAGAACAAATGGGCTGACCGAAATATTTCTTTTTCTCAAAATAGACTAAGAATTCCCCTTCTTCACAATGATTAGTATGCTCCAAATTCTAGAACAACCCATGTGTACACTCTTAATCTCTCTATCTACGTAGTTTTATCATACAAGAGGAACAGAAAAAATCCTCTACATACCAGTAGAATTATTATTTTGAAAGAAATATCACATTGAGTTTTACCTTGAATGATAGAAACGACATAGACAGATTTTTATTAATACTATTAAACAGTACATAAAGTAAAAATGTATATTTTTGTCTGCAGACATCTTGGACAGTGTATGAGTTGTGACTGCGTCTACAGACTCCACCATGACTTCATCGTATTCAGAGCTGCGGGGTTTGTACCACCTCAGGGAAACCATTGGTTCAGGTAAGTATAGACTTTGAACATCAACCAGGGTTTTCCATAATTTTGTTAGTAGTAGGCTGTGTAATGAAAGTAGGAGGCTGGCAAAGCCAGCTGACCCGAGCCACAATGCGGCGAGGTGGGGGTGACCTGCCGTGTACGTGTAGTCGTGTACGGAACATTATTACGGAACTGGATTGGTGTAGGCGGCCAAATGATCAAAGTAGCCGGTCAATATGGCCGGCGACCGGCTCTTATGGAAAACCCTGATCAACATTAATATAAACTGGTCTATTGCTTGTAGAACACATTGCTCATGATCAGGTGTCCAAGAAATCATTAGTTCAGTTCAGAAAATCATCGATTTGCAAAAGGTGAAATTGATATAATCCGTTTAATTTGAAAAACCAATAGACAATATTAAGGGAAACCCTGTAACACTCAGTCGATATCATTGTTGACAGTTTAATAAAAAAAAAAAAAAAAAGGAAAAGACATTGATGAAATGAATTCTACTGTCAAGAAAATTGAAAAGCATTGAAACTCATCTAATAAGAAGAAGAAGGCATTCGGAGTTAAGTAAATACCTGAGCGATATAAAAATAAATAAATACTTTAATGTAGTATAAATGAGTTGAATATTGTTTTTAACAAAATTTTGAAATTGAGTTGATAATTTGCAAACTTACTGAATATCAATAGATATCTTGTTTTTGCAGCATTTCTTGTGTGCAATCAAAGGATAGCAGATAATTGTCTACTAAGTAAACTACTGTCAACTAACTACAAGTCATGAATTAGTTCTGAAGTATAACAGGTAGAAGAAGAATTCAACAAAATTCCTGGAAAAGAATGGATTGTAGCCATTGCTGATAACTTTCATCAAGTTTAAGCAATTTAGAAGATTACTCTTATCAACTATCTGGGCAATTGAAAAAAACAACAGAAGGATAAATTTTGATTCTTCATATATTTTAGGGCTCTCACAACCCATTTGGGACTTGGGCCTGAGGCCCTTAGAATTTGGAAAAATAATGGTGTTTTCCTTAGATTAGGAAAACTTGGGCTCTAAATTGGGAAAAAAAGATACTATTTTGGGAATGGGGGCGAAGATTGGCCCCAAATCTGGCAGATCGGGAGCCCTGAATTTACATACTCCATATCAGCTCAAAATAAAACCTGGGATTTCTCTTTTTGACTGCAAACTCTTGAATATCAGAATCTTGCTAATTGACTTTTTCACTGAAAAAATAATGTGTTGCAGGTGGATTTGCTAAAGTGAAATTAGCCTATCATGCCTTGACTGGAGAAAAGGTTGCCATCAAGATCATGGATAAAAAATCTCTGGGGGTAAGATAATAATCGAAAAAATGTATAATATCATTATTATCTAAGTCGCTGATCACATACAGATGGAATTTGATTTCTCGGTTTGATCTTCTTGGATTGCTTACCTTAACTTGATTTATCTTTAAGAAAACATTCTTACAGAAAAAACAAGATTCAAAGACATTTTCTTTTAATCCAATGGAAAATTTCAAGTGTAAGAATTCCCTGAAGTAAGAAACCTTGAAACTGATGCCTGGAATAATAATGAAAAGAAGTTTTTCCATAATAAATAAAAATTGATAACATTGTCCATTTAGTAAATCTAAATATTCAGGAAGAAATTGTTGAAAATTTGTTTAAGAAGTTGATTTTTATTTAAACTTGTCCAACATTGATTGCTTCTAATACACTGTTTTCTTCTGTAGTTTTTTCCCTTTGTAACAACTTTGTAACAATGTAAACTAACGACACCAGTCCTATTTATTTACAGGAAGATTTACCTCGTGTTAAGACAGAGATTGAAGCTATGAAAGTCCTGTGTCACCAACACATATGTAAATTATTCCAAGTCATAGAAACAGACACAAAATTCTTCATGGTCTTAGAGGTAAATGATATTGATTAATTTAAAAGGATATTAAGCACAAGCTATTATTTCATAGGATGCTTTGAAGAAAATTGTGTAAAATTATAAATTTAAATTTATTAAACTTGTGAGGGGGGGAGGGGGATGTTCTTACGGAAATTGTATACCTCAGTTTGGCTTTAAAACAAACATATATTTCATTTGCAGAATTCTTTATAGATCTAGCTAGATCGGTTTACAAATGTTTGCACTGTCCTGATTGCGTCATAACAGGTTTGCATTGATATAGGCCAAACAGAACGAAATATTTGTGTAAATTATGAAATCAACATAAGATAAGCCTAATGAAGAGATAAAATTGTAATCTCAACAGAAATTTAATGAACAGCATGCACACTTGTGTATTTACCCAATACTCTGCATAAAATCTATGATCTAGTGACCCTGACTTCCTGATTTCTCAATGCATTATATTTAGACGGTTTGACTGGGAGTATTCCCACCAATTTTGCCCGTCTTAACTTACCACAGGAGAGATATTTTTTGCTAATAGTTTTAAAAGTCATTAGAATGAGTTCGTAAAAGGTACTGAACATCCATAAATTTTGCAATTTGGATGGAATATCGAATTAAAAGTTCCTGATATAACTGGTAATGATTGTTTGTACATATGCACAGACTTTCTTTCTGGTTTTTTCAAAATGTACATTTTATCTGCTTTTGTGTTTCAGTACTGCCCTGAAGGAGAACTTTTTGACTACATTGTATCAAAGGATCGCTTGGAAGAAGACGAAGCCCGAATATTTTTCCGTCAGATTGTGTCTGCTGTTGGCTACATTCACAGCCAGGGTTATGCTCACCGAGATTTAAAGCCGGTAAAGAATTCAAATAGTATGATTTGAGTTGAATAGTGTTAGGGATGATGTCATCATCCCAATTATTTCTTTCCTTTAGATACTTAGATGAACAAAGTCTATAGTCTTTCAACAAACTTCACAGCATCTTTGAGATATAGTAATTAAACTTTGTAATCAAAATTCTGGTGTAGTTTTAAAAATTTAATCCAACTTGTAAAAACAATTTAGGATATGGATCTTGCATTTGTAAGATTTTGAATGATATAAACTACAGTGTATATATATTTAAAATATAGATGATAAAAATTATTTCATTTTTTTTTTTTTTTTGTAAACTTTCTCTGATTCATATTCCATGGTTTTGACACGCTTATTATAAATGACAAATCTACATTTCTTGATAACGATCTTGATTTTGTAAGGACAGTTTACAACAAACTATTTGTCTTAGCTCTTTCCTTTTATATAAAAAGAGAAAGATATTAACACACCATATAAATTTTTTTTTTTTTCCAGGAGAATTTGCTTTTGGATGAAGATCAGAATCTGAAATTAATTGATTTCGGTTTGTGCGCCAAGCCGAAGGTATCGTATATCATTGAATATTTCTTGAGATAGATGACCTACATCAAGCTCTCATTTGTAGCATTAAAGAAGGAATGACCACAGATTTCTGTTAAAAGATAAAAACATATGGATTGATTTTGGCCTTGAAGGAGACAGGGATTGGGGATGCTGTTTCATTCAGTGTCAACAAGTAAATTCATATAGTTGTTGCTTGTCTAAGCAAATATTTGGTAATGCAAACAGATTTTGGTTAAGGAACATAGTAGAAAATTAGGCCTCTTAAAAATAGAACAAGACAAAAAATTAAATGGAGCCCATTATTGAAACTTCTGTACTTGTAGATTATATATTGAAACCTTTTTTTAGATCAAAAGAAAAGTTGTGATATCAGTAATATTTTCATTTCGTTATGAAACAGAACACCTGGAAGAGTATGATAAGTCAACACAGAAATGAAATCGTATGATTTGTTGACAGGGAGGTATGGAGAATCACCTGTACACTTGTTGTGGCAGTCCAGCTTATGCAGCCCCTGAGTTAGTGTCAGGAAAAGAGTATCTTGGATCTGAGGTAGGTGTTGATATAAGTGCCTGTTTTTTAACTTTGACCAATTTAAAATATTGTACACATCAATGCTCCCTACCCCTGGCGATTTGTGTTTCTCAGGAAACTGAGAAATGGTCTGGTCTGTGCTGATGTGGTCATGTCCTTCGGCAAAGCACTTTACCTGTATTGCTCTGGAAGGCATGACAGGCCTCCTGTATGTTGTTCACTGAGGTAGCCACAAGCTGTCATAGAGAGACTTTGTCTAAAAATAGCCGAAAAGCAATGAACCTAACAAACAAAAATAAAGACAGATTTTTACTTACAAATTGACATTTTGTAGTAAACGATCTCGGTCTGGTGTCTTTGCTCACCACTTACATTTAATGATAATGCTTATCAAAGATGATGAATTTTACAGACAGATCTTTGGAGTATGGGAATCCTGTTATATTAGATGCTGTATTTTACAGGCAGATCTTTGGAGTATGGGAATCCTGTTATATTAGATGCTGTATTTTACAGGCAGATCTTTGGAGTATGGGACTCCTGTTATATTAAATGCTGTATTTTACAGGCAGATCTTTGGAGTATGGGAATCCTGTTGTATGCACTTCTTTGTGGTTATCTCCCCTTTGATGATGAAAAAATACCACAGCTATACAGAAAAATACAGGTATTCTTAAAAAATACTGTCATATGATGAATCAAGATGTTACATGTAATTTGATTGGTTAATGAAAATTGTTTTTACTCACTGGTCACGCAATTATATTTATCCTGGATACTTATTGTAAATGATTCTGAATATGCCATGAATATTATAACACCTTTACTTACATCATGATTCCTGGCAAGAGCAATAAAGATTGGTTCAAATTTATATGAATTAGAATATTGAATAGAAAATTAGTTCTACTGTTGCAAATTTCCAAACATGATTGGGTTATCTCTTAATCTCCACCTAATTTATCATATGATGTGCTTAAGGTACATACTCATACTGAAATATATGTGTATTTGCTTCTGTACATCATATAACACTAGATGGATGGTTATTTATGTACTTGGCTGAAAGCACATTTTAAGTAATCCTGTAAATTAGATAATGCATTATATAAATATTTCATATTATTATCATTCCGTAGGATTTTAAATTCCAGCATCCAGCTTGATTCTGCTACTTTATGGAAAAATATCGATTAAAAAAAAACTTCATTACTCTTGTTGGAGTTCATGAAACAAAATAAAATCCTACATCAGGATAAAACAGAGTAACGAGAGAAAAAACATATTCTCACCTATGTAACCTCTTTACCTAGGTGAAATGTATTATCTGTTGTGTTAGCTGACGACTTCTATAAGGTTAATTTCCCTCTGAGACAACATTATAGCACATTAGGAACTGATTTCTCTTTCTCATACAGAGTGGGAAATATGACTCGCCGTCCTGGTTGTCCGAGGAGAGTAAGGACCTGATAGCTATGATGCTGAAGGTGGACCCCAAGAGAAGGATCACTATACAGCAGCTTATTACACACCCCTGGCTGACCAAGAGCTTCAATATACCTGTTGAATGGCAGAGTAAATACAAAGTATGAACCACACAAAAAACTGTTATCACTCCTTATATGGTCACAAATGAAGTGTGACATCACAAAAAATTGGGATAATTCCTTATATGGTCACAAATGAAGTATGACATCAAAAAATAAAACTCTCATCACTCCTTATATGGTCACAAATGAAATATGTCCATAATTGAGCACTCTCATCACTCCAGACTTCATCACAAATGAATTATAATCTCATCAAAACTCTTACATCACTCTAAACAAGATCAAAATGAAGTGCCAGTATACATATCTGCACTTTTCCTCTAGTATCACCTCTAATAAGGTTAAAAATGACAATGATTAATCTAGAAGTCAGGGTATACTACTCTTTGTGGAAAAGGGAAATTTTGGCCTATTTTGAGAAATGGAGAAATTTTAGACAGTCCTTTTAGTCAGAATTCAAAAGAGGAATAGAATCAAAAGATATGTGACATGTGTATAAAAATAGGACAATATTGATGTAGGAATGATATTTCTTTGTGATAATGGCATGATATGAAAATATGTTAAGTAAAAATATACTAATCAGGTCAGTATTGGGGAAAATTTTCACTTTTAGGGGGAAGTTCCCCATGTTTTCAATATATTTTCTTGATGGGGAATTTATGTTCAGTGAGGAAAACACTAAACTTTAGGTATACTACCCTTTTTGGTGGTGAATATTTTCTAGATTAATCCCCTTATCACTCCTGGCATAGTCACAAATGATGTACATCCACACTCGACTTCTCTCATAATATGGTCACAAAAGAGTGGTTACAACTTTATTCAAGCTTTTTTTCACAATCTTAATACGGTAGTCACAAATGATTCCAGAATGTTGAGTCAATACAATGTACATTGGTAAGACGAGTGCAATAAAAGTTGAGTGCTCTAATGTATAAATCAACGTTTCTACACTGTAGTTTTTCAAGTGTCAAATTTTTCAAACGAAGAAAAGGACAAAATTTTGAAGGTTCTAGATTTTAATATCTTGTTTATCTCTCATGTTAACATTTATAGTTATAGTTTTGGTTTTTTTTTTTTTTTTTTTCAGAGAAAATTATTGGATGATGACTGTATTACAGAACTGGCAGTCCACTACGGTAAAACAAAGAAAGAGATGGAAAATACTGTATCAGAGGTAGTAGAAGTTTTCACAATTTACTCTCGTTTTTATAGCTGTCTTGTGATATTTGACTAGGGTTATCATACAGTTGAAAAATGAAACCAGAGAGAATACTTATATACATACTGTGCTATGATTTGTTTTTGGGTTTTTTTTTTTTACCGACAGGTGAATTTTGCACTGAGGGGACATGGATTTTAACAGTGAAATCCTAAAGGTTTTTCGATATATTGCTATAGATTCAGACCATTAAAAAGCTATTGGAATTCACAAAAATAAGATTCATACTGTTTAATATTACATGTTCATTTTGCAGTAGAATTTGGAAGACCTTTGATAGATTAAAATTTTCATGGATACCACAAAAATATGCTTAATTCTTCATCTTAAATACATTGGAAATAAACAAAGGTTTGATGATAGGAACAGTGATGCTGTTCAGGCAGTCTGATAAAGGTTTGATGATTGAAACAGTGATGCTGTTCAGGCTGTCTGATAAAGGTTTCATGATAGAAACAGTGATGCTGTTCAGGCTGTCTGATAAAGGTTTGATGATTGAAACAGTGATGCTGTTCAGGCAGTCTGATAAAGGTTTGATGATAGAAACAGTGATGCTGTTCAGGCAGTCTGATAAAGGTTTGATGATAGAAACAGTGATGCTGTTCAGGCAGTCTGATAAAGGTTTCATGATTGAAACAGCGATGCTGTTCAGGCAGTCTGATAAAGGTTTGATGATAGAAACAGTGATGCTGTTCAGGCAGTCTGATAAAGATTTGATGATAGAAACAGTGATGCTGTTCAGGCAGTCTGATAAAGGTTTGATGATAGAAACAGCGATGCTGTTCAGGCAGTCTGATAAAGATTTGATGATAGAAACAGCGATGCTGTTCAGGCAGTCTGATAAAGATTTGATGATAGAAACAGTGATGATGTTTAGGCAGTCTGATAAAGATTTGATGATAGAAACAGTGATGCTGTTCAGGCAGTCTGATAAAGGTTTGATGATAGAAACAGTGATGATGTTTAGGCAGTCTGATAAAGATTTGATGATAGAAACAGTGATGCTGTTCAGGCAGTCTGATAAAGGTTTGATGATAGAAACAGTGATGATGTTTAGGCAGTCTGATAAAGGTTTGATGATTGAAACATTGATGCTGTTCAGGCAGTCTGATAAAGGTTTGATGATAGAAACAGTGATGATGTTTAGGCAGTCTGATAAAGGTTTGATGATAGAAACAGTGATGCTGTTCAGGCAGTCTGATAAAGGTTTGATGATAGAAACAGTGATGATGTTTAGGCAGTCTGATAAAGGTTTGATGATAGAAACAGTGATGCTGTTCAGGCAGTCTGATAAAGGTTTGATGATAGAAACAGTGATGATGTTTAGGCAGTCTGATAAAGGTTTGATGATAGAAACAGTGATGCTGTTCAGGCAGTCTGATAAAGGTTTGATGATAGAAACAGTGATGCTGTTCAGGCTGTCTGATAAAGGTTTGATGATAGAAACAGTGATGCTGTTCAGGCAGTCTGATAAAGGTTTGATGATAGAAACAGTGATGCTGTTCAGGCAGTCTGATAAAGGTTTGATGATAGACTTTTTGTAATTTTTTGATATTGTTATGATTGATTTCTTAACAGTGAAAAAATCTTCAATTTTCAGTGGAAATATGATTACCTGACTGCTACCTACTTCCTCTTGTTTGAGAAGAAACTGAAGGGTCGGCCTGTTCGCCTCTTCCAAAAGAACAGATCCCAGTCATATGAGGACACACCGGCTGGCAACAGGAACAGAGTATGTTTCTTAGCAGTTCCGCCATGTTTTGTAATATTTGGAAAAAATTGATAATGTGTTAAAGAAGGTCTAAAAATGGTCTTATGTTTGTTTCCATTTCACATGTGACTGAAATTGTTTGTTTCACAAATTTTCATATGAAATGAAAATTTGTACTTATTAATATTGACAACTGTAAATAAATGTTTGTAATCATACACCTGAAGAACATTATAAGTGTGTATTTGTTATAGGCCAGAAGTCTGAGTGCAGATCCCAACAATCACATCGAAGCATCACCACGAATGGCCTTGACCCCCAAAGACAAACAAAGCCACCAACAGAACTGTGATCTAGGTCCTAGGCCAACACCTTACGGTTGTGAAGAGAGAGGACGACCACGTGCTAGAGAACGCCTTACGTTTGGGGCAAAGGATGAGGATAAGGAAAATTCTCCAATGGAGGATAATAAAAACTTCCTTGTCCCTCAAACCCCTAGTTACAGGACACCTAAACCCAAGTCTGTGATAAAGACCCCTAAAGAGATCATTCTGGAACCTCCTCCGAAGCCAAGGTCACCGCTGATGGCCAAGCAACTCCCCACAACTATAGACGATTCATGTAAAATATTTTATCCTCATTGTTTTCTAAGGGAGATAAAGAAGTGGTTTTATATGAGGGTACCGATTAAGCTTGTACACACTCTCTTTGCTTTTTTTGTATCATAGCAACATCATTTCTAAATGTTTTCTCGGAAACTATGAATAGGTTAAATGTGAGAAGATCTTGGATGTTGCTGTGTTTCAGCTTGTTACAGTCAATGCTACTTTGAATTATCATCAATGTTTTGACCTTGTTATCTCCCCTTCGCTCTAGGAAGTTGCTTTATACATTCAAGGATAACTGATGAGTGTGTTTTAGATTGAAAGGGGTGATGTGACTTTCTTATAGTAAATATTGATTTTATTTTTGCCCAAAGAACGAAAGAGGGCATATTGTTTTTGGTGCTGTTTGTTTGTTGTCAACTTGTTTGTTGTCTTGCCCATAATTATTGCACTGTAAGATGTAAGGCTTTCATATCTTGCATGTGTATTCCTTGTGACAAGACTTTTCTGATGGACCAAAATGTTTGACCCAGTGACCTTGACCATAACCTTTGACCTACAGTTGAAAGCATGCAATTAGCACATACTTTACATTTTCAATGATTCAGTTCAGAATTTTGTTGTAATACAGGGCATAATGTTTCATAAACACATCTTGTTGATAATTCATTGATGTAACGATTTGTAAGATATTTGCTTCAAACTTTGACTGAAACATTTTATTAAATGATGCTATAGTTAAAATCATAGTTTTAAAAATGCTGTCTGAGGAAAATTGCTAAAAAGTGGGACTTTTATTTTCTTAGTGGTCATGTCAAGTCATTTCCTAGCTAGATATTTTATGTATGCAATAACAGAGTTTTTTGAATTTCTGTTCAATGTGTAACATTTTGTGTTATTCCAGTATGTACACCTGGAAAGAAATCGGATTTGTCTTACCTGAACTCCACACTTTCTCCGTCTCGGTCCTATGATTCTCAACTCAATAATCTGCCCAAGGATGAACCACTAAGCGCAAGCAAAAAGTAAGTGATTCATGTTTTCAGCCTTACATTGAATTAAAAGTCTTATTTAATGTACAATTTAAGAAAATAGCTTTTAGATTTTTGTCATAAATAAGTTGTGGAAAATAGGATTTTGAAGGGGAACTTTCTTCACTGTTAATGGCCCTATTTGGAAATGACCTTTTATATGTTGACGGGTCGTTAAGACTGTAATGATAATAATAGTAATATTCTTCACTCTTTTTCTATGTCATGTATCATTGTAATCACAAAAACACTCTTGTATCCTGCTTGCACACTTTCATATATATAAAGTCCTGTTGAGGTAGAGACATTTTCACATTGAGAATTTTGATTTTTGACATAGTAGTAGTGCAATCAGTTTATATTCTGCAGTACGGACATTATTTTGCTAGTTGAACTTTTTTATCTTGCTTGCAAGTTCATACTTTTTATATAATCTTGCATAGTGTGCTAAGTTTCTCTAATGATTATCAGTTAAAAGTTGTATGGATACGATTAGTGTGTATCTTATATAATTGGTAAATCTGCCATAGATTCAATGTATATGTTTCGTCTTAAAACATATAATGGAAATATGTAATAACACTAGGTGAAGACAAATATTCTGAACGGCAGGCAAAAATAACATGGGCAAATATGAAATTTATTAGTTTAATATTTTCAATCGAAGTTTTAAAAATTAACAGAATTACTTCCCCTGATCTATGAACCACACATAATGAAATCTATCTTACATTCATAGTCATTGTATCCAGAACATTTATCACGTAAATGCAACCAAATTTTAAAAACAATTTAATGTTATGAAATATGAAAATAATTTTATATATCCTGGGCTGCTTTAATAACAATGGCTTTGAGCCAATAACACTTAATGATCATATATACAGGCTTGAATGAGCGTTAAATTTTAAAAGTGTATCTGCTAGTTTAGGAAGTAGACCAGCAAATCTTTACAGAAGCTCATTTACTCAAATCATGTAGCTTGTGAGAGATCTTCAGTTTGATGTGTGGTGTTTGAATTTAGGGCTAACTTGTCTTCTTTCTTATTACAAAATTCAATCAAAACCATCAGTGAATGTTGTAATGACTGCCTTCCGAGTTGGATCCAAAACAGAAGTTTTCTTGTATTTTAGACATTACAGTCACATGAATATGCAATTTTGTTAGTTTTCGATTGTGCAATTGAAAGTTAGCAGCAGGGGAGTTTCAAGTATTATTGGATAATTCTATAGGAAATTACTGAAACACTAGAGATAAAGAAATACCATTCATGTGACTAATCGTTTTAATCTAAAATTCTAAAATCCTAAAATATTTACTGAGATACAAGGCATACAAACAATATTTAGCAAAAAGTTTAAAAAATTTAGAATTTTCAAAACATGGTATGTGAAAAAATGATAATCATGCAAACAAATATGTTGGCTGAGGAAGGACTCATTTCTAGATTTGATATGAACTGGGACGAGATGTAGGTTTCATGTTGTAAAGTATTGTTGTGTAGTGCTGCAGATCATAGCTGACTTAGAAGAAGTATTAGTGGCTTAGATATACAACTACCCTCAGAGCGCACTGCTTGGCTTTTGCTTCAAGTGTAAAGGACCCAGCCTGGGCGTTACTGAGAGTTGTGAAGAGTATGCTATTGTGATATTTTAGACATGTGGATAACTATAACAGGGCTGCATCAGTGGATGAGGGTTTACAACGAGGGGAGCCAGAAACACCAGGCTCAGCTACGAAGACAAGAAAGGGCTCTGTGTTCGGAAGTCTGGAGAGAGTGTTTAATATGCTGACGCCTAAGAAACAAAGAGGGTCTACTGGGGAGGGACCAAGGAAAGTAAAGGTACATGTATATCAAGGAATGGTGTTCTTCGTCCTTTATGAACTTTGATCAATCTCTTTTAATTTCATGGGGAGCATTTAGTGTTATCCAGGTCCATCTACTACTACATTCATGTTTCACAGACATTTTATAATTCTTAGTTTGTAAGAGTTATTGCCCATTTTAAAATTTTGTCTTGTGATTTCCTGGCTTAGTTGAATGTTTTTTACTTTGAAATGTAGTAGACTTTTATCAACATTTGGTTGTTAGATTTGAAACACAATTTTAATGCATCAGATATTTGTCGGGACAGATGTATATATTTCAGCCTTGTGATAATGTTATTTTTGGGCAAGAATATTCAGAGTAGAAACAACAAAACAATCAAAAAGTGCTTTAGTTCAAACTAGTATTCGAATCATTCTTGAAAAATGATCTGATCTGTTGTAGGCTTTACACAATGTATACAGAACAAGTGAATTTAGCCCAGATTTGGTGATGTCACGGCTTAAAGGCGTCATCGAAAAGAAATTCATACCTTACAAGCAGAGCGAGTAAGTAAAAAGTTATCAAAGTAAGTCATCAGTGCAATGATATCAACAACAGCATCAAAGAAAGTTGCTGTAGTTCTACAGCAATCAAATGTTTAAATCTAGATCATGGCATAAAGAACCTAAAATTATGACAAACATAAATTTCAAATTTTCAAATCCATTCTCTAATAAAACAAAAGAAGCACTTTGTTGCATTTTGAAAGAACTGTTGAATAACCTAAAATGATTTGAAATTTGGACAAAATTGTTCTGTAGAAAGTTAACTGTGAAAAGAGCTGCAGTTAACACCAAAGGTTTCTCGTAGACTTAAAGAGCCAGACCCACTCCGTAATAGATATTTTTCATATCTTATTAACTGGAAATGTTGTTGTATACTTATAAATAATATATAAATAAAGACTTGTATAAAGTTTCGAACTTAAAAATGAAAGGGTACCGGAGATATCGGTGCCGGAATTAGTCTTATTAATCAACACCAGGATATGAATATTGATGGGGAAAAACCACGTGATACGTTCAGAAGCGGTCAGAACCAAAACAAAAATGGGGAGGGGCAATCAATACTCTATATATCCTGTATGGAAATCATCTAACGTATGTATTGATCACATCTTTCAATGCTTAGATATGACACAAAAATGTGCAGATTATGAGAAAATCTACGATTAATTGCAAAGAGGCCCTCAAATGGGGGCTACAATACACTAACAAACTTATAGAACATCATGAAATGGATCTATCAAACGCGAATATTCGATGATAAGAGTATTTATGAATATGATTTTAGAGTTATACTACACCAGAGCCAAACAGAGAGCGATAGAGTATGAACCAGCCATCTTCCTTCTTTTCGCCTCAGAGTCCGCCAGAACATGTTTTCTTCCCCGTTTCCCGCGCACGCTTTCTGCCGCATTGCATGCATCAGAGGGCAGGACTTCCCCCATGATTATAAATTAGCACCGAGTCGTTTCAAATTCTTTTTTAAAACTATTTTTTATGTTAGATAGGTAGTGATTTACTTTTAAATTGCAGCATTACATGGTTAGTCAGAACTTTAGCTACCCGAGAAAAATAGGAAATCATGAATTTTTTTTTTTATTTTTTACATATTATTGGTCGAGGAGTGGGTTTGGCTCTTTAAGTTTTAGTCATGATTGGGTTCAACTGTAAAACAATTTCTATTATTTACTCCCTTTAATGAGACCTAAACATCCTAAAGAAAAATTCAAATCCATATAACATTCCAGGTGGTTTCCATGGCAGCCATCTTGAATTATTGCTATTGGTAACTCTCCTGAGTAGAAATTTGTATCACTGAATTACACATGGCAGCCATCTTGAACTATGGCGTATCACTGAATTACACATGGCAGCCATCTTGAATTATTGCTATTGGAAACTCTCCCGAATAGAAATTTGTTATCACTGAATTGCCTGTTGTAGTTACACCCTGCGGTGTACAGTGACCGATGACTGGGGCAAAGTCAAGCTGGCATTTGACATGGAGGTGTGTGCCATTCCAAAGATGCCCTATATAGGAGTCTGTCGCAAGAGGGTTAAGGGAGACACATGGCATTACAAAAAACTGTGTGAAGATATCTTGGCTTCCACAAGACTGTAAGTATCCGTGTAAATAAAAAAAAAATGAGAATAAACAAGAAACAAGGAAATAAGTCTATTATAAAAGTTTGTCCATGACAGCAAATGCTCCCTTCTAAATAAATAATATTGTTTTCCTCAAAGAGGAAAAATTACAGGTTTCCTTTTTAGTGTGAGCAATGACATTTTTATATCTGTCTCACTCTGTGTACTGATTCCATAGTGCGCAAAAAACACAATGCTTATAGTACCAGGTATGGAAGTCGGAGTTGCTTGCAAAATTAGCCTGTATGCATTAACATCATCAGCAATAGAATCATATAGAATGTATAGATACTTTCCACCAGAGTTCTGCTGGATAGGCAGTAAAACAAATTTTACCTCGCATGGTTTGGTTGTACACATTAGGTCAAGAACACCTAAAGCTGTAGATCATACTGGCCCGTGAATCAGCTACAATTCTTAAGCACCTTGATGATTTAAGCAAAATCCGAAAAATTGTGGTACTCTATGTTTGACAATTACACATTCTCTGACCTTTCCATTATCAATCCTTCTTTTAAGCCTCTTGATAACTTGCATTTTGGAAAATGAACTGTACCAACTTCACAGAGCTATGTCCCTATAAGTTAATGATTAGTCAAAACATTGTTAGCTCATATAATACTGTGCACAATAAGAAAGTATTTTAGGTATTTCTTTCTTCAACATCACACATCAGACATCATGGCAGATTTTAACCCACGAGTTTTATACTGTAACTTTATATATGTAGGTATACAAATGAAACTTATTGCACTGTGGCTACATTCAGATGTATAGATTTAAAGATCCAAGGCCTGAAACTTAAAGCAAAGTTTTGATTCTAGCAGGCAGTATCATCAATATTTCCTAGCAAGGTCATGTCTTCCAGATTTATTTCAAGCTTTGTAGATTTCCCAATCTTTTCCATTTCACCTTCATTTGATCCAAATTGATGACATTTTTATAATCTTATTTATCAAGGTCTCATATTGTGTGGAAGTAGTTCTTCAAATTTTTTGGAATTTCACTTCGAATCTCCTTAAAATATATGTCCTGGACTTGTTTTACATACTCCTTTTTTTTTAATTCTATTAAAAAGATAAGTTCTTTGTCAAATAATGCATTCATTCTTTGCCATCTTTTAGGGTAATTTATGTTTTAAACATCGGATAAAAAAAAGGTTGACATAGTTGCATGCTAGTGATATTTTTTGAGTTTGAGGTTGAATTCTAAGTAGTAATATGAGGTAAAATCATACTAGAAACAGTAATTGTGATTTCTCAACCAATGGTACTCAGATTCATCAATGTTATAAACTTTCATTTAGATTTGACAGTACTTTTCTTATAGCATACGTAATACATTAACCTTATTTGGTTTTGTGCCAGAACATTCTAAATCTCAACAGATGTAGATTTATCATGCTTTAATTGAACTTTTGAATGATAAGCATAAAGTTTTTGTCAATTTTGAGAATTGATAATAAAAAATTCCTTCAGATAGTTCTTTGTTTGCTTAAAAGTTTCTGGACTTTACAGGTGATTAGAGCATACTGTACACTTCAATAAATAAAGGTTTTCAGGTCATTATGTGATTAAAGAGAACAAGATATGATTCTTCAGTATTCTAACTCAGTCTTGATATAGACATGCACATGTTCATAACATCTGTCACATGTTGGAAACGTCTGTTGTCTTACGTCAGACCTTGTAATGAGAGGTTTCTATCATAAATAAGATCAACGTGAAGTTGATCCATTACATTGGTCAAGATTGAAGATTAATTAGCAATAATTGGACTTCAAACAGTTTGATATTTTTGTAGTTTAATTAGATATCCGTGCTATATAGAGATTCATAAAATATATTTTGACAGCAGCAGAGGTAACCTGATTTCCCCAAAGGTATAATACCGCAAAAAATTCATAACGAAAGATTTAACAAATATCCTGTCAATCCTGTATTATAAATATCCATTGGTAAAGCCCGCTGAACCATTCATGACTACAAGTATTGTCTTCCGTGACATCAAACAGATGTCTCCGTATTAGAAGTTATTAGTAATATTGTATCTATTAGTGTTATGTATAAATGATTTTGTTAAACAGGGATTTTATTGGGGTTGTCCAGTTCCCATGACCCATGTCGGTTCCATTGTGTCCCTTTCTGTTCCAAAGTATCACTCTGAACTCATTTCTGTTATTCTTACAAATCCTTTCTGGGTTTAAAACTATTCTAACTGTTATGGCTATATATTGATGATTCAAAGAATGGTTTAGATCTAAATGATACAATATATATGAAATCCTATATTTTCATGAGGCTCAAATTTCGCGGTTTTCCAAAAATATTTATATTTTCACTGGCACTTTGGGAATAACTCTTGCTCACAGAATTCGAAAGTACTGTGATCTATGTCAACATTTATAAAGATAAAGGGTAACCACAAAACCAACTGCAGTTTCCTCTCAATATTACTCCTCTTACAGTCCTGTTTTCTATTTCATTCACAGCACATAAGCTAGATGCTACTCTCCTTAAGGACGTTTGACCTATAGCCACCGAGACGCCATCTTCCGCAAAGATGATTGACCTAGATCCACCCAGATGCCACTCTCCACGAATAGGATTGACCTGGATCCAGTTCTTTAAGGCATTCACAGGACATAACCATAGACACTGATGGCCATGAAGATGGTTAACATAGATCCAGAGACTTTTCAAAGCATGACAAGGAGCGATGATCGGCCTGGTGCTTATTAATTCAGGGCCAACGTCAGCTATTTGTGATATACATACCTTAACAAAAAGGTGTCTGTACTAGTATATATATATATAAAGGATTGTTCAACAGGTGTGCCAACCCTGGGACATTTGTGTATAAGTTGTACAGTGTATCAGAGATTGTCAGTTATTTATTGTAAGCAATCTATTCTATTTTATAACCTGTGTGTGAAGTCTTTCATGATGACTGATTTTCCATTACCTGTCACTGCATTCTTGAGAAATTTCTAGGTCGATCCTTTCGGCTATTTCAGGTTATAAATAAAGCAGATATTATGTAAACATCACATGATATTTAAGGAATAAATCTTTGAGCAGTTAAACATACCAGAGTATTAACAGGCAGATTTTCTTTTTCCAGAAGTAATTTTTGTATCAGAAATTCATTGTCATTAAAATGATGATTTTGTTGGGAAAAAAGTAACTGACCAGCCACTTTAATAAAGGTTAGTTTCGTATCCATTACATGTAATTGTCAAGTATTGGAACAAAAAATGACTTTGCCATTTGTATCGCAGGCTGATGCAAGACAAGAAAATATATATGTCTTCCGTTCATTCTGTATCAAATAAACTTCTCAATTCCATATGCTGTTTATGGAATGCTTTGAGACACCTCTCTGTAGATGTCCCTTTCCCATTTTTCTTTCTATCTCAGTTAGCACTTGTCTGTCAATCCATCTGAAAAACTTACCTCATTCTTTATTTCTGTTTAAAATTTTATAGTTTATTTTTCACATCTCATCTTTCCTTTCTCATCTCCATATGTATTAAGTATTTAATGAGTCTGTGTTTTCCATTTTATTGAATAGTAATGGTTGTCATAAATATGTGTGATAACAAATGAAGTGGTGACATTTGATAGTATTATGATTTTCAGTATTCTACATCGTTAATGTTTGACAGAAAGGTCCTATAAGTTCCTGTATCAAATAGAATATAATTAGACACAAACCTCCACCCCAGCAAAAAAAACCCCTAAACTTCTATCATTTTTCAGGTTTTAAAAAACTGCCTTTCAAATATTCTTCATTTGTAACACTCTTTTGTTAAAATGCTTCCAACCTGGTACTGATGTTAGAGATTTTTGGTTTTTTCCTAAGGTTTATGATTGGGATGTAAGAAATGACTTCAGTACATTTGATATTCTCTTGCTTAAAATTTCAAAGAAAAAATTTTCTCTTCATTTTAAGCTTTATCAGGTTTGATTGCATGAATAAATCTCAAACAAATCCGTTTTCTCCTCAAGGGCTTGTTTTCGTGGTGGTTAGTTCTGGAATTTCATGAAGCAGTATTTTATGTCCTTTTTCAAAGTTGATGACCTAAAAAAAGTAATTGATTTAATTTAAGTTATTCTTTGTTAACCACATACTAACCAAGCAATGATTGCCACCAAAATTGTGTGCCGCTTACCCACTAGATACTTTACAATATGTCCATCCTTGTGACATCCTATCAGTTCTTCACCTGCAAAATCATCCGAATTAATTCTCTACAGAAAATTGTTTTAAAATTTTGTAACATATAAAGGGTTGTATGATGAATTTCCAACAGAAATGACTGTGAGTTTCAAATGGGGATCATGTTTGACAAATTTTTAAAAACGAAGAATTTTTAGATAATAGCCAGTAATTTTTTTTATATTTAAAAATTTCTTACTTTCATATGTATGTCTTTTTATTACAGTCATATTTTCTTTTTTTACTTTGTTTTTATATGTACATTGTAATATCTTAGTCACTGACACATTGACACTTGGGGTCTACTTTACTTAATGATAAGATTCACAATAATACTCCAAAATTCCTTCTTTTTTTTTAAATTCCCCCTCCCCCCCCCCCAAAAAAAAAAAAAAAAAGTATTTTTGTATATTTTGTGTATTCTTGTTTTCAAATCAATCTCTAAGGAGTTAATAATGATAAATTAGGACCTCCCCCGACCTCCCCAATTTTTTTTTTTTTTTTTTTTCAAATCAATCTGTAAGTAGTTTATTATAGTAAATAAAATCCATTTTTGTTCCTTTTTTGAATTTCTGTGTAAGAATTGATTTTCTGTTGAGTTAGTCAGTGTTTTGAACTGTATGGCCCAGCTGGTTTACAGTATTTGTGTTATGAGTCATGTCAAGTGCTTTGTATAGGAACCAACACTGATAACAATATGTTAGTGATCAGACTGTTGTGATAAAAATGTAAAAATAAATTATGCTATCACACCTGAGATTCCTGTTGTTTCTTCTACAAGCTGAGTCAGTCCTGTCTAATGTGTTAACTACAGTGTTAAAGAGAAACCAATTCGTTAATGGAGAATCCCATTGAATATTGATTCTATTCAAAGATGTATCGAGAGGCATTTTAAGAGGAAATGAGAACGATAGGGGATATGATTAGGATATTGCTTGCCCTTTCAAGCCTCTGTTGACAACTTAATAATAATCCCCCTCGGGTTGAAATCCCCTTATTTCACACTAAAGGGGGTAAAAAATCGATTAGTCTCATCCTAAGGTATTGAAAAAGGGATTCCTCTGTCAGGACAACGGTATGACGTCATTGTAACAATCAACTGACGTCACATCAATGTAATCATATCTACAATGCGACGCACCGAGACCACAAAACCAGACACTCATACTAGTTACTAATAAGGTCAGCGGGCTACATTTCTTAATTTGTTGGTGATAAGGGACACGCCTCGTCTCTGCTAACCTGATCAGCTTTCCCCTCGGGTTGAGAAACCCCAATATCGCCTCCAAGGGATAAAATTAATTTTATCTTTATATATACTTGTGATGCCATAAACACCCAGTTTCATGTGCAGTCTGGACTGGGGCACTGCCCCGAATGTACTGGTTTGCGTCACGTAATTTGAACAGGTCGTCTGTGGTCGAAATGAGTTGAAACCGTTTTTAGGCCCAGGTTTCAGGATAACTAAAACAATTATCAAGTTCTATCATAAAACTTTCAATATGAACAGCTCATTAAAAAAGTGTGGTCATTTTTTTAAGTTTCGAAGCATAAAACTAGCGAAATACAGCCATCTTCGTATGCCCCTGCGCTTCGAATACCCTCTATTTTTAAAACGAAATCTCCAATCAACTAGTTCCTGTTCAGGAATCACCATAATATATCTAAGAACAGACACTGGGCATTTGCAGTATTGGCCAATTAAATTTAAAGCTGTCTTTTTAAGTTCATTTCAGCTATGTACACCATCCGGTGCACATACAATTTCACACCCCATACAGAAGGAAAAACAAGAGCGAAATTTCAACTGTATCTCTTTAATGCCATTAATCATTTTGTAAATTATAACAAATACTAGAATTACTAACAAAATAAGAATAAATAATAATTAAAAAAAAAAAATAGAAACACCATATCTTGGTATATTAATGAAAATAACAAATGTAAATACAGACTAAAAACATGAAGAAATAAAGATAGACATTGCATGTATAACGTCTTATAAAATATAAATCGGGTATCATGTAAAATACATCCATGAAATACCCATCTAAACTTATCATTATATGCGTTTCAGAAGTTCATAAAATTTATAGACTTTATTTTATGAAATACAATATATAATTACAAGAGGCCCAAATGGCCTGCACTGAAAACTTCACTTAAATCAATAATACAAGACACCACTGCATTTACCAAGAGCTTAATTCTTTCTGAGCACATTTACCTTTATCTTATAATATCAATGAAGAAAAACCTACATATCTAAATTTTTGAGTGTGATCCATCCAGTACTTTTGAAGAAATACTTAATGGCAGTAACAAGTTTTGTTTAAAGATAGAAAGACAGGCGATGGACCACAAACAAAGAGTAATTTAAATCTAAATTCAATGAATGTACAATAATAAAAATGTCTTTACGAAAAGCTGACTTGGCGAAAACGTCTGAACAAAAATCTTGCATAAATACCTGTTACAGAAGTTCATTAAAATTATAGAATGTAAAAAGACATAACCATTTTAAAGTCTTCAAGACACTCAAAGGATATGTAGTCATCATTTTATAAACATCATCACACGGGACCAACGCACAAATTTATCGCAAAAACATTCTTAGTTAAAATAAATTCTGGTACACCTCAGTGCTATGATTCAACTTAGTTTTTTTAAAAAAAAACTATGAAATAAAAAATGTGTATGAAATACACATGCACTTAAAATTACAAGATGCCCACATGACCTGTACTGATGAAATTTACCTAAATGAAACCCTGAAAACCTTCACTTTAATCAATTTACTATGACCATTGTTTTGCCACTTTATACATAATATAGGATGAGATATGTGTAAGTAGATGTCTATTGTAAGCCAGTCATTAGATACCAGGGCCAACTTAACTAATTTGTTGCATTTAAAGCAAGAACATATGGAAAAATTACTTAGATGTCAGCAGGATTTTGAAGACATTTGTTTTATGATGACTTCCTATGTGGTATTTGGTACACTCTGTTTGTTTTTCCTTCTGGCGTTGACATTTTTTTCAAGCGCAAACGTCCTATTCTGATTTTCCAGTATCTGTTTTAAAGTAGTGTTCCTATTGTGATTTGTTGCCCTAAAAAACTGCTTTGTGATGTTGTCATTAGCCTTTTCGAGGCCTTGCTGTGTAAAGTGCACAACATTTTTGTGTCTTTTTTATAAGCTCAGTTACATGGTACCGCAATAAGTGCATATACAGCGTAAAATCACGGCACTGATACACCGGCACAAACAGGTTGCTCCACTCATCTACATGTGTCCAAAGAATATCTGAATTTGGATTATCTGATGTTAGAAGAGCTGTGATGACCTTGAAGCGATCCCATAACTCTAGAATTTGCTTTGATCTCTCATATTCTAAATGCAAACCAGGTTCTCGGCACAGGGTTTGGTACGGCCACTCAGAAATTCACCCGTCTTCTGCAATAGGTGTTAGGAGATGGCATTGGTGTGATGATCACTAAACACTTGTAACATTCAATGCATCGACGAGCAGACATCGGCTTCCCTAGAAAGGCTGAAAACGTAATGCGATGTGTAACAGATTTATTTATTTATTTGTTTTTTCGTTCGGCA